CGTCGTGCAACGAAGCGGTCTGGCCAGTTCTTTCCGACGTGTCGCGCACCGCGTTTCTGTGACGAATCTCAAAGCCCCAACTTCTGAAAGGGACTCCTGAAGGTTATACTTGACAACGGGGTGAGGTTCGGTGAAGCCAAAGGGTTCACAACAAGCACCGTCCAAGGGTACTGACAATCTTGCACTTGAGTTGCGTACTGGAGAACTCCCAGAGTCCTCCAGGACGGGTGACTATATACTAGATGCATTTGGTTGCTCTCTCGTGCTCTCTAGAGCCACCTAGAGCCAATGCTCTATGGTGCTCTCGAGAGCCTCTTAGAGCGTCCTCTGATTGGCCTTGCACTGGTGCTCTCTCATGCTCCTGAGAGCTCTCTGGAGCACCTCTAGGACTCGTTCCGATTGATCCTAAGTGATTGGCTCGGAACGTCCTACGTTCCCCACTGGCTTCTGCAAGTAAGCCGCCGCTGTTGGCTCTCGTTGGTTCATTTGTGACAATTGGGTTCTCGCTCTGAAGCGGAAGGCGCCTCCTAGCAGCGCTCGTTGCCTGTAGCTACAGTACAATCGTAACCCGAAGAGGTTGTTGTCTTACATTTATGAGGTAGTCTTTCAGGACCGATGTCGCCGGACCGTATCATATGACTTCCACTAACACCACCCCTGACTTCTTCTCCGCATCACCACAACGCGGTTTCAAGTAATCCTTGCCTTAGCGTTTTTGGCAGCTTTGGCTGAACTCAAGAATTCTCAGGGGTATCAACATTGACGTCACGTTTCTGAGCCACCTTAGCACGGGTACCCGCCGCTAGCCTTGTGGATCCTGCTCGGTACTAGTAGTTTTACAATTTATCGGTCATCGGTCTTCGCTTGCAGTTCGGTTTCTGTGTACATTTCCTCTTGTCCTTTTACACCCAGGCTTCTACTTCTTGAGGCTTGATTTTGGATCCGGTAAACCGTGCGACATTCACTTTGGGACGGAGGTTGAGTAGGGCGCTTGGGAGGATGAGGTCTTGGAATTTCGGAGCGATAGCCCCCTTGCGGTGCGATGGAACCCCGCAGTCCCCCTTGACCGCAATCCCGTCCTTTGTCAACAGTGGACGGGAAAACTTAAGCCAGAGTCCCATGAGGTGCGAAGAAACTCCGGTGGGTTGCAGACACACCACGACACCAGGGTAAATCTGTGATCAACACGAGCAATACCTCGGCCAGGTTATAAGCCGAACCACACATTTAGATGCTAACCAGCAGCCAGGACCCACAGAGGCCAAGAGCCCAGCCAAGAAACATCCGAAACAAAACCCAGCATCTCGAATCGCAACATCTTGGATACTCATTGGACCGCATCAGAGCGATGCTCCATCTCAATCTTTCCGTGGTTCGAAATGGGCAACATCGCCGGGTGCCAATGCTGTTGACCGTTGTACCTGCCTGACGCAGTCCGAGATCCCCGTGGGCGATGGTGCATCGACGAATCGTCGAACATGCCGGCACTAAAAAAGTTAGGAAGAAGGCCGAGATATCCGGGTTGGTCACCACGTGTGACTTGCCAGTGTCTATAAAAGCCCATTCTTCGTTCGCAAGTTGGTGGCGGATGGTTGATCATCACCTCCGCGAATCCCACTACCTCAATCTTGACGGTCTCTCATCGCCATGCTCTTCCCGCTTGCCCTTCTCGCTGCTGCGCCTACGGCACTGGCTTGCTTGGGGTACACCGGCGGCGTGCCCAAGCCGACTGGAAATGTGGCCCTCAAGGCACCCATCTACGTTAAGGCTGGCCAGGTTTATGACGGTGGCTGGCGCAAGTTTGACAGGAACCCCAGCACCTGCAACGGTCAAGGCGAGGGAGGTATGTCTTAGCCTCCTTTCTTTTACTGCTCACCTGCTTCTCCCTGTAAGGCGCGGCCCCTGATGCTGATGGTTCACCTTACTCAGGCGAGGACGACACGGCCTTCGTTGTCGAGCGTGGCGGCACTCTCCGCAACGTGATCATCGGAAAGACCGCCGGAGAGGGTGTCTACTGCAAGGGAGGCGGCTGCAACCTCGAGTTTGTCTGGTTCGAGGACGTCTGCGAGGATGCCATCTCCATCGTAAGTGAAAACCCACTTGCTCCAAGCCGGAAGAGGGCTGTATGATCTGATTGGATTGGTATTAGAAAGACGACAGGCCGGGAGACGTGACCAACATCATCGGCGGCGGTGCCTACCACGCCTCGGACAAGGTCATTCAGCATAATGGTTGCGGACGAGTGAACGTTAGTAACCCCCCGACCCTCCATCTGAGTCTTACTGACAGCACTACCAGATCATCAATTTCTACGCCGAGGATTACGGCAAGGTCTACCGTTCGTGCGGAACTGTAAGTTGTCTACGGCTCAAAGGCTAGTGGTGTTCACGTCCGCAAGCAAGCATGCTGATAGACTTCTCCAGTGCCAGAAGTGCGCCCGCGAGGTCTACGTCGAGGGAGTCACCGCTCGCAAGGGAGGCGAGGTTGTCGGCATCACCAAGTCCAACGGCGACAAGGCCACGCTGGTCAATGTGTGCACCGACGCCAAGACCCCCTGCCAGAACTACAGCGGCCCTGGCAAGAAGGACGGCGCGTGCTAAGAGGTGGCGTACCGATATGTGTGCTGTTCACATGCCAAACACAGGCACTGAACAACGTTTTGTCCATAAGACAGCATCTTAATGATGACAAAGACTAACTGGCAGTGGTCGCGCTCATTTCAAAATTATTATTCCTACACCGCTGTGCCCTAGGGCGTGCCGGACCTTCAACAACTTACTATACAGGAAAACCGCGCCCGTGGGCCGGGTGAAAAACCCATATCGACAATCAAGGAAACGATCAGTGTGCGATCCTGCAAATACAAAGTGGGAAGGCCTCTTGGCCTTCGAAGGAAAGGGTATCAGACTGCGAACTCCAGCTCCAGCCTCTTTCAAAATTTCACTGTATCTATTTGAGGTCATTCGAGATCAGTATATAACTTTCATGACACGTCCGATAAAGTTGTTTGCCTTCGTTGACAAAGTATTTCCATCAACGAGTACCTATCTATCCTTCCCAAACATCGGATTCCTATCCACCGTCGACGTAAGCGGCGAAGGAGGAGAGTCATTCCGTCTCTCTCTCGCATCCCCACCAGCCGTACTCACAGGCGAAGGAGCCCGATCCCATGCAGAGTCTCTCCTTTGCCCGCTATTATGCTCAGCAACCTCACTGCCCGGCAGCTCAAAAATACCCTTCGGATTCTCCGCCACAGGCGATAACGGCCCAGGGCCGCGGATCTCCTTCCCATCTAGCTCCGCATCCGGCCTGACGAGCGTGTCACTCCCATCCAGCTCAGGGGTCGACGAGTTTGTCACACTCCCACTACCCCCTACCGTGCTGGATGCCCGTCTATCGTACTCGGCCGTAGACCGGGATCCGGCAGCGGACACGTCGTTCGCCGAATACGGGACTGAAGAATGCCGCGGCGTGGACCCAGACCCGGACCCGTGTCGCGTCGACGGGGAGTTGAATACGGGCCCCTTGAGGACAGCTTCACTGGGAGGGGGCTCTCGCCCCGCCACGGCGAAGGCCGCGCCGAGCCACTTGCGGCGCTTGCGCAGGATGATGATTGTTGCGACGAGCGCGACGAGGGCTACGCAGCCGATGACGATGCCGGCTATGGCACCGCCGCTTAGGCCGGAGCTTCCAGAGGAGTTCAATGCGCCGTCGCCATTTGGATCTGCCGAGGTCGAGTCCTTGGGCGAGATGAGCACGATGCTCTCTTGGGCGCCCTGGTTCCATGTGCAGGCGGATACGTTGAAAACTCTGCGCTCGTAGTCGACGGAGAGGTACCTGGGGGAAAGCTTAGTTGAATAACGCCTTTTGATGCAGGAGGGAAGCCAGGTTAATAGGCTCACGCTTCTTGTAGAAAGGTTCGTCCAAGCGTGTACTGCGCCGAGCTGTTGGCCCGTCTCAAGGGGAAATAATGACTGGTGTTTTTCACAAGAGGGTACTCTGCCGTGAGGTCGAACGCGGCGTAAGGGAGGACGATGGTCACGGTTTCTCCCCCTGATCTCACGTCGGAGAGCCTGAAGGACACTTGGGCATCTGAGTCAAGCAGCTTGTTCCGGTGCGTTTCATTGACCAGATATAATCCGGATTCGCTGTCCAGTGTCAGCCCGAACGCCTCCTCGAAAGCATCACAGACTTCGGCTGGGAGCCAGAGGTTGGGGTCTGTCGAGTCGATCATGATGTCGATGGAGTCAGAGAGGAGAGTGGCCGAATGGGAACCGCTATAACTGATCGACTGGAGGACGACGACCAAATCCCGCGTGATGTCGTCCGCCATGGAAAAGGAGACCGGGTGCTCTCCGAAACGTGATGTGTCGTATCCGCCGAAAATCAATTGGCCGTACACCTGCTTTAGACCTATTCGGAATTACATGTATCCAGACGTGGTTAATCAAGGGCGACTTTTCTTTCAATACCGGGTGTCTAGGTACTTACGATACTTGGCTCCCGCGGTATAGCTCCAACTCAAGCTTGGAATCTTATTCTGGTCCTTCAAGGAGGTGAAGAACGACGGGGTCGAGTGGTTTCTCAATGAGCTGAAGTTCAGGGGCTGGTTGTTGATGCCAAAGATACCGCTATTTGCATCCAGTCAGAATCAGCTATCCAAAAAGGCGAGAGAAGTGAGAAGCTACATACAGATAGAAAGGCTCGGGTGTTGCGATTCCGCCGACGGTCTGGTTGTCCAAGGCGGGCCCTGTGAGCCCGATGCCCAGGCGCTCGAAGCCGAACTGCACTCTCTGCTCGTACCCAAGATTCGCTTCGAGACCGACGCCGTTCTGGTTGATGCCGTAAAGACCCACATCCTGCCAGCTCGACGAGTCACTGTGGTTGAACAGACCGCCCCTGGCCACGGCGCAATTGGGAGGTACCGTTTCGAACACTGAGGTCGAACATGCTTCCTCTCCGAAAGGGACGAGTGAAAAGGGGGAAGCAGTCGAGACGAGCACCCTGACAGACTGTTCTGGGTTGCCCACGCGAAGATCAAACGTGCTCCATGGACCGTCATTGCCTTCGCTATTTCCTTGGTCAGCCGTCTGGCATTTCGAGTCTAGACTGGAAGATTTGATTTACAAGAACTGGCTTGCGGGTATCACAAGAGCCTTTGGCTCAGTATCTTGTGAATAAGACCCTGGGATGAAAGCAGCAGCTGCCCACAGTATCGCATAGGGACGCATCTTGGGCTGACAAAATTAACATGAAACATGAAAATGGTACGTTCCAGTCATGGACTTGAAGTTTGAACGCGTCTTCCCGGGCTTCCCACGTGTGAGCACTTCATTTTCGAGTTAGTGAACCAGGGGACTACATTTCGCATCCAAGTCCTTGGAAAGGAAGAGGCTCGCCACGGCTCTTACAGCATGGCTGATGACAGGGGTGGAAACCAAGACTTCGGCCGTGAGACGTCACCCCGCAGCACAACACGCCCAAATAGGAATCAGATCATATCCAAGTGACCAATGGGGCAACCGATAACCCTATATTCCTGCCTTTTATGGCTTTCCGATGGCGTGCCTGCATTGTCAACCTTCCGCGTCATTGCCAATCGAGCAATAGGATGTTGTCGCAAAACAGGGCATGTATGAGTTGGAAAACAAGGACCGCACGAGGCGGCAGCCACTTGCGGTGCCTTACAACGAAGCAATGGAATGACAGAACTAAATGAATCCCTCCCCTACTGGGAGCCGCCATTCATGAGGGGACTTCATTTTTCTGCCAAAGATTAATTTTTTTCAATCGTTCGGTTTGATTGCTGCAGTTCGCCCGTTCCCGAGTCACCACAGTATTGTTGGCATTGCTGGCAAGACTCAGACGTCGCAACCATGTTGTCCATCGTGGCAATGGTAATTCCCCTGGGGCTCCTTCTGCGAACCGCTAGCGGAACCCGAGAGCATGGTTCGTAACCGATGGTCGTCCGCAGCTTAGTGAGAATGAGAGAAATGACCGGGGCTCCTAGATAAACATACGACCTCGACTTATGTTGGTGTATCCACCATCGTGGACTATGTCACGGTCATTGAAACGAAGACATCCACTCATTGGGTCGACGTGAGCATCAACAGCACGGTTATAAACACCGTAACCCTGTGCTCGACGGAGATTGAGACGAAAACGCTCACGGAAACAATCACTGAGGAGAAAACAACAACCATCACCAACACCACGACGACCACCGTCACTGACACGGCCTCGGTAACACTCACAGAGACAGACACCAAAACAACCACGGCTGTTGAGACAGTTAACAGCACCACAACCACCACCGCCATTGATACCGACTCGGTAACACTTACAGAGACGGACTACACGACAACCACGGCTATCGAAACAGCCAACAGCACCACGACAACTACAGACACGGCTACCGTGACAAGCACGGCCACCGACACAGACTCGGTGACGCTCACGGAGACGAAGACAACTGGAACTACCACAACCACGACCGACACAACGGCAGTCACTGAAACCGACTCGGTGACCATTTCAACCACGACCACTCGTACCATCTTCTCCACCACCTACGACCCGTGCCCGAAGTCATGCAGCATGTACGTCTCCCTCCCTGCTTTGTCATCCAAACCAAAATCAAATGCATAAGGTGTTCTAACAAGAACTTCTGCTAGCTCTGCCGACACCGTCCGGCTCTTCTTCTGGCCCACCGACAGGCCATTCACCTACCCCTCTACCCACGTCCACCCAACCTTCGGCTACACCTTGTAAGTCCCTCTCTCTATCTTCTCGACCTGGTACAAGACCGACATCCACTAACCCCTATGCCTCTTAACCACAGCACCTCCCCGTCGGTGTACATGCTCATCCCAACAGCCGTCGGCACCAACATAGCCAGCGCAACCGTGGGGCCGTCCACCACAAGCTGGCTCCTCCCGCTCCAGCTGCACGAGGTATCCACCATCGCGGCTGGCAACGCGACCCGGCAGCTTACCCTCAGCGACCTGCGCACCGACTGCCCGCAGAACGTCGCCGTCGCCGATCCGACCGCCATCGCCGAGCTCGACCCGCGCTGCAACCCCGTGCTGGCGGCGCCGAGCCAGGTCCGCTCGTGGGCCTATCCGTGCAATGCCTGTGGGCGGTTCGGCATGTTTGATCCGCCGTATGCGGTCCCGACTTTGACGGGGAGACTGGTCGAGACGACATCGACTTTGACTTCGACGCTGACCTTTGTGACGCCCACGGTGACGCCGCCGACGGCACCTTCTTCGGCAGCCGAATCGTCGGTTGTTGTTACGACTACTAGGATCAGTACTGGTGTTGTGGAGAGTGCTACAGGTGCGCCTGGGTCGAGCGGTGGTAGTGTTGGGCTCAGTAGTGTGCTGGGAGTGACTCCTGATGAGGGTGCCAGTGTTACGGGCGATGTGCCTAGCTCGAGTCTTGGTGCTACGTCGAGTGTTGTGGCGACAGCTGCTGGTTCGAGGCCTGGTTTGGGAGGAGAGCTGGGCATGTGGCTGGTTCCCGTTCTGGGTACTGTTATTCTGATGGTATGACTGTGAGCTTGGATAAGGTAGACGTTCATGAGGTACTTCTTTTTGAATAGGGTTTGTGCAGGATAATAGTAATCGATATACCAATCATGGATTGTGCTTGATTATCGTCACCTTGCGAAATTTACCAGTGGACAACAGCAGTGAACATCTGAGTCTCTTCTCCGTCTTGGCTTGGGCTTTCAACTTAAGCTTGCAGATGATCACCTCCTTCCAATGGAATAAGATCCGCCTGATTTGGCCGCTGCGTACAAGTGTAGGTATTTGGTCGAGGTCTGTCCGACATAAGTCATGAAGCGACCCTCACACGCTCAGAGTATATCACAGACATTCTCCAAGAAAGGTTATTGGCAGTGGCTGTGCTGTAGTACTAACCCGGTGCCTTCCGGGACTCCTAGAGGCCGAGCTAACATGCCTTTCACATATTCCCTTGGGCAGCAAGTTTGAATGGCCGGAGCTAGGTGGCACTTGAAATAGTTGAAATAAGGTGTCCATAAGTTCAAATTCAGCCATATAGTTACGGTACCTACAGGTAGCCAGATACATCCCAGCAAGCTGCCTCCTTATTGATATTCCAAAGCGTCATCATTGACACAAGCTCAAAGTCCTTCAATCCCATGCCTCTATCTCTCATTTCATAACCGGGGAGCGAGTCAGTGGCCGAAGTCGGAGTCAAGGATTTCGCTTGGTGGGTTGGTGACGGCACTTGATATAACAACCCATCCGACATTTCAAAGTCAGCAAGTTGAACAGCCGTGAGCACAGTGAACGGAAATGGAATGTCTCTTGGAGCCCTAGGGCTTGACCTACGGGCCATATGAGAACTGCTTGCCAGTACTGTAGACATCAAGGGCTCTGGCCCTGGTCTTGTCCTCGGTCTTGGGTGTTACACTGGATCTCCCGTTATAGAAAGCTCGAGAAGACGCAAACAAGGAGGCGGAGAGCCATTGCTTGCGCGAGTGCTCCAGTTCTCGGGTGTGCTTCTGTCAGGTTTTAGATAAATGCTACGCGGGTATAAATCATCACCTGGCTCATTCCATTGTAGGTTTACAGTTTGGACATCACGCATTCTGCAGACAGAGGAGAACCATGGACAAGCCAAGACTCTAGCCGGGGTAAGTTGCAAAATAAGAGAGAAAGGAAAATAGAGAATAGAAAGAAAAGAAAGTGCAGGAACTGGATGAAGTCAGAGGGATGAGACAGCGGGCAGGTCATGCCAACGATGGAACACTTATATGACAAAGATGAATCTATTACTTACTCCATGAGCATAATGTAGTAGGTAAAGGTTCACGGATGCCGTCAAGCCAGTGAGAGGCGGGTAAATGGCGCAGCAGGGCTCGCGGCTTAAGGAAGACGTCAATTGTGAAGAAGTCAAGGAGATGTTGGAGGAGTCCGACAGTCAAAGCAGCGGTAAGAAGGATTCGCAAGAAGGGATTCGATGCATGCTGCCTTTATATGCACAACCTGTGGGAGAATGGCATCAGAAAGGATTCCGAGTTCTCTGTAGCTGACACCGGTGCCAAAGCCTGCCCGCTTCCGTGTACCTTACTATCACGGCCGCGGTATCTGGACAGACATGGTTTCGCCCTGGCGTCATGGGTCAAGCTCCACCCTGTTTCAATAGACGGCTGTCGTTTTCTTAAAAGCATGGTAACTGTGACATGACAGTTGCTTCGACTTTCGACTGGCCAGAAGTTGCCATTGAAAAAAATGTTCGGGAGACATCGAGATGGAGGAAGGCCAATCAGCAAACAGTTTGGACTGCGGCCGGCCACCGCGGCGATCAACTGCTGTGGTTCATGCACTCCCAGCACTCCGAGAACTCCCCGATCCCCCTCCACGATTGTCTGCTGGCCCGCCAAGATTTAGCAGTCTCGAATCAGACCCGCCTGCTTCTAGGAAACCCCACTTTGCCGCAATGTTGAACCAATTCGAAGTGAGGAAAGACTGGAAATTTCACGCGTCGGGTAATCCAGTATTTGGCAGCAATTGTCCACATGAGCTTCGCAGGGCATTTCGTGCAGCTCGTCAGTTGTTGATGTACACGCACCCTGTGCACATCCATCTCTCCCTCCACAGCTCCACTCAACCCCTTTTTTGAGTTCACTTATCCTGGAGGACCCTCTGCTGCCACGTTACCGTTGCGCTCAAGCGCTGGGGTTGTGATCGCAATCATCTCCACACCTCCCATCACTTCCATGCGCCCCCCCGGCTAACGCGCCGCCTTGCCGCGACGGCACGTACCGCAAGAGCATCCTAGCGTTTGACGCGGACTTGCTAGCCCCAAATAGGCGATCTGAGAACGAGGGAGGTTTGTGCACTTGTGAGCCGTGACAAAGTCAATGAGGCGCTCGATGCGGACGGCGCGTACCGCAAGAGCATCGCTTGACGCGTGAGACTTCGCTTGCCCTAAGCCAAAACAGCAAAAGATCTGCGTAAGTGCCAGAACATTTGAAACCACACAATTTTTCTATTGCAAATGGATTATCAGTACGAGATACGACCCCCTTCGTTCTCAATGACCATTTGCAGCCGTCTAGGCATTGAGTGCGCAAGCCTGCGAAGAAAATCAGGGTGCACGGCCTCCCTGTTGGACAGCAACAGTTACAGGCTCGAATAGGCATAGACCAACCAGGTGATATTGCATCAATTGAGGCACAAGATAAAGCTTGAATTGGCTGTCTGAACAGTGCGTCATGTGGGTGTGTTTCTTATAAGAACCGAGGGCTTCGGGACGCTCGCTTGTTGGGGTGACGAGTCTTCCACGTTTACTGCATTGGGCAACAGTGCCCAGCCCCTGAATCTGCCAAGGAGCCAGTTCAGTTCAACACTCCCAAGCCTCCCGAATAACTTGCTTAAGCCTCGCCCGCGAAAGGCCCTGAATATCGTAGTGTTTTTCAATCCAATTTTTCATCCAAGCCCGTACATTTTCAATGGCGCTTGAATCTCGGCTTCGAGCTGGCATATAATAACCTCAATTCCCAGCGCTGCAAGCAGTCTCCTAGTTGGACGGGCATCGTTATCTTGCTGGAAAACAAGGCCACCGTTTTCCTCGCAAAATGTATGGACCAAAAGGGACAGTAAACTGCTGATACTTCTCAGCAGTAATACCGTCATACTCTTCTCCTAGAAGAAGGAAGGACCTCTGGTCTCTCCTGCAGAAGACCCCGATATCCAGCTATGAGGCTTGGTTCTTATTAGCGCCGACGTCTCTGGATCCTCCGTATCGTAGATGGTAATCCATTGCTTCCACATTGGGTTGTAAGTTGCCCACGTCTCGTCATAAATGAGCACCCGTTCCCAATCTTCAGGACGGGGACGCAATGATAGTTGCTCGTATTGAAGGCAAGACGGTCAGCCTTGTGGCGATCTTCATGGTAGACTCGCCGTGGTCGTATTGCCCTTGTGTAGCCGATGGACCGTAACGTAATCGTGATGGCATGCTCCCCGTAGAGCTCAAAGCCAGGGATGTAATACCGCAAATCAACCCATGGCAGCTTGCGGTGGAGGAGGTCGGCACGAAGGAATTCGACAAGGACGGTCTTGTCAGGTGTCTTGATATTTGGCTTACAGCCGTGGTCGCATTTTCGTGGGGTGAGCGGCCAGTTACGGCATCTGGCGCTTGGTGGACTGTCATGCCAGTAACCTGGGCCATCTTTAAGTAGTCCCACTTACAGTGCTTGCGCAGGGCTCGGATTTCGATCTTTTCGTCGCGCGTAAGAAGTTTTGAATGCCGTAAGCCTCGAAGAACTGGGCCAAGTGGCCGGACCTGGCCCTGTGTATGAAGACGGTAAAATCGCTGGGCTGCAGGTGTGGCGTGGAGATCTTCGTTGTGGTTAATCAGGGCGCTGATTTGCGTAGCTGGGTTAAATACGGTCGGTTCGCTTGCTTGCTGGCTGTTTTACGCGACGTAGATGCGGTAGTGGCCGGTGGACTCGGCGTCTGGGCTGCAGTTTACCCTAAGATGTTTTCCTATAGAAACTGCTAGGAGGGTGGCCTTGGTGGAAAGTGTCAGTGACGCGAAAAAAATACTAGACCTAAATGGGGCGAAGTCTCGCACTAGGATTATTTACCCCGGAGGGGGCGTATCAACAACACGCCATCGTACAGTACTTATCGTGTGAGAGGCAGCCATTCGTTGCCGGCGTTTTCCCAAACTGCACGTACGTGTATTGTGTATTCCCGTCACGGCTCACGAACCTCATCTCTTCCAAAGTGAGGTGAGATTCACCATGCAACAGCTGTTTCAGACAATTGCTCGTGTTGGACATCGCAGATCGTCATTGGCCAGCGTCCTTGCCCTCAACGTGGTTCAACACCACGCGCAGGATGCCATATGCCGAAGTCACGCCCAAAACCTGACTACCACAATACGGATTTGAGCAACTGAACAGCCACTAGCAGGGCGTTGATAGGCTGGAATGCTTAAGGTAGTGGTTGTTGAGTTGGTTGTAACGCGACTCACCGACGTAAGTGAGACGCTGGGGCAGGGGCATTGGGCAACCTACATTACTTCAACGTCAGCGGTGAGGACTCGAATCGCTGACGAACTATGTCGAGACTTCTGCCATAAGAACCCTAACCTTATCAACACACGCGTTCCCTTTTCCCAATCCGTAACCCATTTTCGCCGCGCATTTGTATTGCCCAATTCCGTCACGCATCCAGTTTGTTGCCCATTGCGCTGGCGACTTTGACTACTTTCACGGCTCCACACATCATGCAGGGCCTCTCTTTTTACTGTGTATGTGGGCTTTCATGACCCCCCACAGACGCCTTCGCTGCATTTGCTCATGTGTGAGCCTGTCAGAGCCATTGTGGGCCATGGACAATGGTTTTGTCGTCCCCCGAGCCTGACCTGTATTGGACTCCTTTCTGGCCGAGTCGCTCGACAAGGGATTGGCTGACGGCAGACAAGCGCCACGCAGGCACGCATTGCGTCAAGGTATGGCCCGGACAGGATACCTACTGGATTGAGCTCATCATAACCAAGATGTTCCAACCAAATCAGGCTGGTGGCATTGCTTCCGAACCTGGAACGGATCGACATGGTGATGCTCTCTATCATGTCATAGTGGTCAGCTCGTCCTGATAAACATCAGCACAGGCAGAAAGGGAACAACACGTACGGTCGGTAGTATCATATAGCAAATGGGTACCGTAGCTCCCACCATCCGTCAGGCGCAAGCAATAAGATTGGGGTCCTAGCATCGAAGATTCTCAAGCTCAAATACAAGGTTTTAGCTAGGTGAACACTGAAAAACCCCAACGGTAATCGGGTAGGACCTTGGGTAAATCCATTGATGTTGGGTGAAGTTGGGTTTTGGAACGGTTGAGGATCGCCGAGGTAGTTTTTAGCACGATCCCATCGCTGTGTACACAATAGTTGCTTGAGAAGGAAACGAGGAACGCTGTGCCACAGGACCGCATGCACTCCCAAGCATGTGACTACCGCATAATCGCAGCCTAATGAATGGCTCGATAGACAAGAAGGGAGAAGGGTGTAAAGACCGCCACCAGACAACAAAGTCCACTTTGCATAACCGGCGACGCTTGGTTATTTCACTCATTTTTCAATGTCGTCTCTACCTACATAGCAATGGCTAGATACCAATTTGCTTGCCTTTGGTAGAGAATATCGAGGTGTTGATCCGAGTAAGTAGCTCTGAAGTTAACCCCCTGATTTTACTAACCTACCTCTAGTCTATCTTCACCGATGAATCGTCTTGCCAAAACAATTCAAGCAGCCCGACGACTTGGGTCTTCCGGTTTCCCTCTCAAAAATGGGATAAGGACTTCGTCAATATGCAGAGCCATGGCAAAGGCACTATTTCGAACATGGTTTGGGGGGGGGATCTGGAAAGGGGGGAGGACTGACCTCGTCGTCATGGAACGTGACTACAACCCACCGGCAAAAGGGGGATATACCTCTTGAAGCTATCAAAAGGCCTTGCAACAGGGCCTTCTCCCAATTTACGATGGTACAAGGAACTTTCAGCTGGATAATGCTCGGGTGCACACTTCAGCATCCTCGACCGAGTGGCTCCAGAACTCCGCAATTGAGGTCCTCGAAGACTGGCCTGCTCACAGTCCAGATCTTAACCCAGTTGAGCATATGTGGGCTCTGTTGAAACGGAAAATGACGCAGGAATATCCACATATCTGGTCCCTCAAGAAAAACCAGCTGGATGTTGCTGAGTTTACCCGATGTCTTCGGCGTTGTTGGTGGTCGATTGACCAAGCTCAGATTGACAGGCTGATCGACTCGATGCCCCGGCGATTGGCTGCAGTCAAGAAAGCCAGGGGTTAATGTACAAAATGTTAATAGATGGGACCAAAGTTTCAAACTGCATATATTTGTATTGCTAGAAATTAAGTTGATGCAACGTTATCGCAGGATAGATGTCTTGGTTATGATGTCCAAAAATGGTGTGGCGGGGATGGTTGATGCGGGTCTCGCAGACTTTTGAACCCCCACTGTACAGATGTACCTTGAACATCACAAGCTCCAACCGAATCTCGCTTCCTGGCAACATGTCTGCCAGTTGGGGTTCTGCGCTCCAGACAAGGCTTTGTGACGATTGCAAAGGAATTCGCTTCCATGATAAGGCTTCCGGTGGTTTCGTGAGGTTGTCCAAGGAGGGCACGCCTACCCTGAAGTACAGAAAAATCAGGGGTTTTCACGAGCCCCCTGATGAACCAACACAGAACTATTTTGTCACCCAGTTTTCCTCGGCTGGAGGAGTCGGCAGCAGTGGGGTACGCCTTCTGTGGCTTCCTCCGCTCTGCGGTCTTGCAAGCAGGTATCGAAGAGCTAGAGAACCGAGGAGAGGTTGCTAAATGCCTGTTATGAATGGGGTCCGCGCCGAGATGGCGAGGTGAAAGGACGAGAAGGGCTTCACGCGTTGACGGCGGAACTTCGAGATGCCAACGTCCAGGGAATTGGTGTCCTTCGCTTTGACGTTTACTCTCGGAATAGTAAGGACCTCCCACGAACCTCGAATTGGCAGCGCTGACGACGAAATTTAGTGGCCACAGCGAACTGGTTAGGTATACACAACCGCCCTCTAGCGGAGGCGCTCGGCCCTGGAAACGTGCCATTCATCAAAGACACTGTCGAATTCTGTGCGTCGGACTGTCATACGCCGGCGGACATCTCCTTCCTTCCCACCAGACTGCTCGATGTTGGAGCAGATTCCTCTTCACATCCGCGCCTCATCAAAACAGCAGAATCCATCACGGCGCCCATCCAATATGCTACCCTCATTTACTGCTGGGGGGACAAAGTCGATGCTGCTGCTCAGACGAAGACAGAACTGTCCAACCCACCCGGGAGGCTGCGCGCTATTCCCACGAGTAGCATGTAAGCCGTCATGCAAGACGCAGTCGCAGTCTGTGGGGCTCTTTCGGTCTGTTACCTCTGGATGGATACACTCTGTATCATCCAAGACCTAGCGGATTTAAGCAACTGGGAAAGAGAGAGCGAGCAGATTGGCCAGGTCTTCCAGAACGCCTACTTTCCCATCTGCACTGTGCCCATGACCAACTGCCACCAAAATTTCCTCGATCGCCGCCAGCACGCGTTCGATTTTGACATCCAGTCCTCGCTCCACCCGCTCGCCAGGAGCGCATTCACCTTGCTTTACACCGGCCTCCCTGATGACCATTGGGATCTCGACTCCCCTGCCATCGATCTCCAAAATTCGCTGTAGAACGAGCGCGGATGGGTTCCCCAAGAGCCAGAGCTTTCTACCAGGCCTTTTCGGCCGGCACATGGTGCGCTTTGAGTGCGGCACGTTATGCCGAGTGTCGGAAAACGGCGGGAGACCTCGCTGGAGGCCTGGCGTGAACTGGCGCCGCGCAGCATTGGCCAAACAGCAACTTGAACTCCCGAAGTTACTGTACTTTGCGTTCAGGATGTTTGTGCGTGATAACGCTGCGCGCAAGCTGTCGTCCAAGTCAGATCGGCTGCTCGCTCTGTCCGGCATCGCGAGGCACGTGTCTGACCTGACCAGGGACAAGTATCTCGTTGGACTGCGGAAAGAGGGCCTCTATTCCGCCCTGCTGTGGTATCCCAGCAAGGCCAGGCAAAGTCTGGCGGAGCGTCTTGCTCCTCTTCGGACCTCGTCTGGTTCGGGCGCGCCCCCATGGTCTTGGGTCTCTCAGCCAGGCAGATGCTTCGACTACGGGGCCGACCTCGCTCCGCGCGAGTATCACCTGCGTCCAGAGTATAGAGACACTGATGGATGGACCGCATTGAAGGGCGCCGGGCTGAATCCGTTCGGAGAGGTGGAGAGTGGCAGGATACGGCTTCGAAGTAAGATGCTGACTATACCGACGGACCTGGAAATGTATCGCCGGATCTGGAGCGGGAGCATTCCAGGTTCTGGGGAGCCGCTCTTTGGCTGGTATACCAACACTAGACCAGCGTGGCATGTTGCGTTCTAGACGACACCAGTGCTCCCCAAGAGCAAGAGCTAGGACACTGAACATGTTGCACTTATCCAGCTCGTGCTGTCTCAAAGAGACGGACATCGGCAGTATGGACTACTCAGTCATTACATGACGGAAGAGGACGGCAAAGGGCAGTATGACGAACGGGAAGGTGAAGACACTGGAGGAAGATCCAAGTGATGATGGGACTGGGAGCGATCTGAGCCAACGCAGTTTATCAAAAGCTGAATTTGCCTCTAGGCTCTACACCTGGCGGCGAAAACAGGACGGCAAAGCAGATGACAGTGACGAGTATGGCGAACTCGAGGATGAAGACGAGGATGAGAAATATGCTGAAAATGCGGATGAAGTGTCTAAAAGAGGGATGGGTATGGGGGTGCGAGGACTCCAGCCGAGGTAGTTCCTCAGAAGATGAGACGGACGGCTTGAAGACTCGGGCGGCGGTTACGTCTCGGCTTATTACTGTGTTTGTTGCAACAATGAGGGCCACAACCGACGTGCTTGGGGTCTTATCCTCCATCGGGCAAAAAAGGTCGGGGAGGATTATCGAGTGGGTGTATTCCTCGTCGGCCGGGAGGGACACAACTTTTTCGAGGATGTGCAGATCCGAACTGTCGACACAATCTGATGCAAAGGAGAAGAGAGCGTTGACATCTCGGGCAATGTTCCATCTCTATAGCTTCTTTTCCTTTCCACGCCCTAAGCTTGTCATAGGTACAGTCCCATTATTAGCAAGACATTGGCGCATCTCAAAAGAGCAAGGCATGGACCGGCCAAGTGCGCAAACACCTTGTCTCCGGTGAGTTGGGCAAAAGCACAACAGCATTAGCAGAGACGCCGCAACATGGTGGGGTTTTAAAAAGTCTCGCTGTAATCCGTAGACGCAACCGGTGATTGACGGTGTTGCAACAGCCCTTGCGATTCTGTGGACGCCGCGGATGGATCGAAGGGACAAATCTACCTACCCAGGCTGACGCAGAACTGGAGTTGAGCTATCACATAGTACGTTATCTAAAGTAATCGCTATTGTTAGTTGATGTGGCCTATGACCAGAACTCGACCTGTCAATTGGGACGGGAGTAGTTGATGGTGCTGGGGAAAAATCACGGAGTACGCGTATTCTACGAAGTTCTCTGGCGTGGACGTGTCGAAAAGCGCGGCGGAGAGACAACAGCCGAGGGACGTGCCGTGAAGCCAGCGGCATCTGTGAGCTGTCAGCACAACTGCACAAGTATTTCTGGCAGCCAATGAGCTGTGAACGCTCCGCATGAGTCAGCCAAGCACATGCATCAGGGGACGGATCTGACAGGTCGGCTAAGCCGGGCGTATCATAGATAACCTCGATGCGATGGCGGCCGAGCTGTGTGTATCGTACGAGACAGTACATCCGTTTGGGGCTGGGCGGTTTGGCGACGAGGCTATGAATGAGGCCTTGGAATATAAGGCTGTCGGTGAGTATAGTTCGACGGCGCTTTCGCTTCACTCGAAGCTCATCTCGTCGTCCAATACACTTCGTCCACTGCCACCTTTGCGCCGCTTGCTGTGTCGGCCGACCCAACACGGTCGAGACCTGGGATCGCCCTTCCTTGCCTCCGCCGCCAACTTCGAGCTGCCAACAACTTGACCGGCCTACGCGAGCACCTGGTCCCCTTATTGGGAATATGGAACAGCCCACGCATAGGCGTGAGGAAGGAGCTGAAGCTGCTTGTTGCAGTGTGTTCGATATCTTGAAATACTTTGGGGAGATGCTGTCCAGGCTTTGTGATTGACGGGGCTGGGGACGGTGGGGCCACGCCGAGCGGATACAGGGAGTCGCCAAGGGACAGCCACCGCAGCCCTTACCGCGCCAAGAACAGCACGGCGGGGCGGAAAGCAATGCCGAGTATGACAATGCTGTGGGTTTCACGTAAATCTCAATCAAGGGGCAGGGAAAGAAGACCAGAGTACCTTCTGAGTCGGGACCAAACTACATTCTGAGAAACGATTCTTGGGAACCTGGAGGTTCGAAGGATGATTCATAGTCGGTTGTTGTTGTTGAAGACAGATGCGCGGGCTTTGCCAAGCGAGGCAAAGAAACAATCTCGATTTCAGGCTGTGGCCCGTGCATCGCCGCGTCTCCGTAGCCGCCGGGATTTACCGGACAATTTTTTTCCAGTCGCATTTTCCGAACTTTGAGCCACCTCCTACCTCTCCTTCTCCAAAAAGGCTCATTGCCAACCAACCACACCCGAAACCTCTCACCAGGTTCAATCGACGCCCTCTCTTGACCCTCGCGATTCCGACGAGCGTCAAGAAATCACTCCACTCAGTTTCTTTGTTTCTTTAATATCACAACAACAGACACAATGGCCACCAAAGCGGACGCGCCGAAGGCGCAGCTCACTGGCTTCCAGCTGTACTCGAGATTCGCCCTTGCCGGCGCGGTCTGCTGCTCCGTCACTCACGGTGCCCTGACCCCCGTTGATGTGTACGTTCCCTATTCTCGCGGCCCGTAGTCGCGAGCGCGCGCCCTTGAGATACACCGCGGCACTATCGAGAACACCGACGGCTAACGCTCCGACTTCACACAGCGTCAAGACCCGCATCCAGCTCGACCCCGTCACCTACAACAATGGCATGATCGGCGGCTTCAAGAAGGTCATCCAGGCCGAGGGCGCCGGTGCCCTGCTTACCGGCGTCGGCCCTACCTTCGCCGGCTACTTCCTCCAGGGCGCCTTCAAGTTCGGCGGTTACGAGTTCTTCAAGCAACAATTCATCAACAACCTCGGCTACGACACGGCCTCCAAGTACCGGACAGGTGTCTACCTTGCCTCGGCCGCCGCCGCCGAGTTCATTGCCGATATTGCCCTCTGCCCCCTCGAGGCCACCCGTATCCGTCTCGTGTCGCAGCCCACCTACGCCAGCGGTCTCGTCAGCGGCTTCGGCAAGATGCTCACCACTGAGGGCATCGGTGCCTTCTACGCCGGTTTCGGCCCTATCCTTTTCAAGCAGTAAGTTCCGCTTAGACCCGCTCGCGCCTGCCGAGACTCACACCTTGTGCAGGATCCCCTACACCATGACCAAATTCGTCGTTTACGAGAAGGTCGCCGAGGGCATCTACAGCGTTTTCCCCAAGAAGGACATGTCGGACGGCCTCCAGACCGTTGTCAACCTTGGTAGCGGTCTCACCGCTGGTTTCGCTGCTGCCCTCGTTTCTCAGCCTGCCGACACCATGCTCAGCAAGATCAACAAGACCCCCGGCCTTCCCGGTGAGGGCACCACCTCCCGTCTGATCAAGATCGCCAAGGAGCTCGGCTTTAAGGGCTCTTTCTCGGGCGTCGGGGCCCGTCTCTTCATGGTCGGCACTCTCACTGCCTTCCAGTTCGCCATCTATGGGTATGTGTTTTACCCCCATCCACGCATTCCTCTGTGCTTCTCATTTCCCTACCTTTCCTGAATCACCAAAACTGACGACGGGCGCAGTGACTTGAAGAAGGCCCTTGGTGCGGTCGGCGGCGTGGAGATTGGCAAATAAATGCAGCCACGGGGTTCTGTCTGTGGTATTAATGACGAGAAAAGGCTTGGGAGGTTGAAATAGGAGGTGTTTTGTGGCCGGTTCGGCGATCTGTGGCCATCCGGTGCGGCCAGCACTATTGCGGAACGACACGCCGTGCAAGCTTGCCCCTTCTGGCTCGCGAATGACAAACGGTATGACGGACGGATATCTCGGGAATCCTACCATTTTGGGCAGATTTCTCGGGAGAAAACGACACATTTTCTTATGTCTGCAAACTCTTGGGCGGGATCTGGTTCTGGTTGTCTCGGGCGTGGATGCTTCACATAGAGCATAGAGCGCTTGCGCAAAAGCGCATCCTGCCAGAGGGTTGGCTGTATAATATGTCCAAAATGCATCCTTATAGCAATACTGTACATACGGTATAATGAGTGAGGGCCATCGTGATGTTCGCGTAGATGCAGAAAGCCAGAGCCGCGAGACCATATAGTTCAGCCTCACAAAGGCGGTCCCCCTTGGAACGTGAGGTATCCATCCGAAATGGTCATGGGCTTGCTATAATCATGCTGCCTTGCCCCTATCGTACATTACTGCCTAGGGACCGAGTACCACAGAGCAAAAGCACACACAAGAACACCTGCTCATACTGTCTTTGAACGAGTAAACATCTAGAGGCTTCGCCACAAATGCCAGTCTACACCACAATGCCCCTCTGCGCCCAACCATTCCTCCCCTTCCACGCCCACAGGACCAGCCCGCAGGCAATCCATACACTAGCCGCCATGGCCCAAAACGCAGGCGCATAGCACTCCTGTCCATAGCACAGATTCTCCTCCTCCCCACCCCTGCCACTACCACCACCTGACGAGGCCTCCCTCTTCGCACCAGCCTGATACACAGCCGAGTAGACCAAGCCCCACAGCGTGGCACCCAGTGCGGGGAACATGGCGACGATGCCCCAGTTGGTGGCAAAGTTCTCGACGCCCCAGATGACGGTGATGATGATGGGCGTCAGGCTGAAGACGGCGCCGTAGCCGGCGCCTACCAGGCCGGATACGAGCCAAAAGCGGTCGCCGTGGTTCTGGACCAGGCCCGATGCCAGCCCGGTCAGGCCCAAGGAGAGAAGGAGAGCGAAGGCGAGGAGGAAGGTGACACGGGATACGGAGAGTCTGCCGTTGCTGCCGAGGAGTCCACGGGAGGGAGTGATTTGGATGTGCCGGGCTTTGGGGCTCGGGGCAAGCAGGTCGGTCAGGGTGCCGGTTAGAAGGCGGGCGGCGGTGCTGGTTATGCCGACGATGGAGACGTGGGTTGCGGTTGAGGTGGGTTTGCCTTCGTAGTGGAGTGTCGGCGGGTACAGAGACTTGATGACGGTGCCCATGTTGTTGATGAAAGCTTCGCCGGGCCCGATCATGAAGAAGAAGCCGAGGGCGAAGCACCACATGGTGTGGTCGGTTAGAAAACGGCGGGTCTCGGCGTTGAGCACCCACTGCTTCTTCAGCAGGGCTTCCTCCTCTGCGGGGTCCTTGGTGTTGGCGTCCTCCAGCTGGTCGAACGGATCGCCTCTTTCGATTGCCCCATAGCCGTTTTCCGATCTTCCGGGCGTGAACATGGCGCTCCCATCTAGTAGTCCGCTCCTCTCCAGCTCCTCCACCGCTTCTTCAATCAAATCCTCCTCGTCGACAATCTTGAGCCCCAACGCCCCAGCAACACCGACCGCCACTAGCAACACGGCAAGAAACACAAAGAACCTAACCACATCCACCTCCCCTTCCTCGGTGCTGGCGTCACGACTCGCAAACAACCGACTGCCCACCTGGCTCAACCACATGCCGCTCAACCCAAACGCCGCGATGGGTACAGCAACCGCCAAGCCCCTATGCTTTCCCCTCCCAAAATTCTTCGCGCACGTCGCCACGGCACTCATGTACATACTGCACGTGCCGATCCCAATCGCCACAAACGCGAGCACCATCAACACATACCACCGCCTCTCCTCCTCTTCCCCCTTCCAGTCCCCCCCACCCACCGGAGGCATCCTCCCCACAACCTCCTTCGCCCGCTCATACCCAACCGCAGCAGCGCTATACCCAGCCCCAAACATGCCTGCCGCCAGCAGGCTCAGCAGCGCCGGCCCGGCCCGATCACACAGGTATCCCAGCAGGGGCACCGGGACGTACATGGCTATGGACGCGGCGCTGGCCAGGCCGTTGACGCGGAACTGCGAGTAGTGCAGGCGCGACTGGAAGGTGGCGCCGTAGAGGGAAAAGATGGTGATGGAGCCCGCGCAGAGGGCGGATACCAGCGCCGAGAGGAGGGAGGTGGTTCGGAGGAAGCGGAGGGACCGGGAGCGGAGGGAGGCCGTCGGGCTGAGGGTTGACGGGGTTGATGGTGGCGAGGTTGGGCGGAGGAGTGGGGAAGTTTCGGGGGAGGAATCGGCGGCGCCCGGGGTGCCCGGGCGGTTTGGGAAGGGGGCCATTTTCTGCGATGGCGTAAGGTGGTGAGGGCGATGGTCTCGGGAGCGGTCGGGGCCTGTTGGGTCGGATTGGGGTTGGGGATCGGCCGGGAGGCCGTTTATAAGGGACGTTAATCAGAAAAGACGGTTTGCATTTCCACGGAGATATGGGGCCGTCAATTGATACGGGCAGGCACGCGGGTGTAGTACCCCGATTGCGTAGAATGTTCTCGGATTCGAAAGGTAGGAAGTCGGACGCTCGTGACAAGATGGGAGTCATGCGGATGCAGGAACCCGAGATGACCTCAGCGGGTCTGTGCATGCTTCCAGTACCAAGGCCAAGGCTCCACTCAGCCCCGAAGTGCACTCATTCAGCGCCAAGACAATGGAAAATCTCAACAACGCCGGCCTCAACTCTGATCTTGCTGCCAGGCTAGGGTACGGTAACCGTCACTGATTTGCTGTTGACTTCAGTTTGTACCAAAGGTAGAATCCAAGATTACCGGCACCTTCATGACCTCGGCTTCTATAAACATTTGCGTACCTCAACAATGCTCCCATTGGACTCAGTTCTCCGTCTCGCCGAGCTAAGAACAAACAGCTTGGAGCAGCACCAGTATGTACATCCGTCTATCATAATTAGATCACCCGGTCTTAGCCCGCGACCTCCCCGTCAGCCACCCAACTGCCTTTTTAAAATCATCACCAACCCTCTCATCATTATCCCTCGCCTTCTCCAACCCGCCCATCCTCAAACCGCCAGGTAGCATCCACCACATCAACAGGATGAACACCAAGATGGCCAAGCAAATCGGCTGCAGCACCTCGACGCCCTTGCTCTGCGCAATGGCCCCGACCGCGAAGGGAAACAGCGCGGCGCCGCCACCGCCAAACGCCGCGGCAAACCCAATGGCCGACACATGGTAGTCGCTGGGCAGGAGCTTCGTGGCAGCCACGATGGCGGCCGGGAACAGCGGGCCCAGGAAAAAGCCGAGGAAGGTGACAAAGGTGGTCGAGGCGGCAAAGTTGGGCACCAGCCAGTACAGCAGCTGCAGCGCGACCGACAGCAGCAGGTACACAGTGATGGCCAGCTTCTCGCCGATGCGGCCCGTCACGAACCCGAGCACGACCCGGCCGACCGTCAGGCCGAGCCAGAAGAAGGTTGCCGTCAGCCCCGCCAGGAACGGCTCGGCGTCCCGCACCTTGAGCATGAAAGTCACGATCCACCCGCCCAGCGACACCTCGGCGCCGACATAACCCAGCAAGAACATGGCCACCAGCCACACGACGGGCGAGCGCAGTACCGTCCGCGTTGTCGTCCTCTTGCCCCCCGTGCTAGCCATGTGCATCTCGCGATGCACCTTGCCCGTGGCGCGCCAGAAGGCCGGCACGAGCAGGAAGAAGGCCAGCCCGTCAAGGCCAATCATGACGTAGTAAAACGTGTACCACTCCAGCCCGCCGCGGGTGACCATGGCGGTAGCGATGAGCGGGCCGATGGTGGCGCCCAGACCGTAAGCGCCATGCAGGAAGCCCAGCAGTTCGTTGGCGCGGTGCATGTTGCCGATCCAGGCGTTCCAGGCCGAGTCCTCGATGCCGTTGCCGAAGCCGGTGAATAGGAGGACGATGGGAAGGGCTGGGTAAGGAGGGTGGAAGACTAGCGGGATGATGCCCACCAGCCGGGAGACAGGGCCTAGGATGGCGACGCCGAGCTGGCCGAAATGGTGGTGAATCAAATTGTTGAGAGCCGCGGCCAGGACGTACCCCACGAAGGGGGAGAGGAAGACGAGGGAGACCACGGTGTAAGATATGTGGTAGTAGGATTCGATCTGGTGCCATGGTGAGTACACGCTGACTGGTAAATAAGCATCTCGGCCGAACCTACATAGGGAAGCAGGGCCTGTTGAGTGGTTAGCGTTTTACTTCTTTGAAGACAACAGGGGTCAACATACGCCGACAGCACCGTCTGTCATGCCCATCAGGATGAAACAATAGAGGGTTGAGAAGAAGCGAAGGACGTTGCCGGTGGTCCCATTCCAACGCTGAAGCTGGGCCGGGGGAGGGGACGGGTTCCCGGACTCCTCGTCGGTGACATCTTGGGTGGTCTCGGCCTTCTCTTGGTCTGCGATGCAGCCATCATGGTTGCTGCCGTGTGAGCTGATGTGCTTAATCTTGGTCACGGGCTCGGGGCCGGGAGTTGCCATGCTGAAACGGGTGGAGTAGCGACAGTGGGCGTGGAGTGTGGAATCTGATGCTCATTTGTTTCGAGAGTTGACAGCTGAAGGATCGTCGAGAGAGTACTCTTTCTTATAGATGCTCATCAGTGTCCCCCGTGCCTCTCGAAACCCCGGTTGACAATGCCTGCTGTAAAGGGCGTACCGATTGCTCATCAAGGCCGGGGTCCGGATGCATTCACTATACACACAACGAGCGGTCAGGGCAGTGGGAACTACCCAGCGTTGCCCCGTCGATCGACTGATGATGAAAAAGTATCCGAAGAAAAAGCGAAACGTGCAGCGGGGAGGGCCATGATGAAAAGGGCATACCGCATGGTGTGTTCCATTTTACAGTCGGGTGTGGGTCGTTATTCCCGATGATGGACGAGGATGGATGCCAAGATGCATCCAAAGCATTCTGACGACAGCGTCATCAGCGTTTTCTGCCATTTCATCAATTTTCGACAGGCGCAGTTCGATTCCGAGGCTTAGCCGTCCGGGCCGGGTCTGCCGCCCCCGTGAACGGCACCTCCGCACCAACTCCGCATGCGCCCCGCAAAGCGACCTTCGTGCCGACAGCCATGCTTCGAGCCACATGACCTGCCTCAATTTTCGCCCACCTCCGCAATGTCGCATCTGTCCTTTTCGTCGGCCCGGCTTCTGCCCTATGAAACATCATGACGGTGGACGCGGGAATCACATTGGGTATTTTTGTCCGACAACATAAACCAACTTGAACATTACAGTGATATACATTTGCAAACCCAAGTCGTCGACAGCCCTCACAATCCATCTTGAATCGGAAACTCCGCTCCGCTCCGCTCTCCGGCACAACGCTCCACCGAGCCCGGTTCCGAGTCGTCGGCCCGACACTTCTTGCTCCAACCTCTCGATGCTACATTTTACTGAGTGATCAATATACCCACCGGCGTAGTATCTGTTGCTCTGAAATGTATACTACGCCAGTAGCCAACTTTCACAGTTTCACCTCAGGAGCAAGGAACTGTGGAGCATGCCCTGGGCCGGCGGACACCAGTCATACGGTGGCCCGAGACTCAATCAACAGAACTCGTGCTGACTGTTTTCAATCGAGTGAGCTGAATCGGAGACCCGAGTTGACGACCGTCTGAGTTGGCGCCATGTTCCCGATATCACCAGTACCACAGTGACTGGGGCGGCTCTGATACAGGATGTCCCGTCTCGGTCCTCTGCCCATACGGTATCTCCAGCATGCAGTGATTAGGTTCGAATTTTAATGTGCCCGCTCCCAGGACTCACGCCCTGCCCCTCACATCGGCTTCCCCGCTCGCTGGGTGTCCCGCCGTGCCACAAACCAGCCTCGCCAATGGAAGGGAGTGCCAACACCGAACTAGTTCGCGGCGCAGCATCGCAAGACATGATGCTCTGCTTCTTCAACAAAAAAAGTTGACGACTGGCTGAGGGCTGCCTTGTTAAAACGCAGTCAACCACCAAAGCCGTCACTTTCAGCATCATCACAACAGCGAGAACGGATACGGAGGCATTGATTGCATGTCATTAGAGAGTATATTCCCAAAGAATACTAACTAGCGTAGGAGTCGCAAGTTATCACAGGGTAAGTAAGAGTCCAACTCGTGTGAGAACCAGCCCGTCCGGCTCGAGAGACGATCGCCAACCCCTTGCTGCCAACCCACGCGAACATTACGATTATAGCCACCGCATCCCGCCCTGCCGTCATGTCAAAATACCCTCACAAGGTGGCGGACGGCGAGGCCGGATGCCAAACCTGAACCTCCACTCCCCAGTCACTCCCCAACCAAACTCAAACCAGTAATCCAATGGCGAGGGCGAGCGCAATCGCCACCGCTGCGCCGCTCACGCCGAGAATACCGCCCAAATTCTCCTGGTCGCCCCCGACGACGGTCGAGGCACAGAACTTGGGCCCGCCCTTGCAGAGGTTGCACCATTGATTCGCGTCCCGAACGCCGACAATCCGCATCGCCTCACTGAAGTGCTTGAAATGCATCGTCGACTGATTGCCAAAGAGGGGCACGGGGACCACCTGGGCGGAAGGACCCGTGCTGGGCCGATAGAGGACGCGGACGTAGAGCTCCTCGGGAGACGGGCAAAAGGCGTGGTCATCGCCCTGATGGTTGCTTGCCGGGAATGACTTGAGGGGCACCTGGTGGAGCGGCACGTTGTTGTAAGAGCCGGCCTTTTCATTGCCAATACCGTCAATGCTGCCGCCATCGTAGCTGCGGCGTCCAAAAGGGCCGCGGGAGATGGAGCCCTGCTCACTGCGGTCATTTCCACCAAAGTTGTTATTAGAGGATTTGTCGTTGTTGCAAGAGCCGAGGTCGCAGGAGTTGCTGTCGCAGGAATTGCTGTTGCAGGAGTGGTCGTCGCAGCAGCCGGCGTTGTTGTAAGAATCATGGTTGCTGGAAGAATCGAGGTGACCGTAACGGTCGGCCAGGGTCGAATCCACAGAGAATAGCTCAAAGATCAGCGCCGCTCCGGGCTCGGGGAGCCGTGAGAACTCTGCGCCGTCGGGGTTTGCGAGAGCGAAAAAGGCCAGGAACGGCTCATGCGAGGTGAAGGCCAGGTTCAACTTGTTGTGCTTGCCACACGACTTAACGTTTTCGGAAAACTGACTGAAGACCCTTGTTGCAAGCGTGCGGGCGGCGATGCATGAGGACTTGTCGTCTTCACCTTGGGGTCCAGTCGTGGGGGCAGCGTGTTTGAGAACCTGCTCGAGCCAGGCGAGTTCCCGCAGCTGCTCCAGATCGCCGCGAGTGATGAGCGAATGAGACTGCCCGTCGTGATTCCAACGGTATGCAGCGTACTCGTACAATTCGTGGGCGTGGTAGAAATTGCACTGCGAGGGAGAGAAGGCATCGCAGAAGATCTTGTCCCACAGGCCGGTGTAGAACCCCTTGGTTTGCTGGTAAGTCAAGTCCGCCGCGGGGTTGCCGGGAAACGCTTGCAGTGACTCTTGGTGCTTCTTGCACGTGTGATGGCCATGGCTCCTAAAACCAACGGTTGTTAGCGACACTTCCCTGGCCAACGGATCGTCACATACCAGATTGCGTCTTGGTCATAATGGGGCGAAATGGTCCTGACGTTGGGGTACTGGTAGCCACACAGAGGGTAATTCAGAATCGAGTCGTTGCCTGTCTGGATGTATTCCGGGATGCCAAGGTCGCAGGTCGTGTATGGCCATGGAGGATAGAGTCCCTGCATGAATGCGAGGGCACTGGCCGCGGAGCATTCGTCCGTAGACGACTCGACATAGAGCTGTGAGTTATCGATCGCCTTCGATTGGATGCCGACAAGGCCGACGAAGTCCTCATGGCGTGAGGGACGAACATAGCGGTTGCGGAAGGCCGCTCCCTGGTCATACAGCTGGTGTGCACCCAGCGCCGTGAGTTTGGCGTGGTCCGATACTGCGAGCGGTATGTGGTCACCGTGCATAACCTAGGAGGACGATGACCACACGAGCTCGGTGTTGGGCTCGGCCATCGCTCGATGTTGAGGCTCGGCCAGTGGTCGTTGTTGGGGCAAGGCCAGCGTGGCTGGTGTCAAGAGGGCGAGGATTGTTGAAATGGCGGCCATGAATTCGAATGGCCAGGTCGGCGTGTGGTAAAGTCTCGTGGTGATAAGTGATGGAAGAAGTATTATGAAGCGGGCACAAAAGAGTGTGTGGTTGTGGAGAAGAAGATGATGATGATCGTGCTGACGGGAGTTTGGGAGAGAAAAGAGGAACAGGACGGGCGAGACAGAAACCCGCGACTAAATAAGTACTCTATCCAATTCTCCCACTGTCCCCGTCCCTGCCCTCGGTGAGGGCATTTGATCTTGGGCAGAGGCAACCACTGTTGCCAGGCACGAGTGTGTTCCTTCACCTCAATTGTCGTCCAAATTCGTCGGCCCTGCCACGGAGAGGAAGGAACCAAGGGCCCATTTGGGAAGGTAGAAGCTCAGATAGGAGTCCCTGGACTGATAAGTTGCCAGCAGGAGACGGACCGTCTTGTATCGGTCATAAGCAAGCACCACTGGCACCATCGACAACTTGACCCTTAACTGTCAAGATGGGAAGAATCACCGTTGTCGGCGACTTTGCAACAGGGCCTTGATGGTTGTCCCGCTGCGGTTCGAGGGAGGAGCAGGCAAGTGGGGCCCACTAACGCAACTGGTCGAAACGGGAGGGGCCGGGGTTGTTCCCCGGCGTCGAGGCCAATTGATCGACACAACTTGGGCTGGGATTCAAGTTGTTGGTCCTGCAAGGCCAGCGCTACTTTCCCAACCGCCCATCACCAACTCGGACTAAGTTGATCTTGGGATCGTGAAAATAATTGCCCTCGGACTTTACACCAGAAAACCCACGTTCGTTTACGAGAAACGGTCGCGGCAGGCGTGATCTCTTCAGCTTGAGAAGCAAGCCAGCGGCGAAGTTGTCCCTTGCGTCTCCGCAGCTGCTTCCGTTCTTACCCATCTCGAAGTTCAGCTTGGATCTGCTTTCCCAAAACTGACGTCAGCGCGATTTCCAGCCGCAATCTCAGATGGCATCCAAGCCAAACATGGCTTACCGTCGACGACTCCGTCCTGAGAAGTCGGGGGGGGGGGGGGGGGGGGGGGGGGAAGGGGGGTAAAGACGGGAACCCCCGGATTTGAAACGTGCCGAAGGCAGTTGGCTTCTGAGCGAGACACCTGGTGCAGTGCGCGCTTGCAGCGGACACAGCCCGATGCCAATCAACGCCATTGGTGCATTTGCCGCTTCGAGTCCAATTCGGTACAAGCTCTGCATACAGAGACTCAGCAAGTGACAGGGCCACGGACGGGAGCTGCCGAGATGGCGGACCTGTGTTGTTCAGTGCTGCAGCAAACCGGTCTTTAAACCTTCAGTTTCCTCGTCCCAGGAGTGAGATCTGAGGCGGCACCTATTCCTGCAGAAGAGATACGACGTTTCGAGACCGTGACAGCGCCGCGCCGCCTTCCGAACCCCAAACCAAAGGAGTAGTGGCTTGCATCGAGCACAGTGAAAAAAGCGGCGTGCATCAAAGACCCCCAGTGGTGCTGATGCTGCCCGGAGATTTGAGCCGCTAGTTCGGGGCTCGATCCAACCATTCTTTCCTTGCTTAACTTCCCTTGCAGCGCGCCCATCATCTTCTCCAAGTGGAAGACTGTTGGTTTCGACGGGTTTGGCGAGGACGATAGCCCGATGCGCAGGATCGCTCAGCCATGACAATCGTCGGCCCCTTGACAACGACGTTTCGGGCCGCTTCAAGCTGTACCACAGCCACTCCACAGGTTTACCAAGTCTGGTCCGGCGCCGAGTCGAGTTATGTCGAGGGGCCGCTCTTCACATCGGGCTCCGACTGTTTCCCGAGCGGTTACGATCCGGCGCCCGCGAATTACTACTCGCCTGGCTGGTGTCCGTATGGGTACACGACCGCCTGCTCCAGTCTCGCGTCGGTGAGCACCGAGACAGAGACGGCAGTGATCTGTTGTCCAACGTATGTCGAACCCGTCAAGTACCTCGTTGATGACGCGCGGGCCGCCAACTAAACCTATGTCGCTGTGCAGCCATTTCAGCTACACCTGCGTAGCTTCCGCTTCCCAAGGGCAAGCCGCGCTGGGGTGCACGACAGCCTGGGCGGGGGCGGAGGCCGTCATCGGGGTAACAGTCGTTACCGACGGGAAGGCCAGCACCACAACGGTGGTTTCGGAAACGTCCAACACAATCACGGCGTATGGCATTCAAGTCCGCTTCAAACCAGGGGACCCGACACCGGTCCCGACCATCAATAACCCTGTAAGCCTGACTCAATCCGAGAGAAAACGCGCAGCTAACATACCTCAAAAGCCATTATCCACCATAGCCCGCACATCAATACCCTCACTATTCATTCCTACTGATCTCCTCGTCCCTACGCAACTCGCTTCCTCTTCCGCCTCCAGCGGCGTTAGCACCCCTGCAGCCATCGGCATCGGCGTCGGCTCCGCGGTAGCAGCTCTCCTTTTGGCCGGCGCAATAGGTCTCTTCCTCTTTCTGCGCCGGCGGAGGAAACGGAGGTCAAATAGCTCGTCTTCTTCGCCTCCTCCGGTTCCGCCCAAGGAATTGCCCTGGTCGCCAGTGCCTTACCGCACAGTGCCCCCGCCATACGAGCTTTCAGAGGAGACGTCGCCGCGGGCGCCTTCCATGTCCTTCTCGAAGCGACATCTCTCAATGTCGCCAGTGCAGCGATGGACGCCGACCGGGAAAGGGGTGGGAGGGGACAGCGGCGCGCTAGCGGGTTGTCAAGCGGTGGAGTTGGAGGCGCCAAGCGAACGGTCGTTGAGGGATAGAGCATCTCCTGGGTCGGAGAGCAGTGGCTGGACCGACAGGCAGGCTCGTGGAGGGACGATGCCGACACCCTGGATTTAACGGTGTTGAAGCCGCGCCCGGCCGCCGGCGGGGCGGGTCTTGTGCTGCGTGGTCACCACATGGCGGCACGTTCCGTCTTTATGCGGTTTCTCACTCCTGGCCGGTGCGATCGCCACGAATGCGGCCCAGTCTTGGGTCGTTCCCGAAACACGCAAGACGAGAGCACATAAGGCCTTTCATACTCCCGATTGACGGGTCTTGTTTGCCGGGGCGGAGTTCATAATACCCACCTGCACATGCGCCTTCACTTTTACTTGCATTCACAACGGCACAGCTGCGTTGGAACAGCCAGCACGAAGATTTATACTGGGATTGGCCGAAGTCGGCTTTTTTTCCGACCTGGTGGTGTATCAGGTCTGTTAATGGACTTCTGGTTGTTTGACCTGGAAGGATGGGCCGGCAAGTTTGGATTTGGTCCTGGACATTGTTGGTTCTTGGTTTGGGATACGTTTTGTGTAATGACGCTCCTTAACGTGCCTGTACAGTCTCGGGGTATCTATATACATATCAATCGGTATTTTAGAGAAATCAAGCAACCGGAAAGCTTGCCAGCGACTTTGACAAAGTCCACCTCCAAGGCCTTGATACCTAAAGGAGCATGACAGCCAATCAGGTGTTAGCCCATCTGTCGCCAGCTGCCAGACTCTCATATCAGCCTGCCTTGCGCATCTGCCAAGCTCAAAATCCCCAGCCGCCCATCACCAACTGGAAGCTCAACACCACATCTCGCGTCGTGTCCAAATTTCCACCGTCCGAAGCAGACTCAAGAAAAACACCGCCGTTGAGCACTTTGTGCAGGCGAATAACGATATCGAACGACCGGAATCCTCTCATCTAGGCGCATACCAAGACTAGACCACTCCCAGCTCACCGAGCAAATCCTTGCTCAGCCTCAAGCTTGCCTTGCCTTGCCGCAAACGCACCCGCGCATTCCACCGCAAAAGACCAACAGATAATCGAGTCGGCGACAACAATGAGTTTCGTCCCCGTCAACCCCCGGCCCTTCTTGCAGGACCTGATCAACAAGGACGTGATTGTGCGTCTCAAGTGGGGCGAAACCGAGTACAAGGGCAGACTGGTGGTGCGTTTTCCTTCTCTGTTCCTCCCCTTCGCTAGAACAATTTCCGCATCTTCCTTTCCCACTGTCTCTGCCTCCCTCCTCACTTTGGGCCCTTGTCCGTGGAAACAGAAGATGATGTAAGCGGAGGCTGACAAGACTTGGGGCGGGGTGTGACAGAGCATCGACAGCTACATGAACATTCAGCTGAGCAACACGGAGGAATTCATCGACCGCAAGTTCACCGGGACATTGGGCCAGGTTTTGATACGGTGCAACAATGTGCTGTACGTGACGGCGGCGGACAAGGGCGGGGAAGGAGATCGGGATACCAAGATGGAGGGGTAGCCGGGTTGAAGTTGGGTCATGTGGGAAGAAGCTGAGGGAGGTGCTTACGGACAAAAGAGTTCAAGGACAGGGCCACGGACAGGACAGCTTGATCGAGGGCGGCTCTTCACCTCCGGGCCTGTCTCAGAGAACTAGAACGATGGGGATGATATCCGCCGCCATGGCGTGGGATGGACGGAATCACAGCCAACAGGACAGTGGGAGAAGACTAATGTCTGGATAGCGGGTGTTTCGGCATGGATGCTCCATCTACCATGCAGGGACACACTCTACGAGAGAGGTGGCGTTCCTTCGAGCCATCAAAGCATCTAGGGACACTAACGGCCCTCCAACTAGGACAGCCTGAACCCGAGCCCTACATCAAACAGGCCACCTTGCGGCTGCTGTGCAAGTCCGTTGCGCCAACCTTGATCCGCGCGCTGGGCGCAATCCACGCGTACACCTCTATTAGCCACTCGTACCAGACCTTGGTGTCGTCCGTCTGCCGCCACATGCTGACCTCGAGCTCCGTGTCCTGCGGGAAGTAGAGCGGTTTCTGTGAACCGTTAGTCCGTCACCCTTCTTTAACATGAGACCAGAACAAGGCAAGCCCACCTTTAGCGGAAAGAAAATAGGGAACCACGAGATCATGTCTTTGCTCTTGCGGTCAATCTGATCCGGCAGGATGCTGATCTCCACGGGCTCCTTCCCGGTCCCAGTCTGCGAAGCATACAGCACCGACTCGAAGAAGCCTGCAAGGCCGTGGATGACGCCGCGCGTGGGACACACGAACGTCAGATGGCAGTGCCGCGCATTGTGCTCGTTGGTGCCGGACGCCCCAGCCATGCTGCCCACGCCGCCCGTGACGTACTTGGCCGCCTTGCCGTGCACCTCCGCAAAGTCATCGGCGTGAGAGACCTCGACCGGGTGGACAAACTCCCAGGCCTGCTGGAACCGGCCGTGGCCGGGGACCTTCTGGGCAACGTAGTCGAGCGCGAAGAGGCGGACAACCCAAGGAGTTTCGAACGCGTTGGGGTCGCCCACGACCCGCGAACTGATGTCGGCGAAGAGGCGGGGCGTAGAGATGGGGCTGAGGTGGGCCGTGTACGAGTGCGGGATGGATATGCCGTGCGGGCGTGCGAGATGGTGCTGGATGCCGTCGAGGCACTCGGGCGACAGCTCGTTATCGCCAAACGAGCCAAGCAGCTCCGTCACCAAAATGTCCACCTTGCCGATGACATCTTCCTGTCCCTTGAGACGCGGTCCCTCCCAACCGCGCATGTCTGTCTTGACGAGAGTCACCTCGTTGCCCCATTCCGCTTTGTTTTTCCGCAGCAGGTAGACGTAGGCGTCCTGGTTCTTCTCAAGCGCCCAAATCTGGATTGGCGTGCCAGTAATCTCGGCAGCACGCAGAACACGCGAGACCAGGGGTCCGCGGCCGGCGCCAGCGACCGTGACTACCAGCTCAGGGCTAGACGGGTTCGCAGGAGTTGCCGTTGATGTCGGCTTCTTGAGCTCCCTCCACTCGACCATCGCCTCCGTGATGGCCTTCTCGTACTGGTCATATTTCACCGGGTCACCCTCAAACACCTCATACGTTGCCGACTCTAGGTTATCGGCCAGTGGCTGCAGAGGCGGCTGCAGCCAGTCCTGGAAGCTTGTGAGAGTCGGTGTCTCCATTGCCGAGAATGGTGGTTGCTGACGCTCAAGGTACCTCATGTACCCGACGTGGGCGTGCAAAGCAGGCTTGTGTAGCCGCCGCCTCTCCTTGAGAGCGTGGTCTGCCTCGGCCAGGGTCGGGAACTCGCCCACAGTTTGGTCCGCAAGAGCAACCAGCTCCTCCGGACGAGGACCTACATCTGCGAGGATCAGCCAAGGAACGCTTCTCAGCCGCATGTAGCGGTTGATCAGATCCTGATGGTGCCGGCTGAGCGACGGATGCCCAGCACGGTTAAGCTGGAAAGTCTCGTTACTGATTGTCAGGTAATGTAGCGGCTCAGCAAACCACCGCTCCTGGAGAGCCTTTTCAGGAACTCGGCGAGGGATTCGAAGGGCTACTCATGGGTCAGTAAGTAAGCTCACCCCGAGCATACACTGAGCGGCGAAGGAGGGAGGCATGAGGAAGGCAGGGCTTAAGAGCTCACAAAAGTCAAAGCGGGGAAAACGTACCAATAAACAACCTCATGGAGTAGTTGCAGACGGACCTGATGGTGTTCCAGGAATCCCAGGCGCTGAACAGGTCGATTTCCTTCCTTGCCTCCGCCTCAGGCCCGTTGTTGGGGATGAAGATGGAGGAGAGCGTTTCAACTTTCTCCTCCAAGCCAGGCTCCCGATACATGGGCATGTGGATGATAATGTTGGCGCGGTTTGCTACATGCATCGCCTCCCGAATTGCACGGGCATACTGGGCAATGCCGCGGCTGCTGTCATCTTGGCGGGGACCAGGGACAATGATGGTTCTTGCGCCGCAGAAGTTGGCATATGCCGCCTCGAGATTCAAGACCTGGCGCGAGACACTCGAGATATGCGGGTCAGGGGAGCATAAGTCGATCCAGGGGCTGAAGTACACAGCGAGTGAGCCGATGTAGTTGCTCGGGAACAACGACGTGTCCTTGTCGGTCAATGTTGGCACGACAGGACCTGGCAGAGAGGGGTTGACCAGCTGAGTGGCCGTGAGCCCCCGTTGCTGGCTCCACTGCTCCCGCTCCTTATGATGGCTTCTGAGCAGCTCAACGACCCGGTCGAAGAAATGCTTGTTGGTGATGGGCGCAGTGACGAAGCGAAACTGCTTGCGGTCAGCATTGTTCTAAGCACCAATGCTCATGGAGTTGGCTCACTCCACTGTCGAGAAGCTGAGCGTACTGCTCATCCGTGAGCACCTCGGTCCGGGCAGAATCATGTTGGCCGATATAGAACACGGGCCGGTTTTCAAAACTGTCCGACTCCGGGTTGAGACTTCCACTGGAGGTCATGGCGGACAATTGGGTTTCCCGACCCAAAGAACGGACAATGGTTAGGTATGTAAGGTTCGAAAAGACGAGCACCTCAAGGCCACAGATCCGGAGCAAGTGTGAGTGGGATAAGAAGAGGTAAATAGGAAGCTCTCAACTTTGCCATATGCCCATGGTGGATACAGAAAGGAGAGTCTGCTGTCCTCACAGAAAAACACAACTGGGTCTGGTTGTTGCTGGTGCGGTGTACGGAGCTACAAGTCCAGCCACCACACCCGGTCACACAATTTCAGTTACACCAAACCCACCATCGTGCAGTTGAATTTCCTAGCAAGCTGCAGGGTGGATTGTGGGAACTGGGACCCTTAGCCTCGATAACGTCATAACGCCGATATGCCGATAAACGAAATGCATACACGTTTATAACAGAGTACAAGACCGTATCGAAGCGCCACACCACATTACCGCTCCGCAGTATCCGTTGTTCTATCGGTTTTTGACCGGTGTACACAGTCCAAGGCAAATAATCCGTATATATATGTAAGATGAAAGGCACAGATAGCTCCTTGCGGTCAATTTGTTGCAGGAGCGATGAGAATTCGGGACAAATACAAGCAAGGGCTGTTACTTAAGCCTCGCCTAACTGCCTATCGCTAATGTAACCTTAGAATGCACCCAAAAGTTTGGCCCAATCGAACTTTCGCATCTTCAACCACAGAAAAAGGTTGTTTGCAGCCTCGTGAACCAAAGCAAGGCAGCATCAACACGGTTGCCACTCGCTCACCGCTAGCACAGAGCCTGCAAAGCCCGATTTGCATCCCTGAGATGGCTTTCAAACGATCGAGTGCCGAAAGGGAGGATACCCAGGATTCCAAGCGACAAAAGACGAACGGCGACGGCAGCTCGACAATGGATCCAAAACAGAACCCTTACCTTGCGCACCAGTACGAGGACGACCAAAATGGCTTCAAATCACCACTTGACGAATTTGAGCGACATAAGACGACGGCCGTGCAGGCCGCAAAGGCTGAGGATTCGGATCTCAACCCGTGGACCGGCCTTCCTCACTCGCAGCAGTACTTCAAGATCCTCAAGACCCGCCGCGACCTGCCCGTGAACAAGCAGCGGCAAGAGTTCCTCGACATGTACCACAGCACCCAGATCCTCGTCTTCGTCGGTGAGACGGGTTCCGGTAAAACGACCCAGATTCCACAATACGTCCTCTACGACGAGCTGCCGCATCTGACGGGAAAACTCATTGCCTGTACCCAGCCAAGGAGAGTGGCGGCCATGTCGGTCGCTCAACGTGTCGCTGATGAACTCGACGTGAAGCTGGGCGAGGAGGTCGGCTACAGCATTCGTTTCGAGAACAAGACAGGCCCCAAGACGCTGCTGAAGTACATGACGGATGGTCAGCTGCTGCGCGAGGCCATGCACGACCACGAAATGTCGCGCTACGGCTGCATCATCCTCGACGAAGCCCACGAACGCACTCTCGCAACCGATATCCTCATGGCGCTGCTCAAACAGATTGCCGAGAGGAGGAAAGACTTGAAGATCATTGTCATGTCGGCCACCCTTGACGCCCAAAAATTCCAGACATACTTCTACAATGCGCCCCTGCTCGCTGTGCCCGGCCGGACGCACCCTGTTGAGATCTTCTATACCCCGGAGCCGGAGCGCGACTACGTTGAGGCAGCTGTGAGGACAGTGCTGCAGATCCACGCGAGCGAGCCTGAGGGCGACATCCTCCTATTCCTGACGGGTGAGGAAGAGATTGAGGACGCCTGCCGGCGTATTAGCCTTGAGGTGGATGACATGATCCGGGAGTCGGACGCCGGGCCGATGGCCGTCTACCCACTGTACGGCACACTGCCGCCACACCAGCAGCAGCGCATCTTCGACAAAGCACCGGAGCCCTTCCGTAAGGGTGGCCGGCCTGGCCGGAAGTGCATCGTCGCGACCAACATTGCCGAAACAAGTTTGACAATCGATGGTATCGTCTATGTCGTGGACCCGGGGTTCAGCAAGCAAAAGATCTACAACCCTCGCACGAGGGTAGAGTCACTTCTCGTCTCCCCCATCTCCAAGGCATCTGCACAACAACGTGCCGGTCGTGCCGGTCGTACACGGCCCGGTAAATGCTTCCGGCTGTACACCGAGAAGGCATTCAAAAAGGAGCTCATCGAGCAGACATACCCAGAAATCTTGCGGTCCAACCTGGCCAACACGGTGCTCGAGTTGAAGAAGCTCGGCGTCGAAGATTTGGTGCACTTCGACCTCATGGACCCGCCAGCCCCCGAGACTATGATGCGCGCCTTGGAGGAGCTCAACTACCTTGCCTGTCTGGACGACGACGGCGAGTTGACAAGCTTGGGCAGCCTGGCATCGGAGTTCCCCCTCGACCCGGCCCTCGCCGTCATGCTCATCTCCTCCCCGGAGTTCTATTGCTCCAACGAGATCCTTTCCATCACCGCTCTCCTCTCGGTCCCGCAAATATGGGTGCGTCCAAACAACGCGCGCAAGCGTGCCGACGAAATGAAGCAGCAATTCGCGCACCCGGACGGCGACCACCTCACACTACTCAACGCGTACCACGCGTACAAGGGCGCCGAGCAGGCGGGCGAGGACGTCAAGAAGTGGTGCCACGATCACTTCCTTTCGTTCCGGCACCTGTCGAGCGCCGACAACGTGCGGGCGCAGCTGAAGCGCATCATGGAGACGCACGGCATCGAGCTGGTCAGCACACCGTTCCAGAACAAGGAGTACTACATCAACATACGGCGGGCGCTGCTGGCGGGCTTCTTCATGCAAGTTGCCATGCGTGAGAGTTCCAACTCCAAGGTATACAAGACGGTCAAGGACGACCAGCTCGTCATGATCCACCCGGGCACCGTCGTCACGAGCCCGTACGACTGGGTCGTGTACAATGAGTTTGTGCTCACGACCAAGCAGTACGTCAGGACCGTGACCAATATCAGGCCCGAGTGGCTTCTTGTGAGTGATCTCCCAAGCTTCCTCCTTTTTGCTGTGATGAAGTGGCTGACTGGGACAATAATATAGGAAATCGCACCCAACTATTACGACCTCGAAACCTTTGAAAAGGGCGAGATCAAGTCGGCCCTGACGCGCGTTGCGGAAAAAATTCGCCGCCGTCAGGCTATGAAGGGCGGCAAGTGAGCCGGCTTTGACGCGAACGCTGGCTGGGTGTGGCGCCGTCCAAGGGGCATAGAGGAGAGCGAGAGGAAACGAATCGACGTCAGGGATCATGTCATCGGTTGAGGTGATTGTTCGATCAGATGGGATGCCAGGTATATCACTAGACATGGTAGATTTTGGCAGTGGTTGGGCGGCTACAAATGCTACACCCATGTTGTGTTGCAAGTCCTAGTTTGTATTATTGCCAACAACCTGGCCCGAGGAGTTATGGTGCATAGAGAGTGTTGCATGGTAGAGAACTTCAGACGGGGGTAGAAATCCGATGTCCAGACGACAAGGGCCAATGAAGCAGCTTCACGTTTCGGGGCTTGCTGAACCTGCAGAGCATCATCAATAGGATAAAACGTCATGCTCGTGAGCCAGTTTAAAATTTGTTCTTGCTGCTCTGTGGAACAAACATAGAAATGTGAGACATACAGTATGCTTCTTGCTTTTGCATAGATCCAACCAGACAAGTCGGTCGATAATCCTTTTTACAGTAAACGAACCCGTTTGTGCCCCGGCGGGGTTCTTGCAGGTGGCGTTGTTGGTTGGTTGGGACTCCGGCATATACGGGCCCGATTGGCACGTTGGAAGGGTGCCGGATCGAAGGAGGACAACTGTAAGATCAAAGCCCTCCCGTTCAACAAGCCCAACCGGGCTGCAAGGCATGCTTGAAGCGGCACACGCTAGTGCCCGTGTCTCCGCTGCCCTAGCCCGTCGGCAGGCTCCGCGGGCTTTGCTGTGCGTGAGAGATGACCGGCCCGACTGCGCCCCGCCGTTATAGCGGCAGCGTGCAGCCTTTGACTCGGCCACGGTTGCCGAGGCTGTGGAAGTTCCTGATGTGAGGCCCCATGATGCGAATACAGCACACAACCTAGACGCATGTAGAAGTGGTACTGCATGGAGAAGCACTGCGATGGACGTTGTGGCTGTGCTGCTGCGCTGGCCAATGCTCATTTCAGGGTAGTTACCTCTCTGTAGGGAGGGGAGATGAGGTGAGGATAAAGTCCAGACTGACTGGGGACCTTTTATCTGACCTGATTTCCTTTGATCGCTTGAAACCTTCCCAGCATCAACCTGTCGTCGCTGTCAGAAGCAGCGTTCCTCCGGGCTCGAAAAACGGTCAAGGGTGCCTCGCATGCTGAATGCTATAGATACCTAAGGTTGCTGCTGCCTCTGCCGAGGGACATGCCGACATTGTCCAGTTGTCTCCTGCCGGAGGCCCTTCGCTGGTTCGGCAGATGCCGCGGGGCTTGGCTGGCAATGATAGTACCGCGGACAGGCGACGATCCTGATGTTCCAAACCTGTCAAAGTCCCTGGCAAGGGCGGCTTAGTGCGACGAGATGCTCGGGCTGGCCCGCAGTCGATCCGGTTTTGGGGCCAAGACCGCCCCCTCCAGGCATGTCGTCGACTGCGTAAACTGGCCTAGCAATGCGACGCTGTCCCGATCAGTCTGCCAGTGAGGCCGAATGTATGCGCGACGGTGGGCCAGCTGTCCTGAAAAAGGCAAGGAATCAGTTGCTGGTAGGTCCAGAAGAATGCAGTTAGAGAACTCTCAGCTGTGTAACGCACACGTAGACTTTTCGAGACGCCGGGTTACTTGCCTTCGGCTACGCTGTGCCGCAGGCACGAACAAGGTGCTTGTTGGAACCTCGCCAGAAGTCGTGCATTGATTGAGCGAAGGTTTATAGCCGCGAAGAAGGGTCGCAGCGTTGATGTTGTCACGTCGGCCTGGATTTCAGGGGTAGCGATTGGCTCTCGGGAACTTCATGAGGCGGTTGGGCATATTGAAGGCCATTGTGGCGCATATGAATGCCCTGAGATCATTCGCTTCGTGTCCGGGCGGCTTGAAGTGTATCAAGCTGCAGGACCCACGACAGAAGGGGACTGTTTTCAGCGGGTGTGCGAGGCTGGTAGATGGGACGACGCGGGATACCGGAAGGTCTACACCGTCACAAGCGGGGAATTGTCTGGCAGACAGTTCAAGACGATAGGACGGCGAGGGCCTGCTGGTGAGGTCGCTGCAGCGGGGCTAGAAATCACGCAGGAATAGCGAGGCAAGTATGCCGCATTTCGGTATGTGTAGATCAAGTCCAGGTATGCTGTTGCTTCGCTCGAGATGATGCTCTGTACGGATCCGTACAAATTGAATGACATGCAATCATGCATCATTCGCGGGGCTGTCGAAAAATCAACAGTGCAAACAGGGAGAGCCGATTGGTGATTGCGGGGTTTCACAACTTCTCGGCTGCAACTCGTTTGGGCTGAGTCCGGTACGCCTGACCAGGGGCGGTTGTTCTACTTCACTGGAGGTTTCTACTGCTTGGTATGAGGTGGCTGCAGCTGCAATGCTGTTCTTCTTTCCTTCTTGTGGAGTGCCAATGCCTCGAAGGGAAAGATACCTGTGAGGTGACTATTTCATTATCTGTACACACATTTTTTCATATTGTATGGCACACAGTTTGGGACCTGTTCCTTCCAGGTTCTCAACTTTCCTTCCTCAGGCCCACTTCCTAACCACAAATTGTTGCAACCGTCTCACTGGTTGCGGATGGCCCTAAGAACTGAAACGGGCGAGTGCAAGGCCATGGACGGCTTGCGAGCGCTGCCCATGTACACCATGGGCTTTTTGAGTGGATTCTGAGGGACGGGCGATTGGTGAGACGGGGGCTAGCCGACGCGTGGCCGTTCTACTTTGCAGCGTTTTGGGCGACACCATCTTCCTCGGCGGGCTTCCATTGTCGCACAGCACACGGGAACCGTTTCCGGCCAATCTCCCACGGCTGGTATCTGCACCCGCGTTGCAGTCACCTCGGCCGCGGAAACATGCTGGAATTCCCTATTCGTCGCCATCAGACCAGACCCTTGCGTCCATCAAATCTGGGACACACGGCAGCTCGCCGATACCAAGCCAGTTGAACGTGCACCTTAGAACTCATACCATTTCACTCTTGCAGCGACCCAGACCCGGCCGGTCTCGTCTCCCCAGACTCCCAGGCGACATCATCACCAAAGTATGCTCCCGGCTGCTGTACCCTGAATCCCACCGGCCAAGACGTCAAGAATCAGTCCGGTCAGGTGTGTCAGAAGTTCGGCTCTCATAGTGCTGTCGCGCTCCAAGGACGCTGGTGCCTTGCGTTTTTAGTTAACCCGGACCTTGAGGATCTGGTGGCTATCGACTGCAGCAGAACGAGGCGTCAATGGCTGGAGGCACCATAGGGGCAGCGGGCAGGGTGAGTCGAGGATCGAATGGGCAGGTCCATGCCATGCAAGATCGATTCGCGGCATGTGGTTGAGGCAACCCCGGCCGCACCCCCTGTCCTCTCCGGTTTACAGTAGTTCTGACCTCCGCCGGCATGTCTCCGGGAGCTTGGCCGGGAGATCTGTGCGGTTCCTCGCCTACAACTTTGCAAGGTCCAGGTCATTTTGTCTATAAATCAACATCTCGCCGTCTTCGTCTCCCATCTCCTCTTTTCCATGCTTTGTTGGAGACAGCCCCATCGCAAGGGACACTCTTCCCTTCCGGCCGCTTGACTGTCAGCGGGCAGTCGACCTTGTTACACCTAGACCTCAGCTCTTCACCTTCCAACGAGGCCTACGCCCCCATCATGTCTGGTAGCGGCGGTTTCTACAAGTACCGATGCAAGTACTTTTACACATATAACTGCCCCAACTGGGTCTACTGCAACGGCCACGCTTGCGCCATGTGTTTGGTCAGTCTGCACCACTTCCCCTCCCATCCACGTCGTAGTACTGTGTAATTAACCCGTTGCCATAGGCCGAAGGTCGTGATACAGCAGAATCTGAGCCATCAGCGCCACCCCAGCAGCATTCCTCGACAGCCTGGCAACTTCAGCGGCGGCAGAACCCTTCAATAGCAGCCGAGATTTGCGTCCCGCAGGCCATCCACGGGACGCTTCGGTATACCGTCATGGAGATCGTTCCCACCGACGAGACCAGCCCGGGCGCGTACTGGGTGCTCCGGCAGAAGGCCATGGCAACGCATGCGCTTCCCTACAGCACCATAACCACCAGCGACACGCCACGGCCGGTCATGACCTCTGTGGGACACGTGGGCCAGATGGCCTATTGACGATTGAACGGCTTCGACAGCCTGTGAGATGACGATGCGAATGAACCGATTCCTTCACACTTTCCGCTTTGCTCCTCCCCCGGAACCAGTCCGTTTCATTTGGGGAGGGACCGGACCCATGGGGTAAAGCGTGGAACACGCAAGATTGATACCAAAATTGTGGCAGGTGGGCAATGGCACTGTACCTTTTACGGTGGGGGTGTTAAATCTGCAGGATGAACCGACATGGGGGGGCCGGTGGATGGGCTCGGCGTGCAGCCTGCGGGTTGGTGGCACAGCCCTTCTTGAAGGGACTCGACTGCTTGGTTTTTGAGGTGCTGTCACTTGTCGAATCATATACCAGACTGTACAATGAGCGAATCACTTCATTCAGGCACGAACCAATGACCAGACACGACCTAGATTACCAGCTCGCTCTCACGATGTGCCAACCAATGCCCAGCGCGGTTGAGAAGGAGCCAGTCCGCTTTCCCATCGCTGCTCGTTCAAAGCGCTGAGCGGGTTGCTATGTATGCCTCCGATGCAATGAGTTCTCGGTTGAGAATGAAACTCAGCCCCCTGATACCGATGCTGGATGTTCTAGAAGGCAACTGGCTGAGACTTCTGATATCAGCACGGCACCAGGGCCAGGCTGCCGCAGAGATCGCTGCCATTCCAGTACCGGCTCGGCATGTGGTTCTCCATTTGCGCAGTCAGACCAAAACTGTTGGTCGTTGTGAATGATTGAATGGCAGCTCTTCTCCAAGACCTTTGGATGCAGCTCGTCCGGCCGTTTTTTCTAGCGACCTCCCCTCCACAATACCCCGGCCGAATGGACAGACACGATGACTCTTACGTACATGCATTCGACGTCCAGAACCTGCTCCACAACCCAATCCAATGGAAATCGTCAGGGGTTTTGGGCGGCATCCAAATGAGTCTACTTTGTATGCACTTTGCCCATGGAACGATCAAGACACGACAGCGACCACAACACCACGGCACAGGCCCGTTCAGACGGCCTCGCAACGGTAAAGTCCTGGCGAAGCCGCACGATGCAATCCACCGACGGTGTTAACACCCTGCCTGCATCACATGTTGTGTGACAGGTCGCTTCCAATGAAGCACGCCTTATCGGATGGATCGAGCTGCGGGATGGGGCCTGCGCATGAACATCCAACATGTGGATCTGAGAGATGACGGCAGCCCACAAAGCTCGGACAACTTCGGCTTGTGACACGGAGCGAGGAGGGGTGCCATCGACCATGCCATGGCGTTGCCTGGACTCTGAAGCCTCTTGGCACTCTACCTCAAGGTCCCCGGCCCAAAATGCACGTCTCCAACTCTCGACTCTGTCGAAGTCGGACTACGTTGCCCCAGTCTATCCGTACTGTAGCGAACAGCAGGCCACGGGTCAAAAGCATTTGAGATGCCTCCGTTACCCCTACACAGCAATGCACAACTCCTCCAAACTGTGAACGACTGTGGGGGTTACAGTAGCAAGCTCCAGGTTTATCTCGCAGAGTATATCGCGAACTTCGGAACAACCTGGGAGAACTGGGCCCCACCACCAAGACGTTCTCAAAGCAATGGAGAAGCGGCGCCGACAGGGCTCGGCTCCGCCCGACCGCGCCGCCAAAACCATCGGTCCGCGCTAGCGTTAGCGAGAGACTAGCGTAACGGCTCAGATCCACACCAGTTCACGTCACCTTCCGAGGCTCGCGAGGCAAGAAACCTTGTCAGCATCCTTCTGCCACTCATGAATGAGAAAGACTCTAGGAAGGTTTTCGACATCAAACATCCAATATGAGCAGGACTTCGTAAACTTGAAGTCAACTCCACAGTGCAGTCTGGAATCAGCTGCTGCGGAACAAGGCTCGACCTCCGTCAACCGTCTCCACCGTTGATTCATCCCGTCTGGCCAAACGATCACACAAGAAGCCCCACTCGCATAAACCGGAGAGGGGGCAGAAACGGTTTCCATGGCCCCTTCTGAAATTTCAGCGTAACGTTGGCCAGGCTCGAGGCAGAACGGCAAGCATGTACAAAGCATCAAGCCACTTCAGAAGCACACCGTTCACTCAGACACAGGCACCGAGGTACAGTAGACGATTGGTCGCCCACGTGGCTGCTTGGTACCTTATTGTCCTGCAACAAGCCGTCAAGGACAGGTGATAATCATCGATCTGCATTACCGCTAGAGGTCACCGCAGGATACATCCCGGAGGAACAGATCTGGTGCCTGGCACTCAGCATGTCAGGCCATTCGTTACCATGTCCGGGTAATTGGCAGTCTCAAGAGATATAGGAATTTGGGAAGACCCAGTAAACCTCCTCACCTGCGACCAAGTCTCCAAGATCCCCCAACTCCACAGGCAATGCCGTTACTTCCTCCCCTCCCAGTGCCAGTTTCTGGGGCTTCTTTGCGACCCTGTCGGCCTCGACGAGGATCTTTATCTTCCGCACTTCGTCAGTGGGACTGTTGAGCAGGGACGTGTAGGTGAATTCCAGGTCGTTCACATGTTCCAGGAAATTGGACACGTGCTCCAAGAAGTTCTAGTCGACGTTCACACAATCCTCAAGAGAGCCGCCTGCTTTTGCCTCGATGAGATATCTCTTCAAGCGGTTGAGAATCTCCTCCAAGACGAGCCGGGCCATGTAGAGGCTCATCTCCAGCCATGATCTCCGAGAGGGGCAATGTTGGTTGTCATTCTCGATCCCTTCGAGCTCAGCACGAACGGCGGGCACAAGATCTTCCCTCCTTGACCGGGGCACCTCGAGTACGAAGCGCTTGCAAGCCACAAGCGAGAAACCAATGCTTGCGTAGGTAAGTTTCTCGCAGCGCTTGTGGTTCAATCCCTCCGAGTCGCCTTTGCCGCAGAAAATCTCGTAAACATCCTTGATTAGAGGGGGTTGACGTCGGGAAAGCCGGGGTAAGCATGCTATTTGGCAGAAGGGTCAGTTTATGGATTCGTTCTTTGAGAGGAACACGAAATGAAGGACGTTGGTAGTTACCTCCAGCTCCTGTGCCCCAATGGCAGCATGCTCGTCCCTTAGAGGCGCCTGGAAGTTGCAGAAGGCCATGAGTGCCAGGGGACCGCTCCCGTCGTCGCGACAGGCGGATGGCGCGGCGTGCTCAGTCATTTTGATGTAGTCTGCTAGATGATGGAAGTGAGCAATTCACACTTAGAAGAGAAGACGATTTGGAAATAACAATGCACGGTTGAAGTGAGCGGACTCAGTGAAGACGGAGTGTAAACGATTATCATGAAATTGATGGAAACGGCGCGCAATACCTTGTGTTACGGAATCCTCCATGTGATGGGCTGAGCCCATGATGGCCTCGGCAACCCTCGGCCGTGGTATCATGATAACGTCATCTTGAAGCAGGCAGTGTCTGTGTGTTTCGGAGCATATAAGAGCTGCCCTGTCTTCCTGTCATCTAGTTCTCTCTTTTCTTCTTCTTTCTCCATTCGAGGCAAACTCGTAGAGTCGTCACCAGCTAGTTGCAATATACTCCTGGGACCGTTACACTCCAGATCTCGACTATATTGGTCTCAACCGGTTCAAGAATAGGACAACAGTTGAAAGGTTACGGGATTGTTCGAGACGTAGTAGTTTGGACCACCGAACATGGGGAGGGTTGAGATCTGGCGTACGTGACGCGTTTTCAATCTTTGGGACCTTTCGAGTTGCAGGCCAAAAAGCAAAAGCTCACAAGCTAACCCTCTCCGCCCGTTGGACAGTAGCCGGCTACGGAATCTCTGCGGGGTTTTTACTTCGCGTTGGGGTGCCGGTAGGGCTGGGAGTCAACTGGTGACCTCTCGGTTCCGTTTGGCGGGGGGCCTCACCACCAAGCCGTGGGGCGCGACCACCGCTGTTGGCCGTTAGGCCACTCAAACGGTGGTCGTTAAAGGCAACCGGGACCTTCTTCACGTACCCGGGGCTGGCGTCCAGCAAGCAACCCTTGGACGACCTGGGAACGTCCACTCTCATTACGCCGCCCACGGCGCCCAGCATAGGAGTGATATCTTGCGAGAATCCTCTGGTGGTCGGCAAGAAATAGGAAAGATATGTCAGCTCCTCTAACAATGTAGAAAAGACATAATGTTGTGGCAAGCCCATGAAGAGATGGGCACTTTAGAGCTGGCTTTGGTTTTGCAACTTGCTAGATATCAAGTTGCTAACTCATTCACTGCACATAAGCACACAGATTCCCTTTTTTTTCTGTTCATTCTTACTTTCCCTTCTTTTGTTAACGCTATTTTCTTTCTTTTCAATGCCTTATCTTGTCATTTTCTTTTCTTTTTGGCTTTTCTTGTCATTTCCTTTCGTTTCTCTGTCAAGTCACGTCACCCAGTATGCAAGAAGTGCAACAATATATATAATAATCATCCAAGGTTCTTTACGCACTCCTAGAATTGACTCTCGCCTGAGTCATGCTAGACAACCATTTCGGTTCTGTCGAGTTGGTATGCACCTTACGAAGACCGCTGCCCTATTTCCAAACTTTCAATTACCTCCGCACCACCTCCCATCCAACTAACCCGGGCGAGCTCGTTCTGGGAGAACACTCCCTTCCCTCTCGGCCTCTCCTGGAAAGGGTCTAAAAGAAGGGCAGCTCACAACCCTAACCCTATACTTCCAGACTGCCCCGCGCCATTTGCGCAGGATGTGCTGCAGAGAGAAACGAGATTTCAGCGAAAAATGAGCCAGAGCTGCTTGCGGTCCGATGATGACTTGCACTGCTTTTTGCTTCTGATAATACATGTGTTGTGGATTGGTGGTTTATCACTGCTATCATCAGTCCCTCCACATTTAGTTGTGACCCACAGTGGGAATTACCACCAAGCAAGCACGAAAAGTGGAATTTCACGCTCCAAAGTTTCATCCACCATGAGACTGAAGCTTTCCATTGCGACCACGAACGAGAGTTTCCCAAAACCAGGGGAAATATATATCTCTTCCGACACCTTGGAACACTTGTAGCGCAAACCAAAACGAAAGATGACGCGAAAACCCAAACCGGCTACCAAGGGGGACAGCTCTGCGGCGCCTCCGAAATCCGCCCAAACAAAAGCCCAAGACGACCAGGTCATGGCGGTGCGCACGTCTCCTCTCCGCTTAAGGGATTTCGTCGATACTCATACACGTGGCTTCCCTAGACAAACAACAGCAGCATCGTCTCAAAGCGCAGCGTCGAGAAGCTCTATTACCCCAACGAGCCGCACTTCTTCCGCTACTTTGTCAAGAAGTTCCAGCGCCGCGCCCCGCTCATCAACAGGGGCTACTGGCTGCGTCTGCGGGCGATTGACGTGCTAGTCAGGGACTTCCTGAGAGGAGCGCGAGCGAGGGGAAAGAGGGGGGTGGTTGTAAATCTGGGGTGTGGCAGGTCAGTTCTTCCCCATCTCCTCTCTATCTTCCACAAGTGTCAGAGATGGATAAAGTTCGGGGGCTGTGCTGATGAGAGTGCAGTGATGTCCTGCCCTGGCAATGCCTAACCCGCTACCCGGAGGAATGTGGCAATGTCAGGTTCGTGGATGTCGATTTCCCGGATCTCATCGAGCGGAAGCGGCAGACTGTGCTCGGCACGCCAGAGCTGCTGGGCATGCTGACTGGCCTGAGGGAGAAGGAAGGGTTGGTCCGGCCGGTTGTGTTGGAAAGCGACCGCTATGTGCAAATCGGGTGCGATCTGAGAGATCTCGGGACCCTTCAGGCGGGGCTGGCCGCTGCCGTGGGGGACTTTGCCGAGTGCGAGTTCATCTTTGTGGCCGAAGTGTCGATAACGTACATGGAGACGGAGGGGGCGGATGCCGTAATTCGGTGGGCTTCGACGGTTGGGAATGGTGGGTGCTTCCCTCCACGAGTCCCGGTTATCTGGGTGCTGACATTATCCAGCCGAGTTTGTCCTGCTCGAGCAGATCCTGCCTGACGGAGAGAACCACCCCTTCGCCTCTACCATGCTGCGACACTTTGAGAAACTCAACACACAGCTCAAATCCGTCACGGAGTACCCAACTGCCACTGCACAGCACGCGCGCTTCTCGTCCCGCGGGTGGGACTCGGTCCAAGTGTGGACGCTCTGGCAGGCTTGGGCCGACGAGACCTTTCTCTCCGCTTCCGAGCGGCGAGCCTTGGATGATATTGAAGAGTTCGACGAGGTATGTGTCCGTCGCAAGTCATAGACCTTGCACCTCCTGACAACAGTCCTCTAGTGGGAGGAGTTTGCCCTCTTCGCCAGCCACTACTGCGTAGTGCACGCTCGAGCAGGCAGCACCTATACGCCGACATCGACGCCGTCTTTGCCGCACGGCCCGTCAATTCCCCTTTGGCACGCTGCGCTGCAGTTCGACGAATGTCCCGGAGCGAGGGGCCAGCGGCGTTTCGCAGCGGCTATGCCGTTATTTGAGGACGAGACGCAGCAGTCGGTTCTGAATGTCCTAGGCTTGGGCACCAAGAGTCGACTGCAGTCTTGTGATGTTTTCAGCCTGGGCGCTTCACACGGCGCAGGGGCACTTACCTTCCGTGACGGCGGTCCAACGACCAGGATGTGTCACTCCCTGACCGATCTCGGAGGTAACGGCGTACTTCTGGCTGGCGGTCGCGCCTCGCCGTCCAAGCCCCTTAAAGACTGCTGGCATTTCGATAAGGGTTCGAAGACCTGGAAGCAGACCCATGATCTTCCGGTTTCGTTATACAGACATGCCGTCACCGCCTTAGGGGACTCCGGGCTGGCCTTGCTTCTTGGCGGAAGAGGAGAGGTAAAGACGTTCGAAGGCTGCCTTGTGTACCATCCTGAAACCGGTTGGGTGAACTGTGAGATAGTTGGTCACAAGCCAGCGGCTGTATACGGAGCGGCTATCTCCTGCGGGAAGAGTCCGAGAGGATCTTCGTCTTTCCACGGGCTATACACAGGCGGTATACACAGCGGCCTTATATCTGACCAGACCTTGTCCTGGAAAGCCGATATCTCTGATATAAAGGTATGTTGCGCATTCTTTTTCAGTAGCTTGCACGAGCTTCATCTGACCTCAGCCCAGAAACCTACCATCAAGTTCACTCCGTTGAGGCTTTCAGAGAATGGAGACGTGTCCAGGTCTCAGTGGTTGTTGACTAGGTTCGGGGCAACCTGCGTCCAGCATGGGGACGAGTATCTCATCGTAGGCGGCGTCGCCAGGGACCATCTGCTGAGCCGCCGAGATGAGATGTTACTGTGCTCTGTGTCTGACGATGAGCTCACCATTACTCGTCGACTCTTTGGGCAGGGCACTGAGCACGAGTCAATAAACCGTCCGCTTTTTGTTGGACATTCAGCCGTTCCTATGCCGGACGGCAGCGTGGTGGTTGTGGGCGGTGGAGCAACGTGCTTCTCTATGGGCACCTTCTGGAATAAAGGTGTGTATACCCTCCGGCCGCCAGCCCGCGGGAGCCAAGCGGCACGAACATCTCCGTTCCCCCAGCGATGGGTGTATGCGAAGACTGTCGATATCGTTCCGGCCAACTTGAGTCCTGTAGTGCCCCCCAAGCTTCATGAGCATGGGAAACCAGCCTCCATCACTGCCATACCCCGGTTGAAGCTGGAAACTGCCGCCGACTTTCTACAGATCATACAAAAAGGCCTACCGGTGGTGCTGGAAGGCTTGGACCTGGGCAGCTGTGTTTCAGCGTGGACACTCAACTATCTCGTTGACAAAATCGGGGCAGATCGCAAGGTACCCTATGTACATCGTCACAAGTATCCAGATGGAATTTACTGACAAGAACAGGTGGTCATCCACGAGGCCGCAACCCAGGTAATGGACTTCACAAACAAGAACTTCCGCTACATCACCACCGGCTTCCAAGATTTCGCGAAGAGAGTGGGAAAGGGTGACAGGTTGTATCTGAGAGCGCTGTCCCACGAGAAGCCGTCCGAGAAGCCGGCGGTGTTGGCCGATGACTTCCCGGCCCTGGCTTGTGACTTTGTACTGCCTGCGCAACTGTCTCTGGTGTCGGAGAACCAATTCAGCTCTGTGCTGAGAGTGTCTGGGCCCGTGAATATGTGGTTACACTACGATGTGAGTTCCGCCCCTTTTATTCCATTTCCGGCATCTGTTGTACTCATGACGAGCTTACAGGTCATGGCGAACGTCTACTGCCAGATTGGCGGCTCCAAACGGCTCCTACTCTTTCCGCCATCCGACGTCGAGTACCTGTCCTTTGCGCCCGGAGCATCCAGCTCAAGCATAGACGTCTTCTCCTCGCTGGAGTCGCCCCAGCTCGCGCATACCCGGCCACAGGAGGCTGTATTGTCGCCAGGGGACGTGCTCTTCTTGCCGCCCCTCTGGCTGCACACAGCAACGCCGACCTCGGACAATAGCATCGCGGTCAATGTCTTCTTCAGGGACCTCGACGGCGGCCATTACGCGTCGGGCCGTGATGTGTATGGCAACCGGGATCTCGCTGCTTATGAGAAGGCTAGGCAGGACGTTGGTCGCATCGCGAGCAGCTTCAGGAAGCTGCCAGACGAGGCCAGAGCGTTTTACATCCTGAGGCTGGCAGACGAGCTCCGTGGACTGGCACGCGGCTGAGGGACTTAACGGGGTTCCCTGGCCAGCCTCCATTCTGACCACGTCGCATTCCTGTGGCCACTATGCCCCTGCCGCTCTGGTCAAGTCGCCTTCTGGGGTTGCCCGAGCGTAAGTCCGGTGCTCTCGTCCGGTGGGCTTGGGTCATCATCTGCGCCATGCTCACCGTCTTCGCGATGTCAAGAGCACACCAATGGTGCATATGGCCAAAGCACTAAAACTTGTCTATTCACAGAGCCCCCGGCACCCTGAGATTGTAGTCGATGCGCCGCCGTAGCGACAAATATGTCCATCTGCACACCATCTAGCCGCGACTGGCCTCGTCATCAGCCGCTGCAGGGCTGATCAAAACGCCGAAACAGTCGCTGTTTCATGACTCAGGCACCGAAGTGGGCACGGGTGGTGCGGCGCTTCTTCCCCGATGGACATCCCGTACCCGGGTTTTCAACAATGGCTCGGGTGATGTTCATTATCTCGCCCATGAAATAGTCCAAGTCTTCCAGATGAAAGGTCTCTGTCGGCCTGCGCCAGCCAAGGTGTTGAGGGAGCTGTTCATGTTCTGTTTTAAAGAAGTTCTGGTTAGCCCCCTGTACTGCCGCGGTGTAATTTTGAGACGAACGGGACAAGGGACGTCTCACCGAAAAGCCAGTTGACCCAAGACCTTGGGACCGTCTTCGAGGTCTTGTTGCCGAAAACGACAACGTACGCAGCCGACTCGCCAAAGGTGAAGGCGTTGCCAAGTTCGGACATAAAGTACGTCGGGTTGGCGGCCTGGCAGGTCTTGATGCGGCCCAGCCTCGCCCTTGCCGCATGCTCAAGGGTCACCGTCTCGCTGGTGAAATACGACTTGGTCTCGTCATAGACGCTCTGGTTAAAGACGAGGACGTTGCCGAAGTAGGCATCAGATCGGCTGTGTATCGGGTACTAATATCAGTCCACTGCTATGAAGCATCAAGACGAGCCGGTGGTTTCAACGCACCTGAGACTGGCGTCGTGCTCGAGGATGTTGTGGTTTCCGAGGTCATTCAGGGAGAAGGTGGTAGCGTTGGGCTGGGGGTTTGTTGTGATGGCGAAATCAAACAGGAAGTTGGCGAGCGTCTGGTTCATGTTGAGAGCGTCGAACAGAGCGTTTTCGACAATGACTCTGGTGAGATCCCTGCCATGGTGCGGCAGAAAGCCGTGGTTTGCGAGCGTATTGAGCATGGGGCATGGTGCTCGCACTGCGTGAAGGCCAGTCTCCCAATCAGCTAGTGTTTTCTTGGACGCACCATCCGTTCGCCATCATTAGCAGCCTGGGAGGTAGGTGGCATACCGTCGTAGGGTCCTGGGGGCGACCAGGTATCGAATCCCGCGAGCACCGGGCTGGCCGCCGCGAGAGCTACAAGAAGAGATTTCATCTTGCTGGCGTAGAACAAGAACCAACTTGAAGGTTGGCTGTCTCACGCCAAGTGGGAAAAGGAGGGATAACAACTTGAAGCCACCTCTTCTGGTGTTGCTCGAACGGAAACATTGGCTCTCTCATCCAGCATTCCACCTTTATATAGTGATGTGGTTCCCATGATTGGATCTCCTCTTCCGTTGGAGAGCGAGTGTTGCTCCGCTGGAGACCGATGTTTGGTCAGCTCGAGCCTGGGCCGCGCCTGATGCTGCCCTGCACTACGACGTTGTTGCTACCCAGACTCGCCAGAGAACATGGGTGGGCTCGCACTTCAGGCCGTCGAGGAGTTTGGGAGTGAAGTGCTACGTACATGCCGCGTAATATGGCGGTGTGGCTGAGGCAGTCACTCGCCGGTTGCAACGGTGCGCGGCATGAGTTATGGTTACCACTCACCCGGATGACATGGACATGGCCTTGCCAATACCATTGATTTACTTTACCCTGCATAACCGAACAGACGTGCTGTGACCTCGTCCAATCGAATGCGACTCAAATGTCATGGGCGCCGAGTTGCCTTCGAAGCGAATGCTGCGAATCAAGGCTGACAGCCTGGGATTGAGGAAGCAATGTCCGAGACTCGAAATCGACATGATCTACGTGGTCCGAGACTTCATGGCCTGGCGCAGTAAACAGGGCTTGAATAAGTTCAATTGACTGTGCCTCAAACACTGGCTTCGGTATTATTACAATAACAACATCCTACCTAGGCTGCAATTACTGAAAGATCCTCCCTTGATCCCTACCTAGTTCTGGCTCACGCTTTCTTTGTGGCTGATGCGTTTTCCACATAAGTCGGGTGTTGATGTCACCCAAGGCCTCACCTTCCTCTTGTCCCCTGTCAGCACCTGCGTCGACTTCTATCACACCAACGCTTATGTGCTCATTGAACATGCGATCCTGTTGTGACAGCTGTATCTTCCTTGCCAGCAGAGGTATTCTGTCTTGTTGGTACGTGTAATTCGAGTCTCAGAAAGAACATTCAAAAAGAGTTTGTTCGGTTCTTAGGTGTGAAGTGCCTGGCCTCGCAATCCCACCGCCCACCTTCAAGCTTTTTGCTGAAGGCATTACCTGCCGGTTCAGCCGGAGTTTCTAAGCCCCTTCCTTGCCGGGACATTGCGACCAGCCATCGGACAGAATCAGTGTTCTGCTCCTTTCCGGCAAATGGATCAACCCTGCGCCCGGGTCCATGTCCGATTGCCATGCTACTCTTTTCAATGCAGGGAATGTCGTCCTGCATCCTTGGCTTGGACCAAACCACAGTCAGCCACCACCATTGGCACCACATTTCAGCCGCCCACCTTGAAAGAATCAGACCTTGGATGGTAGATCCGTACTTCTTACCTGCCATGCCTGCATCGAATGGGTCTGGCGCCCCGGGACGACGCCACTGAGTGCGTTGTTCGTATCATCTGAAGATCTCAGGTTGAGGAACGGGCGTGCAGGGGAGTGGACGGACGGCCTTGCACTGACTGCATCGTACCATTAACTAATCAGACTCAGCACCTTTCAGGTCAGAAGCTGCAAAGTCATTTTTGCCCACCTGGTCAAACCACATCTGGTCCAACCGCGAGGTGATCGCACAATTGAAATGAGCGGGTCGGCCATGTTGGAATAGCTGTAGCCGATGTAGTCGTATTCAACCCCTGCGGCGAGAACCATCATTGAACACATTGAATCGGCTTAAGGCTGCGAGAATCGCACTGTTGCTGCTCAAGTTGTGAAAAGCTATCCATGAAACCAGAGCTCCCACCGACCACCACACGCTCGGCGCTGGTCGTTAGACGACATGACCATTGCCGCGGAATGTAGGTTCCCGGATGGGGCCTTCATGCGCAGGGCATCTATATCAGAACATGCACTGTTTTCGACGAGGTCGAAGAGAGCAGATAATGACAGGAAACGAAGGGGTTTATAGTTTCTCGCACCTTCCATTCTCAGGGTTGCGTGACCAAGACCACGTCCCTTCCCTCAGCGCCGGCAGTTCAAGCCACTGAACTCAGGCATGCCAGCGAGCTTCGTTTGGCAAATAAAGGCAAGGAAGGGAAAAGGGCGGGAAGGATAAAAAAGCCTCACTGAACGACTTTCGGGACATTGCGACTTAGGGATCGCATGTTGAAGCTCTGACCAGACAGCGCGAGACTCGTTTCGTCTAGTAAGGGGCTATTTAAAGGTTCCCAACTGTTGTAACAATCATTGTGGATACCTGGATGTACTTTATTTTGATAGTTCTCTAGAGATGCGGACTGGCGTGAGTTGACCTGAGGATAGAGACGAGGAATCAGCTCCAAGTTGAAGCCTGCGATGAGCTGATAATCTGGCTCGTCCGCAAGGCTCATAGCTCCGTTGGCGGCTATGTGCAGCGATTAAACAGAGATGTTTAATATCTTGACAGTGGTGTTCATCCTAGTAGGTGTGAAGCGAAGTTCCGGAACTTACAAGGACGCGGACGCTGAGTGTACTGTGATACGCAGTAAGCGCGTGGTCGAGGGCGGTCGACCAATTGTTGCTGAGAGAACTCTGTCGTCGAAGCTCTGTAAAAAAAAAGCGAAGCGCTCCTTCTTTACTACACTATTCAGTTCGTCATTGAAGCTTCGCTTTCAATCAATGATCATCGTGAGACCAGGCAGATGAAGTTAATCTTAGCCAAGGGCCCAAGATGACTCTTGCAATATCTGTATCCTGGGACTCTCGCAACGCAAAGGTATGTCTGTTTTCTAAGCAAACTGTCGTACGCGCCAGCAATCAGTTGAATTTGACTGTAATTGACCTTGCTCTTGAACACCTCATTGAACCTCCGAACACGTATAGTTTATAGGTAACTTGAAGACAAGACAGCTCTACCCAGCTCCTGTCGCAAGGCAGCTTCCGTGCACCAAGTGACATTGACACGGTCCGACGAATCGGATCATGCAGGTCCCTTCAGAAGTCATGGACCAGGGCTCTGAATATTGTTAGCGTTATCCGTAGCCGAGTGGCACCCCGCGGAATGCGGGAGGCGGCAGGAACGTCAAAGCTCCAAGCTTCCCCAGATCTGCAGAGCCGCAACTTGGAACTTCAAACGTCGTCGTCTTGCGGAGCACCGTTGTTCTTTTGTTCAGCGCGCCTGCTGCACTGCAGGCTGCGTGTTCGGATGAAAGCACCTCGATCATCAGAATCTCGCTGACTGCCACGGCAACACAAGCGATAAACGATGCGATCGCGATTTAGCGGCTCCACAATCCGACTAGCCCACCGACCGACCGACTTGCGCCTTCCCGCGATCAAAGAAAAAGTCTATCCACATCAGACGGGACTCCCACATGCGCAACCCCCATTGCTGATTTTGAGAGGAGAAGCATCTGAAATACTGTCGTCCAGCTGGTCGATCTGGTAAAGACATTTCAAATCTTATATTTCTTCCATCCTTTTGAAGCTTGTCGGCGGGAGAGACAGATGGAACATATTTACCTGTGTTCCGTCCTTTGTGTGGTCGCAGTGTGCTATTGTTCGCATCGGGGTGGAAGTCATTCATCCCATTGTGCGCAAAACAGGTGCACCCTCGCCGCTCTTGCCAGCTTGGGCGACGTCGTGGTCGCACCTTCCCTCCTCGCTGCGTTGTGCCCCGCGTCGTGCCTTCCTGTTCTCCCCTGCCGCGAGTTGCAAAAAACCCCCACGATTTTTTGACTCGTGGCTTCCCTTCCTTCTTCACCACAAAAGTGAAGAAGCAACGACTGACGATGCCCGGCCAAGCCGCCTCAACGCCGCGCACCACGCGAAATAGCCGTGGGCTGCGTTTCACAACCGACTCGTGCCTGGGCGATTCCGCCCGAGTTTCTCGCCGCCGCAGCAGCAGCGGCATCCCGACTCGCACTACCAATTTGTACGTGGTGATATCCCCTTGGTGATGACTGACTTGGAAGCCATGGTCCTTACGTGTTCAAGCTCTTTCCGACTACTGAGAAAGGAACGATGGCTGACCATGACCCTGCCGGATATCCAGTGTGCGCGCGCTCTCGACCTGGGCCAACCCGGCCACCCCAGCTTCCCGGGCGCAGTTTGTACAACCAAGCCCTCCCTCCGCCACCACCGCCCTCGAGGCCGTCTCCAAGGAGCAGGCCCAGGCTGCGACTCCCTCTCCTTCCCTTCGCGCGGTCGACCGGCGGCCGATTTACCCTCCCCCGGTTGTCCTCGCCCCGGCAACCCCATACGCTCACGCCCCGCTGCCGAGCTCGTCTTCGCCGCCCGAGCACCCGCGGGTCACCGCCATTAGAATTGGGAGGAGGAACGCCTCCCCAAGAACCCCAAGCCGGTTTACCCGATACATCACCAAGTTCATCGACGCAAGCCCGTCGATTTCGCCCCCCCGCGCCCCCAAGAGCCCCGGGAGCGAGACTCGCCTCTTCAAGCAGCGCCGCGAGCAAGAAGGTGACGGGAAGTTTGCTAGAGAGTTGTGGATCGCGCTCCGCAACGATTCGTACATGAGAGGGTGTTGGTGCGGCCCGCCCAACATCTACAATTCGAGAGAGGAGGCGGAAACCGCGGTCGGCCACCTGCGCTTTTACCTGGCCGGTTCTAAGAACAAGAATTTGCGCGTCCTCCAGAAGAAGGACGACTTCCGTTGGCACTGCAATTGCGGCAACAAAGACTACCACGCCGTCTACCAGAATCTCATCAATTTCAACGGAAAGCGCTCCGCCGAAGACATCGGAATCGACCTGATTTCGCGAAACCAAGACTCAGAGCGCAGCAAGAGCGCCAAGAGCGCTAAGAGCGTCGACCGAGTCATTCCTGCATCGATCGAACCGAGCCCAGACGAGGAGGAGCAGTCACAGGCAATCACTCTAGCAGGGATTCCGGCACCTTCCCAGTCCATGTGGGCGCAGGCTTGCGGCATCATCAGCCGTGCCGTCTTAACGATGGGCAGCCCTCTCATGACCGTTTTCGGCACGCTCCGCGAACAACTCTACAGCGATGCCTATGAAGCCCTCGACACCCGTCAGCAAGATGCCGACAATGGCACTATCACTGTTAAGAGATTGAAACGCCAAGTCCCAGTGCAACCTACCGAGCAGTCTACTTCGGAGCCCGCAGACGACGCCTTTGACAATCTTGTTTGGACTGACGATCCCACGAAGCGCATCGGCTTCAAAAATCTCCAGCGCCTGGCCGACGTTCTCGTCACTCAGTACGAGTGCGTCAAGAACAACGCCATCATGCTCGCCCCATCAATTGCAGCCATCCGAACGGAGATCCAAGAAGGTCAAGACGTCGCAACCAGCATTGGCGTTCACAAATACCGAGAGTACATGTTTGGGCCCATGTTGCTGGAAGAGTCCGATGAGGAGAAGGCTGAGAAGTGGATGGACACCATGAAGGTGTATCAGCAGCATCTCGGATGTTGCATCGAGCTCATCCAACAGATTTACAACCAAGATCAGCTGGAGGAGCTGAAGAGGAATTACCCTGCCCCGCCCCGTCGCCTGCCCTTGGGCAGCCCCACGTTCAGACTGACCGCCAGGGTGGTTGGTGTTTTCCTCAGCTTCATCCGTTCACTCAACACCGTGTGCACCATAGACACACCCACGCTTGAGGCCATCAGCCAGATGATTGTTGATGCTAATGCCATCCACAAACAAGAGATGCTGCCCAGCTTCGTCGAGCAGAAGCGCGACCCAACCGAAAACATGCCCGGACACTTCCCCGAGGACAAGACCTCAGCCATTGAGCAGATCCCCGCCGACGAATTCGATATCCCGTTGCTTTACGATCTTAAGTTCCCGGAGCCAGAGACCTCAAACTGGCAGCCACAGACCCGGTTTGGCTATTACAAATTGGTGCCAGAACGGAAAGGCATCTTGAAGCCCTCAAAGGAGTGGCACGTTCCGACGTCACCCAAATACGTCGCGACCCCCGAGAAGAAGAAAAAGCTGTCCTTCATCAACCCGGTGCACAAATTTATCCCTCCCACACATATTCCCTCCAGAATCATGACACCAGAGGAAGCAGCGCGGATTGTCGAACCGAAGTTTCAGGCAGACATCATCGGCGATGAGCATTCAATTCGCATATTTGAGGCTGCCAGAACCGTGGACCGCCACGGCAACCCGTCGCTCAATTTCGAAGATCGGTTCAACCTTGAGGCACTGGAGAGGGATGACAAGGAGATGGGGTTGACTTATCACGCCAAAAAATACGACGGCTTCCTCAACGATCTGCAGGATGACATGTTGAAGCGGGCAGAGGAAGACAAAGAGAACCGCACGAAAACAAACCTCAAACTCACCCCTCGGCGGCGTATGGTGCAGATTCCGCTCCCGCCCTTACCCTCTACTCCCGAGATGCGCCAGCGCAGAGCTCATTTATTCGCGGACGACACCAACAGCCCTGCAACGTCCAGTCCCGGAATCAACCCGCTGATGCGCGCCAAGGCGGAGGAGCAACTCCCCAAGCCTGCCCAGAAAAAACCGGGCCCCAGTTCGCTCGAAGAGTTCTTTGCCCAAGATGATGATCTCGAGCTCCAACTCGACATTTCCACGAGAAAGTTTGAGCAGCTGCAGATTGATCGCCAGATCAAAGAAGAATTGGAATCTGCTGCCTTGCGAAGTGCCGAAGAGAAGCGCAAACGCGCGGAGGAAGAAGCACGCCGCCAGCAAGAGCGACGCTTTGAAGAGGAGCGCAGGAAGCGGGAGGAAGAGCGCCGCCGTGAGCAAGAAGCCCGGCGCCAGCGGGAGGCCGAAGAATTCGCTGCGCTCACTGGTCTCAGACGACCCACCCGTCCGCTCATTACTCCCCTGCCCAGCGACTGGGACCTTAGAGTCTCCAGTGCTGCCAATGCGAACCCGCAGACCGAGCTCGTCAAAACCCTCGAGGGCCAGCCCCTTACCAGGCGCGATTTCGAAGAGAAGCTCCTCCCGCCCACTGCTTGGCTGAATGACAATGTCATCATCGGCTCAATCCTGCACATTGCAGACTACATCAACAAAGCGAAGGGCGCGATAGACCAGGAGCCCAAATGCGCCGCCTTCACATCCTACTTCTGGCCCCGCCTCCTCTCCAATGGCGCAGGTGCATGCGGTCGCCTTCTGCGCAGAGCTGGTGTTCGCAAGGCAAACTTCCTCAACATTGACACCATCCTCATTCCCATATGCGCGCAGTCGCACTGGACACTGGCCGTGATCCGACCCGACAAGCGGACCGTCGCACACATTGACTCGATGCGCGGGGGCCGCGGTGACGAAAGCGTCAAGACCAAGCTGCTTGAGCTCGTGCGCTTTATTCTTGAAGACAAATTTGTCGAGGCTGACTGGAGCGCTGTCGATTACGAAGGCCCGCGCCAGACCAACGGCTGGGACTGCGGCGTCTTTACCGTCACGAATGCCATGTGCATGGCTCTGGGCCTGAACCCCAGGTTCACATACACGGAGCGCGAGTTGACGCTGCAGCGAAGACGACTGGCAGCGATGCTTCTCAATGAAGGGTTCAAGGGCGACTTCAGCCTTGACGGGTTCTAGCAGGAGATGACACATTCCTCATTGCTTTCTGGAGGAAGACGGACCGAGATCGATGGCCCGCATTCTTGAAGACGTGTTCACGTCTACCACTGCTCATATTTCGCCTCAGAGAGAACGGCCGAGCAACCATCATTACCCCATCGCTGACTTCGGTTATGAAGCAGCCGGGTGTTCGACAGCCTCGCTCTGATATTCCTTCCCTATCATGGTGCTCCAGTCGGTCAACACCGAGGAGACCTTCGTAAAGGGTGCCAGGGCAGGGCTGTCGTTCTGAGAAATACCGGTCGAACTTGATCTGGATAATACCAGCGAAAGGACATGCTTCTTAGCCTCCCTCCCCTACAATGCCATGTAGGGCACGCTTGAATCGGTGGCTGACCCACTCCAACACATGCCGTGATCCGAGTTGACGATGGGCGGCGTCATACTTTGGAACGGGCATGTCTACATGACATGCAACTGAGAAAGAATCTGGTTGCTATATCAGCAAGAGTCACATAACCTTCAACATCCATCACCACTTAGACTCTTCTGACCCTGAGTTCACGATGGCGGCGTCGGACCCAGGAACCTACATTGCTCGCGACATGCGACAACGAAAACCGAACTGGACGGCCGCTTCTCCTAACCTTTTACATCACATCCGTCCTTTTATTTCAAACATCAGAGTCAACGACGGGGCGACGTTCGACATCTGAGTGTTATTTTCCCTCACACGACATATTCAAGAACACCAAACTGATGGATGGATGATCACATCTCTAAACCTGCTTCACCCTCACCTTGACCGTCGGAGTCGACGATGGTCAACGTTCGACTTCGGAGCATCTTCCCCTTTAACAAGACATTCTCGAGAGCAGCAGACGGATGGATGATCCCCTCTGCCTAACATGCACATCAATTTCACCTTCACATGATCTTCCGAGTCGGCGATGGGCAACATTCAGCCTGGCCATACTTTCCCGTATGCACGGCATCCTCGAGGGCACCAGATGGATGGATAACCACTCTCTCTTGACCCTGTGCATCATGCTCACCCTTCGCATTCAACCTTCGGAGTCGACGATGGGCAACGTTCGACTTTGAAACTATTTCACATTCTTCGCGCGACATTCTCGATAACAGCAGGGGGGTTGGACGATCGCTTCTTCCGACCTTGAACATCACCTTCACCTTCCGCATTTATCTCTCTGAGTCGACGAGGGGCAATGTTCAACTTTGGAACCCTTTCACAGTTTTCAGGCGACATCCGCGGAGCAAGAAAACGGGACGAGCCGGCAAACGGCGCGTCCAACATTCACACGCCCACATTGCATCAGTCCAATTTCAGGACCGGCGACGGCGTTCATACATCGGATTGGCATTCTGCATTTAATCGCTCGACAGCGCAACGGAGTACAACAAAAACTCTGCGGCGTTCAAAAAGAGAAGGCCTGGTCAAGAACGGGCAAGGCACGGAGTTCTGGGTTTCTGCGGCATTGCATCGTTGAACATAACATTCCATTCGTGTTCTTGGGAAGGGTTCACTTGTGGTTGTTGTTTCCGTGTGCCGGCTGCTAGCAGACTGGTTGACTTGGTATGGACATGGACGGATACAGTGGCGGACTGGGAGGTCCGGGTTTTTGGTCTTGGTGCCTGCGGGCGATGCGGTATGGCGGAGTTTGAACAGGGGAGAGTAATCACTGAGCATGGGTCTCATCATGGTTGTCTGTAGGTTTACCTTGGTTTCGTTTCACGGCGGGCGGTTTGGCATTCATATTTCTGGAGTTCAGGCTTGTTGATACCCCTGGCGGCGAGTTAGCGTTTAATACGTCTTTCTGTTGTTGGGCTCTGGATGCTCTGATCATTGGGGAGTCCAGGATGGACTCAGGCCGACGGATTATTAACTTATTGGGATTCAGGAGGTTTTAGGTCTTGTTGAGCTGAGACATTGGTTCTTGCTCCCGCGCTGTAGATAAGATAATACAGCTGCATAATTGATACCTACCTGTTGAATTGGTGACTGTTACAGTTGTCTTTTGAGTGGCGAGTGACGGGTGCTGGTGTGCTTGAAGGCTGCGAGGGCTGACGTTAGCCTGCTCTTGTGGTCTACCTGGTGCCTCTCCAGACTGCTGCCATGAAGCTAATTACCTTACGAAACCGCCACTAATCTCCTATCCTCTACTTTTGAGAGGTATACTGTTGAAATACTCAGACAAACAGCTCCCAATCTGGCTTGAAACTAAGACGACTGCAGAGTGGGGGAAATCGGTGCTGGTAGATAGATACCGTGTGCCACCGCACCTCTTGGCCGATGTGAACCAACGGACTGATTTGCAGGGCGCTGCATTCCCATTTATCCAATTCGCATTTTGAAGGCCTTGATTCCTGTCAGCCACCCACCATGCCCAGCTCGCAAACTTCTCAAATCCCTCGCCAGGCCTGCCAGAAGACGCCCAGCAGACGACGAAGGGCTGATTCGACTTGCTGGACAGCATTCTCTCCTGCCCCCTACCGGCACCAATGTATTCGGTCACAGGTCGCTGCCTGAGATTTTGATTATCGGATTGATGTTGATCATGGCGGACCACAACCCGGTACAGCACAAAGCCTTCGTTTGGCCGGCCCAAGTTTAACAGCCTGGCCACCTTCTTTCCAGCTTGGGGCTGCCTACAAGTTTTCCACGCTGACAGACTACATGTATCTCGTATTCTAGGCGGCCGCATCCGAATCCCCCAGACTACGATCTGAGTTACGCGTACGCACCGTCACGAGACACTCGCAACGGCCGTTCAAGGCGCAGACGAGCGCAGCGTTTTCGTCAATCTGTACCATAGGCGTCCATCCATTGTCCACACAATAACCACAGCCTTCCTCTTCCCGAGCACTCTTTCTGCAGCCAAGGACTCCACGTCCCTCGGCACCTTCTTCGTGGCAGGCGACCTGAATATCCCCCAGACACTGTCTGAACTCCTGACGACAAAACTTCTAACAGCAGCCTTCAGCCCAGGCCCGAGTTCAAGCCCAGCACCACAACCGACCCCTCAACAGGTTCCCACTGACCTAATTTCCCAGCTCCCCGTGCCAAACCATGAAAGCGGTGGCGTCTTCCTCCAGTTCTTCTCCTTCCCAGTGTTCGCCCCAAACCCCGATCGGCTCTTATCAAGTGACGACGATGAAGGTGACTCGGATCAAGCCGGGGCGGCGCTACGGCACCCCGTTTTCAGGCCCCATACCCCGATGACCGGCTCATAGATCTAGCAACGATGGGGCTGATGATGATGATGATGATGACAATGGCGCAGCAGTCCTTCAGGTCCGGTACCCCGCGTGGAAGTGGGTGAAGCCCGACAGCCGGTATCGCACCACGGGCTTCTGGGAGGCGGACCTTGGAGTCGCACTGGACGATAGAGAATGGACGGGCGGGGAAGCGCCTGACCATCTCGGTGAGGAGCGTGTCAGAGGAGACGAGACGGGTTATCGCCATCGGAGACCGCAGGTTTACGAGGCTTGGGCTTATGTTTGGAGGTGGGGTTTAGGCAGGCATGTTTGGGATGTTCCCAGTCAGGTTACTTGGGATAAAGTGGGAAGTGTTCAATATTCCTTTGACGATTTGAATGAGCTTGTGGTACCGTCCGTCTGCTGTTTCATGAACTTAGGTATGAGCCGCAGAGTGGGTATAATCGGCTCGATGAGGGGCCCATAATTCGCTCGGCGCTCACCCTGAGAGAGGTAGTTCCTGGGACGAGACGGGCAAACAGTCCCTAACACCGTAAAGAGCGGCACTACCTGCAAGTTGGGCCCGGGTGTCGTGTGGCTAGGCTTGATACCTTGCTGTGTAGGGAAGGCATCTTTGATTGATTGACAAACGGGGAGTGAGTGGCAGGGAGCACGGATAAGTGATCAAACCCAAAACGGACGGGAATGGTCCAGCTCGTACGACTCATATCATGCGCTAAGGGGGAGTCCCAGCCTAGGGCCTGGTTACTTTCTTTCCCGTTACGGCACTGACCTTATCGAGAGGGAGGAGGTTCACGCATCGGAAGAGGAAAGGGAGTATGAGGAATAGGTACGTCCTTTCTCCACGGGCAACATGGGGACCATCATTCGCGAGCGCATTTGTGGAAACGAGACTCCGTCGCCTGGCCCGTGAGGGGGGTTTGGACTTCAGAACCCTGGAAGAGCACACGGTCCATGGTTCTGTCCAGATTCTGCGACCCGAGGGAGTTGTCTCGAGAGGAGGCCCGTTTTCGCTCACCCCCTTTCTACCCACAAGAGGGCACATGAAGTGCCCAAGTTAGGTATCTGGGCGAAACGGTGATGACCGCTACAGTCTATATTAAGTAGTTACCATTAACTCCCCCAATTCCAAGGGAATGCCAGGGAACAGCAACCAGAGCAGCATTACGTTCTCACCTTGCTTCGACAAATTCCAAGGCAGTTGGTCCTCTCCTTGCGACGGCCCAACTCGCTGGCTCGGCTCGGAGCACCCGAGAACAGGCACACAATGCCACAGTACCATTCGGCCGTTCCCATCACGCTGGGGGTGGTGTACGGTAGGTTGGTCGACGTCTTGTCCACACATGTATCCGTTCACTGTATTGTACGCGTGCGGCGTACTGTACTTCAGCTCGTGAGGAGGAAACCCACACCATCACCCCAATTCCCAGCTCGGACACAGCTGTCTCCTGCATTCATCATCAATCATGAGTTACGCCATGGCCCACGGTCCACGGTTCTGCCCCATGATGGATCAGTGGGACTTGCCGAGAAAAAAGGGACCAGGGGACAAATGAGAATGGGACATCGTGACCCAACCGGACCATTGGGAAAAGGCAGAGCGGAGCCGGGGGTAGGATTGGGAAGGGGAGACTCGTCAATCTGAGACGGACCGCCGGACGTGGGGGTGATGGATCATGGGGGGAGTAGAAAACAACTCAAGGAGATGCTCATAGCGTTATCTGCTCTCTCCTTGCGGTGACCTAACGGAAAGAAACTTCTCCATATCAGGGATAGGTCACTGCACAACGCAAGCTCTCGTTAGTTTAAAAAGAGATGGTTGGGCATACCTCTCTACCTCGGCTATTTGAGTACACGCCCAACGCTCTGACCAGATCCTCCGCCCTCTTTCGGATGGCTGTGGATCACGGGCCCCTAGGCCGGGTTCTTGGTCCCTGGGAAGCGGTGTTCGGGTTGTGCGGAAAGAGCAGATGATCGTCATCGACGTTGGGGACAGGATGGGGCAAGGTCATGATCGTCGTTCCCCAACATGCTGTGGTAGCTATTTTGAGATACCCGCAGCTGTGTCAGCTTGGCATCTGCATCCGCTTTTGTTCTGACAGTGAGGAGAAGGAGAGCCTCTGATGAATAACTAAGTTAGCCGCATCTCCAAGCAAGAACAGGAGAGTCTACGGATCCGTAGGGGGTCTCGATTCGGTATTAATGGGCAATAGTCGCCCACCTGAACCGCCAAAAAGGATGCGTGGTTGGTCTGCCCCACACACGAGTGGGTTCAACCGGACTTGTTTTGGCCAACAGGCAGGACGGAACCTGTGGCTCCACGTGTGGTCTGTTGTGATGATGAGCTTCGCGGCAAGGCCAAGCTGGAAGAATCAGTCGGATGTTTTTGTTGGAGGAGATACGTGGGGGTCAACCAGCAACAATTGACGGTTGGTCCATGTCATCGTGGCTGAACTCATCCGTCATTCTTTCCGTTCACACCAGAGAAGCTGTAGTAAACGCACAGCTCCTTTCGTTTCCTTGGCGAGGGATGAGAAAACCCGGCACCGAACCTCGTCCTGGCTGGGGAAAGTGGATAAAGTCGGTCATCAGTCGATGAAAGGTGGCACTCGCGCCGTTCCGGGTTTTGCGGCTGGATGAGGTCGGAACTGTCCGAGCTTGGCTGTGGAACCGCGGCGAGAGGTCATCTCGACAGGAAAAGGGTTCTGCGGGATGCTCATATGCTGGCATTAATGGCAGCGATGACGGTGGATGCAAAGATACATGCAAATAAATGTGCGTGGCTCCGAATGGGACATTTGAGTCTAACTGTAATACGGATACACTCAATCGCCGAACAGAGGTGGAGTCGAGAATCAACAGACGAGGAGCAGGAGCGGCTCGTCATCTGGAGTGTTTTCTGGAAATCTGATGGAAAGAATGGCCATGCTCGGCTGGTTCGGGCCTCCTTCCGAGTCTGGCGTTCGGGCGCGGCCTCTCCGTTGCAAAGTCGCACCGCATCTCAAGACACGGAACCTGTTGGATTGGCTGCGTCGGCTGGGCTGCAAGCAGCTGAGATGCGACCACACGCCCTGTCCCGTGTTTTCTTGGCCCACGCAACCGACCAGCGCGGAAGGCTTCTGGAAGCCTTCCGTGGCCAGCTTGCTTGCTTTTGCCACCATGCCGGCAAACAGTCGGGTCTTGATCTCGACCATGCACAACGCGAAAGGAGGATCGAGGTGGTCAGCTCAAATCTTTGGTCGGGCAGCTTATTACCGTAGCATGCAGTCACGCAGCAAACTGGCAGCTGTCGTGGACCGCACTCGACAGCTCTGCGGATAAACCAGGTGATGACGACGATCCGTGGAATCATGGAATGTTCTTTGCAGATACCAGATCCGGCCGGCGACGTGCAGCTTCGGATTGGGTCACCGTTTCCATAACGCTATCATCGAACAGCCCCTAAGGTACTGCAAAGGCATGGTACAATATCTCGGGAGTGCTCCGTATGTATCAGTCAGATGGGGTTGGCCTGGGTGGCTTAATCCAGTATCGCCAATATCGGAGCAGCTGGTCCTGCGAACCGATGGTCGACCTGAGTGGCAACAGGTACCAACAACGAAAACGAACTCAGGTATTCTCGGCATTGTATCCAGATCCTGCTGTCCCCTCCACGTGTATCCGTACAACTTTGGCCTGTGGGATTGCAGCTGTGCGAGCATGCCATTCCTCTTCGTCAAGCGATCTTCGTCGGAGCAAGGGTTACCTCTACTGCTGACGTCGTCAGACTACCTTACGTGCCTTGAAGGGGCGGGCGGGCGCCCAGATTGCTCTTCCCGGGTTGGGCTCTCGGGGCCGTTGCAGCATAGGTTGACATTCAACCATCAACTGCATCCGTAATCACGGAATATCCTCTCACGATTTCGCAATAACCATGCTCGTTTCTTTTGTTTGATGGGTCCTCACTCACCATCACGATCGAAGACAACCTGAACGGGCGGTGAGCTGATGACGCGCCATCGGAGACAATTCCGCTCCTTCAAGATTGGCTGAGATAAAGAAACGGGAAACAAAATTTTACCTTGCTTTGTCTCATGTGCAAGAATGATGCAAAGATGGGTGCGCGGCTGAAATAATTATGGCATCCGAGCTACACCGATAGCGGCTGTCAGCCAAGCCATGTCTCAGTTTTTCTTCCCGTAACGCGGCGGCTGCCCTTAGCCGGATCGAAATGTCGAGACGACGCCGAAGCATGTGTAAAGGTAAGGTAGGTACGAACTGCATTTCTGTTTCGCAGTTGATAATGGTAATGGTGGCGTTCCAACTTCTCGGAGTAGTACATCAACCAATGAAGTAAATAGATTCTGGCAATTGATGGGCTGATGGATTTAGCTTGGGCGGCAAGCGGCTCTTTTGACAACTCACCCCAACCGCAAGCTGAAGTACAGTACCTAATGTTAGTTGACAGGCTAACAATAATGTGAGCTGAGAGCGCCCAAAGCGGTGCGGCCGTTAGATCCGGAGTAATTCCATGGTATTTCCGTCTGGGACTTCGTCGATCTTTGAGAGCGCTAGACGAAGACCCTTAACAGATTTGGTCGTTCTTGTGGATGTTTCGTGCAATAGTCTGCAAACTAAATTTGACTTGGACGACGCGTGGAGAAGGCATGAGGACTAAGGCGCTTGTGGAGAGGGGTTGGGTCGAAAGATGTGCCGTCAACGAGGCGGGCGACACTGCTTGGTGAGAGCTTCGCTGCTTTGTTCTGGAACCTCGGACTCAAACTCAGCTACAGCACGGCGTAACCATTGCACAAGACAGCATATCAACGGGTGACTGTGCAAGTGGTCGCCATCGGCTAATGAACCTGGAACCAAAGGAAAAGGTAGGTAAGAAGAAGGGTGGAAGCCTTGTGCCGTTCTTTCGGACTCCGTCCTAAGCGCAACCTGAGCGGACGTACATTCCGCCAAGCCGTACCTTACGCCTATTGGAGTTCGAGGCTGCAAGTCAACCGTAATGCCCACAAAAAGGGCCAAAGAGAGGTCAATGCGCGCCAATGCCATTCGCTTTTCGCCGTTAAAACAACAGGTAAGTAAGGTAGTTAGGTATAGCTGCGTAGCTGCTGTAATGTAGGGCAACCTGTGGGCGGCTGGAGAGTGTTCAGAACGGCCACCATACAATGAAACTAAGGTATCCGTACATAACGTACACTTACTGTACTCAATGCCCTGACCTGGTGGCTTTTTTTCTCTTGAGCTGACTCCACGAATCGTGCTGGCAAAAATGTACCTGGGAAGTAAACCCACCGAAGATGTGGGAATTGTGGGTCCGACCCTGCTGCCTCGGCCGGATCCCTTGTCAAGGGTGAGAATCTGGTTCGAGTGGAGCGCGTATTATCTGGCGACGAGAGCGTCAGACGACCGATTCGGGGAAGCCAGGTCCAGTTTGGGGAACGCTGTGCTTGTGGACAGACTGGTGCGGCCATTGATGGATCGTCAGGAGGAAATGCTATCATGGCCTCCCAGGTCCCCTTTTTTAGGCCTCCATGACAGCGAAAGGCGGGCAAACACGCCTCGACGGTTGAGGCTCACAAGCCTCAGCAAGCCAGGGAGCGGGGCAAAACGGCGGGGTCGACGGAGGCATGTCACACCGTATCTGGCCACGCTGTCGTGGCATGACGCAAATCACAACGCAGCATTACACATGTAAACAGCGTGTCATGCCATGCCCACAGGCTAGATCCACCGTGCTCGCCTTCGCGCGATATAACCCAGGTATAGTATGATTACTGTATATACGGCAGCTAGTGCACCACGAACCGATGCAAGAGCGGTCCGAGAAAACGATTCTTGCTAACGCACAGCATCTTACGCAGTGTGCTTCCGACCTGACGCATCCACCAATCAGTCAGTCTCGTCGCTGTGTGCTGGGCCATGCGAAGGTGCGGCGAAGTCCGCGCCTGATTGGTTACGACCACACGTAACACTGCATGCAGTGTGCAAGGGCTGCAATCTTTGCCCCTCAAAGAAGGCTTCTAGAAACCCTCCTAATGGCACTGAGAGGGCCCACTCTCGGCTCGCTCCATGACTTTCATTTCCTCCGCTCCAGTGGCTGTCCGGCCCTTCTCAGGAATGTCGAAGGAATTGCCTGCCACAGCGCCAGGGATCATGAGCACCAAGGGATGCGCCCACAAATTTCCCTGCCCATGCCCTGAAGGCCAGCCAATCAGATTTCGTCGGTTTCTTTCGTAGGCTTGTTTTTGGTGGAGACCCGTCGCCTAAGTCCGGTCCGTTAACGTTCTCTCTGCCCCTGTCCGTTGCCTCGCCCAGGCTTGCGCCCGATGGCTGGCTACCGAGACGCTATCGTGTGCGCTCTGGATCGAGAGTTGCGAGGCATTACTGTATTCTTAGTGTAATGTATGTAAATAGGCAACAAAAGGCGGAAAAGGAGGCTAGGGTACGGTACAAGAGATGCCATCTCATGGTTCTGTTGCCGGGTGAGCCAGGGCCCCGTTTTACTACCTAAAGCTAATTGTAATCCACTCAGGTTGCCGTTTGATCGGGAAAGTTGTTCACCCCTGGTCGCTTCCCTTGCGGAACCCTGCTCACTGCCCCTCCCCCAGGCATGGGCATGCCCAGGTGCTGCTTGTTTCAAACCTTCTAAAAAGACCGGCTGCAGCATGCAACTCTTTGTCGGATTTCCCTTTTGGTCCCCTTTTCTCCCACAATTCGCAACCATCAAATCATAGCGTCGACCCTTCCCGCTCCCTCCCTCTGCCCGCTCTACCGAACAGTCGCATCGACACTTCTTTGACACGGCGACGCTGCCTCTTGCCATCCCGGACCCACGCACCGACGACCATAGGTGCTGTTGTTTGTCTGACGTCTTTGAGCTGCCCAACTCTTGGCCCCTCCCAGCAAATTCTGGGCCCGCCGGTCATTTTCCGCCCTACTCTCCTGCCGAAGCCTGGCCCCGGAATTTCGCTGTGCTGTTCGCGTCGCCCTCCGGTCCTTTGTGTCTGTTGGGTCTCGTGGACGCAGCAAGGTTCCTGGAATCCGCCAACTTGGGGGTCTACAACATCCGTCCCGCCCCGTCCTGAATCCACTACTCTGGGCAGCACACCGTGTTGTGTCGCCATACTTTTTGCCTCGTTACTGTGCGTTGGTCGGCTGTTTCATAGAGGGGTACCATAGGCATTTTCTCTGGGTTTCGAGACCTGACCGTTGGGTTCGTTCACGCTCGCCCGTTGCACCGTACGGCAACCTGCAGCGCCGGTTGTGTGACAGGCAGTTCGACACACGATTTCCGAGGCGCGGCGACTGGCTTCTGACCGAAAAAACCGCCTGGGTTGCTCCCTGCGACGTTTCTGCACTTGGCCGGCATATCTGACAGGGTAATTGGCTGGCCTGTGACCGGTGCTCGCTCCTGGACGAGCGGCTAGAGGTTGCTTGCATTGCACGGAGTGAGCGGCAGCACACTTCGACCATCGGTCTGCGAGCCGCTGCAGCCCGAACAAACGACTCTCTGTGGCATTATGCCGGATTGGAGGTGATGAAGAGAAGGGAGCTCCGGTCATTTCCGTCTGCATAGAGATTTCGTTTGCTGCTCCGCCAGGTAAACCCCATTGGTCGTTTCCCTGGCCGGAGACCCCGTGGGCAGAATGCCAAAGGCCCAGCTACGAGGGAAGTCACCGAGCCCGATGATCTCGCGACCGAACTCAAGAGGAGAAACAGAACGGCCGTCATCAGTCCTGGAGGACGGTGACGGTTACTCGACCATGACCGCATCACGACCGCCGAGTCTGGCTCTCATGCCCCCAGCCTCGGCATCTTCGAGCCCGGCGTCGCCCCCATCTTTACGGGATATACTCACCAACATCGCACCTCCACCGTACACGCTCGGCGCCTTCACTGCTTTTCTCTCTCAGAACCACTGCTTGGAGACGCTGGAATTTACAATGGATGCTGATCGATACCGATCAGTCTACTCCAACTTTCTCAGGGAGCAGGCTGCCGGCTATGGAGATGGCGCCGACTATGTATGCTCTCACTGGCAGAAGATTATCAACGCCTACATAGTACCCTACGGCCACCGAGAAGTCAACCTCCCAGCCCATGTCCGAGACCGTCTGTTGTCATTACCTGCGACACCTGTGCCTCCTCACCCGACAGAGCTGGATGAAGCGGTGAGGATTGTGTACGAACTCATGAACGACTCGGTGTTGGGCCCGTTCCTGGCGTCAGTAGCGGCGCAGTACGACGGGTGTGCCGACGCCGGCGCCCCTGACTCGAAGAAAGCCCGGTCACGGTTATGGATCCCTAAGGATTCGAGCCCCGACGAGTCGGGCCGATCGCCGAAGATGGGTTTCCTGCCGATGCTCAACATCCCCTGGACGAGCGAGCCCAAGAGTTCTGCCTCGTCGGCCAGCGACTTCGCTGAGCGTGGCGGGCTCACAGAAGACAGCGCAAACACGCCATCTCCCACGGGAAACGAGCCCATGACACCACCAACCACACCGCCAGTGTCAGACTGGGGCTTCAGCACCTCCCCAGGAGGCCTCCACAAAACCGGCTCACACAGCAGCGGCTGGAAGAAGATGGGCGCGAAATTGGGTCTCAACCGGATGGGCCGCAGCAAGCGTGGCCACAGTTCGACAACTTCGGCACCAACCGACTTTGCCATCCCTCCGCGGGACCCGGACCATGTCAGGCGCAGGACCAACCCCTTATAGGGCTCACAGGTCATGCCGATCCCTGAAGACAACGTTACAGCCTCCCCTGAACGTGCTCCGCCTGTCGTGCCCGAGAAGCGGGCCGGGCGTGACGAGGCGCAAATCAGCAAAAAGCAGCCGCTCCCCTCGTCGGACGAGTGGGAGGAGCCGCACCCGGGTGAGCGTTACTTGATCAACGTCTTGGGAAACGCGCGCTCGGGTGCTGCCGCCGCCGCTGCCGCCAGCTGCTGTAACGGAGTCGGCAAGGCCGGCATGGCCGCAAAAGTTTACTCGCCGTATCCCGCCCGCGGGTGGGCACCCGCGGCAGGCAACCGGCGGTTCGCGCCACCGAGGCTGCGAACAAGGTCGCCGCGCGCTCATTTCAAGGCCCCACAGGACAAGAACAACAAAAACGCGGGGAAAGCAGCCAGGCTGTCGGTCCGCAGCAGTGCCGCACCCGTATTCGCGTGCTGGCGCAGTCAGTCCCCGGAGGTGGAAAAACCCGACAGCAACACGAAAGACTCGTCCATCCGCCTCTCCATGACAGATTTCTCAGGCTTCCTAAAACCCGGCGTCACGACAATCACGACCACTCCTCATGACGCGGTGTCGTACATGTCGGTGGACGCCGCCGAAAAACCGCTCCGCCTCTCGACCGACGACCGCGACGACGACAATGATGATGATCCGGACCCGTACGGCTGGGAGGCTGAATTGGACAGCCGGGTCGGCATGGGCATGGCCTTGGCGGATGTGGTGTCGGAATTCTGCCCCGTGATGCGATACCGCCGGGCCGATGGCGGCCAAACGGGCACGACCAAGCAGACGCTGTTGCAGCGTGTTTTGAGCCTCGGGTCTGGTACAAGTACAAGTACTCATGCTCATGATAGGGAAGGCTGAACGGTTGCTGTTCTGTGCTGGGCTATCTCCTATCTCTTGGTTTCGCATTCTTGGTTTGGAATGGTTGGGTGGGTGGTTGGTTTGCTGGTTGGTGTGGTGGAAATACCCTGTCGTACGTATGGTGTCTACTATTTGCTCTATGGGCCCGGTTTAGAATGGTTGGTTAGTTTGGGCCGGCTAACGGAGCGTATGGCTCTTCATGCACACACCCACACACATGCACCCATATATGGCGGCTCTCTCTTTTTTCTGCTACTTTGGGCTGATGATTTCCTATGTTGTCTTACCTGACTCTGATCTGGTTTATGCGGCATGCATGAGACGGCGGGCGGTCGGTGTATTCCATTTCCCTTGTCAGTTTCTTTTGTGAGTTGTACGTACAAAAACTGTTGAACAGGAGGTGGGCGTTCTGGGGCCGACTGGGGCGGAGGGTTAACGAGGAATGGCATGAATGTGTGGCAGTGTGCATACAACAAGAGAAGCAACGCAAGCATTGAATAGAATTAGGAGGTGGACTGTCACTCTCCATGATGATGACGATCGAGAGGATTTTACCTGGGGAAGTATCTTGATTGTCGTCACTGGTGATGGATCCTCCTCGTAACCTTCATCTACCACCCATGCTGTCTGTCTCCTGCTGCTGCTTGTCCTAGGCAGCCGCCACCACGGTCACCACCGTGGGAGCAGAACGACGGAGCAACCTGTACCACCTGTTCCGGCATCCCATCTATGTGCCCCAGGCTAACCCGGCGGGGAAGAAACTCCCACTGAGAGACGGAAAGGGGCCAAAGGACTGCCCAGAACCTCGTATAGCAGAAAATCCATCTAGCCTTCCGTTACATTTCCTGGTTTCTGCCGTCATTCAGATCCAGGTGCCGACGCTCGATTCAAGTTCCCTTCTCGTTTGCCCAGGCAATCCTTCAGGGTGGGGAATGTGCGAATGAGCTGAGCTGGAGCCATCTCCGGCGCCGTTTATATCCAAGCAGAGAAAAGTATAACGGATAAGACAAAGAACACATATTTGAATCAGCCGAGAGTCCCTGGCGTTGATCAGGAGCACCGAACCTGACCCGACATCACCCCTGGCCCGGGGTTCTGGTAAGGATAGATGGCATTTTGGACAAAGAAGGACGTCACGTACAGCGGCAGGGGGCTGATAGTCATCCAGACGACCCGGCATATCGGAATGCAGACAAAGAGACCCGGAACCTTTCCGCCGTTACTCGCAAACATCACACCTGAGGATTTTTCGTCTGTACCCAAGGCTCCTACGTAGCACCTCGAAAGCATTCCCCACAATCACCAAGGTACCCTGGAACATGAGGCAAGATGGCATCGATGCCCCGTTATTGATCCCTCCACGCCAACAGCAATTCCCCTTGAGCGAGGTTCCAGTTGCGTACCTTTTTCCGTTCACCAAATCCCATCATGATTTATCCATGTATGCTTCCATGCCCCTAATCCCTCTAACCGAAACCGTTCTGGCCTAGTTAGAATAGCAACTCGTTCTCTGCCTCCCTCATCCTGTCCCTCCTCACCCTTCTCCCCCCCCCTCCCATTCCCCACCTGCTACTGCTAACAGCGCCCCACAACCGCTCCAACAAGCCCCTCTCTTCCCACGGCCCATACCTCGCCCCACGAAGCGAGGCAGCAGCGCCGCCGCCACTACTGCCCACAGCAGCCTGGCTCAAAATAGGCACCCCGCAGAGCCCACCAGCCCTCCCCGACGAAGCCAACGCCATCCTCACCATCACCCGGTCTGCCGAGACCACCCAGTTCCGGCGCACGTCCGCGACGATCGTGCTTGCAAGGTTTTGCACGCGCGGGTTCCTCGCGTTTGTGGCAAGGGTTTGGGATGAGGGGGGCCGTAGTCCACCCAACAGCGTCGCGGCGCTGACGCCGCCGATGACTTCGTCTGCGGTGCGACAGAGCAGAACATCCTCTATCTGCGACGACAGCTCGTCGAAAAAAGCTGTCAGCCTGTCCATTGCGTCCTGTAGCCCGGGATTGCAGTCGGCTTCGTGGTTGTTGAATAGGTGTGCCGACAGGCTGGGTTGCAGTGAGTTTGCAGTCGTTGCCAGGAGCGTCATAACGTGTAGCTGTGCGAGGGAGAGCGTTGCTCCTGCTTCTGCGCCCCTGAGGCCTTCTAACCACGCCAGAATGGCGTCCAACACGCCCGCGGCGTGCTCCACGTCGTCGTCTTGCAACTCCCTCGGAGCACACCCCGACTCGAGAATCTCTCGGAGCGCAGCGGTGTACACCTCCAGCAGCGCCCAGCAGTCGGGGACCTGTGCAGACGCCTGAATGATGGCTGGTATCATGAAGTGCAGCATGAACGACGTGACATGGGCGTTCCGCATAGCCGTGCCCAGGATGCGGCATTCTTGGTCCAGCGTGTCGTTGCCCAGGGCGATCTTGAAGTTGTTGAAGAGGTAATGGAAGAGCTGTGGGGGGGCAGTGACGTCCTTCTCACTGAGCCTGACACCGTACGCGATGATGCCGGCCATGTGGAGCTGGGGATCTTGCACCGGAGGCGAGTAATCCACGCTCGGCTGGGTGAAGAATGGGTCAACTGCGCAGATGCCGACGCCGTGGGACTTGATGAGCGATATCACCTGCCTCACAAAATTGATGTAAAGCCCGTGTTCAGTGGTATGAGGCCGCAGGAGTGACAAGTCCTCTCTGATCTTTTGCATAGCAAGCTGCAGAGTCTTGGAGAACTCGTCCCGATGCATTTTTGACTGTGCCGACCCACACTCGCGGAGAGTCTTCCGCATGTAATGCATGGCGCAAGCAAAGTAGTCGAGGTTCGAATTGTAGTCCGGAGGGATCCCAACCGCAACTGTGGCCCGTTCAAGAAATGGGAGGTTGCGCTGCCTCAACACCTCCGCGAGGTAATTCTCATATCCCAGATACCTCATGGGTTTCACCACCGAGAGTATCCAAAGACCTAGAATGTTCATCCCGAGGTCTTTGAGATCAAAGACGTGATCCTTGACAAGAACAGCGAGGAAGAGGGGAATGTATTTCCTCTCCTGTGTAGTCAAGTGCTTTGGCACATCGGAAAATAAACCGTACTTCCCTGGAGAGAAGAAAGGCAGCAATTTCTACCAAGGGTCAACACGCCATCCAACAAGCAGATACTAAGGGATTGCGAACCGTGACTCTGTTCTTGATGAACCTGGAAGCGATCCTGGCAGCCAAGGTTACGGCCTTCTCAGCACACTCAACTTGGTGGTTGTGCTGCCTTGAAGACTGTGACACGGGGAGAGAGAGGATGGTACGGCACAGCCAAAAGAAGTCCTTGGCCAAGTGTTCATTCATCAACTGGAAAGGTCAGTTCAGTCCCAGAACCCAATGGAAACAGCACATACCAGCACAGCATCCTCAAGATAGGAGGCGTCAGGATTTTCGGAGAACTCGCTGGAGTATTGCTCCTCGGACGCCTGGTCAATTCGGCCGATAAGGTGCTCGACCGTCTCCATCGCCACGCGGAGGATGCTCCAGTCGAATCCAGAAGACTGGTAGTCGAGACTGGTGAACACCTTTTGAAGCTGTGCTGCTGAAGGTCAGCATCTTGTTATACCCCTACAGACGTGCACTTACTCGTGTTGAGACCATACAAGGCCGCCTCCAGTGTTGGCGCGCGCTGCAAAACGTCCAGCGACGCCTTGACCGAGAAGTGGAGCACATCCAGAGCAGTCGCCTTATTCTTGGCCACCATTTCGTCCCGCAGCTGCTTGCTGATACCCGCTATCTCGCTAGACAGAGCCCGGAACTGCTGCTCAATGTCTGAGGCAGCCGAGAGATACTGGTCCAGGACCTGATTAAAGACGTTGTTTCGCCAGGCAGCGAGCGGTCGGAACACCTCCCCGCCCTCTCCATTGGACATCACAAACCGCGCAAGCTGATTCCAGGCTCTAACGTTGATCAGACATGCTTCCTTGTGAGCGCTGGCGGGGACAACGAGCTTCTCTATCAGATGAACTGCCGGCCGGAGATCAGGCGGCGAAACCCAGAACAGCATACACAGGAGGTCGTGATGGTTCCTCAGGGCCGCCAAGTCGTGCTGATGAATCGTGTTTTCCTTGAGATACTGCCGATTGTGGTTGGGGAGCGTCCTGGCCACCAAATTCTTGATATCATTGACCCGGCCAAGGCTCCTCAAACGCTGGATCGCCAAGGCCAACAGTTTGATGAAGACATGGAAGCAGCGATCTTCGGGCTCGATGGACAAAGATGGTTGGCGGTCGAGTTCTTCGAGAAAGCGTGGAGACTTGTACACTTCCTCGTTCCTCAGGTGCGCGAGGCTCTGCGAGCCGAAGAAGTCGAAAATGGTACCAATGATGCCGGTGCATCTGCACCATCCCCACTGCTGGACGAGGAAATGGCAGCGAGCCACCAGAGCTCGGCAATAATCGTTGAAGCCCGGCGGTTGGCGAGGGTTTGCTTGGTATAACTGGAAGACGCGCTTCAGCAACTGCTGTGGCAGCGCCCATCCTTCCAAGGGCGCCGTGTGTCTCATTCCGGAAACGACGACCCCATTGTTGTCGATCTCAGAAAGCGGCAGTAGAGTGAACATGTCTCGCCAAAACCGCTCAAGCACCTGAGCGCTCAAGGGGGATGCGATCCCCTGGCTGAACATGACCGACTGAGTGACGTCCCAGAAGGAGCTTCTCGGGATGGCAGCGCATTCCAGCACCCTCATCGTGACAACCCAGCAATTCGCAAGAAAACGGTCTGACCGTATGCCCCGTTCCCTGAATGTCGGGCGTTGCAAATCTCCGTACAGGGCTTGTAGTTCCTCGGTGCCGTACTCCAGGAGGCGTCGAATAGTGGTGGAAGCAGACTTTATGAGCATACCATCAAACCTCGTGGACTGCAGGGGATCACTGCTCGATGACTGGCTCAATGAACGCACTGCCAGGATCGCCAGGGAGAATCGAACTAGAACTTCAAGCTGCGTCCTCTTCGTCTCGCCTGAACACGTGCTCCAGTCGATTGATTCGAATCGGGCGATGAGAGCCGAGAAAACGTCCAGGCACCTCGACAGGAAAGCTCTCTCCTCAAGGTCGCTCGAGACACTTAACGAGCGAAGTATGTACCCAAGGATGAAGTCGGCCGCTTCGATTGCCTTTCTGCCTCTGCCGTCGTCGATCGTACTGGATACCACTTGCTCTGCGATCCAATCGACCAGGACGCCTAACTGGGACGACGTATTGTCATCCCAGGCTCCCCACCTTAAAGTCCGTCCGTCGAAAGAGAAGGACACAGTCGGCCGCTGATGACGAGTCCGGTCAGACAATGAGGCATCAGCCGCGTCCCGGACGAATCCGCGTCCGATGACCGTGCTCTCGTGAAAGAAGACTCCTCTACCAAGTGGGAAGACCTCAAAATGATGGGAATAATGAGTGCCGTATGGGCCGAGCCCGTTGAGCTTGTCGTCTTGGGTCTTGGCTGTAGGAGGATGCTGATCCTCCTGAACCTCGACGCCAAAGACATCAGCCGGCAGTGGGTCGTGTGCGCAAGCATACTGCGCAGCCTCCAAGTCAACGAATTGGGGCCGGCGTCTCTTGCGAAACCTTGAACTGGCGCCTCGTTTCTTGCCCTCGGTCGAAGCGAGAGTCTCTTCGATAGCGGAATGGATCCCGTTGTCCTGTTCCTGAATCACGCGCTCTCGAAGATTGAAGTCAACTTCAGGCTCTTGTCCCAACGTATCGACTGTTGACACTCCTCGCAGTTTCCGGGCTCTCCTGTAGAAGGCATCCAGGGTCCGCTTTCGAGAATTGAGTTGCCGTCGCTTATCCTTGTCTTCATCCTCCTCCAACTGCGCAGGATGTGGATCGGGGCGACGGTCTTGGAGGGGCTTCAATGGTTGTGGTCTTGGAACTGGAGGCACTTGATGAGCCTGTAAGTCCCTGGCATGATCCGCGAGGACGAATGAGTCAAGCCTGTTCTGCCAAACCAGTTTTTGAGGATGAACTTCGCGGGGCCGAGATGCAGGGTTGCTTGATACTTCGCGCAGCATAGGCCTTCTTGTCTGCTCTTGCAGCTGCTTTAGCAATGGCACAGACATTCTCGGTTTCATCTTCCCAGCCTTCCAATCTCGAAGGACGGAGAGCGCGTCCACGTTGTCGCTGCGTGTTGCCAAGCTTATTAGCTTGTTGAATGGACTGGCCTTGCCTAAGTTCGACTTGCGCTTCACAGCCCGTGCGGCGATCTTGACAAACCTTGGGGCATCAGGTTCTATAACATCCAATATACTCAGGAGTGGTGGCGTGGCTGCCCTGTTCTTGTATTTACGACTCACTGGAGGACCACGCTCCTTCTGGAGTCGTCTGTTGATTGAGTCTTTCGTCGTAGGTGTCGAGACGATGTGTTTGGATCGACCGAGAAGTTGGGTTATCTTGGGTTGCCGAGCATGCCAGTTGGGACGGCCCTTGAAGACGGCCTGCGTCCCGCTTCGCTTTTGCTTCTTTGCCCTTCCGGACGTGCTGTGTGATCCAGCCCTCTTCCTCCCAGGGAGCATCCAATCGATAGTGTCTTCTTCGACAATTGAGGCTCCGTCGTCTTCATCTTTGAGAGTGACCGCCGGCCCAGGCTGCATTGAACGGTTTGCCGCAGGTTCTCTCAGCGGCGGCTCATTTTCAGACCCAGATGACTCGGCCTCGTCAAAGAATATCAAGGGAGTTGTACTAGATGGTTTCGGGGAGCGTTGACGCGGTAGAGCCACGCCGCGCCTGACCCCCCGTTCTGGCGAATGTTCTGGGGTCTTTCTCTTCACGTTCCACGCCACTCGTGTATCGTGCCGTTGGTCTAGCCGCAGCCATGAAGCGGGCAAAACGCCGCGGATCCTACGGCTGTTTTTGCGGACCATGTCGGAGTCACTGCCAGAGCTGCCAGTAGAGCCGGTCAGCTCCCCCTCACTGAGGTTGCTCTGGGTATCTTCGTTGATCACGATTGGAGAAGCTGCCGTCCCATTGTCAGGCAACGAAGCCGTCGACGTGTTTCCCAGAGAAGATATGCTCGGGGTTCTCGAGCGTTTCCGTGTCGGCGACTGGGGCGCGGTCTCCTGTTTGTCCGACAGCTCTTCCGGCCGTTGGGACCCAGAGGGTGAGGATGACAATTCCCAAATGTTTACAGGCGGAGGCGGAGTGAACGTTAAGCCTTGTGGGGATGGTTGGGACGACGAGTCTGGTATGGTCCGAGGTCGTTTCCGTTTCGTGGAAGACAATAGCCGGGAGCGCTGCCGCTTCAACGACTGCCGCCGTTTCTTTGCGGATACAAGTCGGAGTTTTTCTAGAGGCGGAAATTCCTCGTCGGAGAGGCTCGTAGCATCTGTCTGGTCGCCATTGCTCTGCTGACTGCTGGTTCGCACCTGTTGGCCGTAGGGGGATGTTTTTGGAAGCGAAGGCGTGATTGCCAGTTCATCCTCGTCGTCATCAAAAAGAATCGGTCCCGCTTCTTCCAATCCTCCTAGGCCTTCAACGCTCGCCTCCTGACTGTCCTCGGGCTGGAATCCTTGGTCCTGAGAGTCTTCCTCGTCAAGTGTTCTTCGTGCCGGACGGTGCTCCGAAATGACCTTGATGGGTTTTACGCCATGCGATTTCATGATGTTCGTGTATTTTGCATTCTCGAGAAGATAAGGATGCTGCTGAATCGGCTTCCTTGGTCGCAGTGACCGCTCCAGTCGAACTGCGGTCTGCCTTGACAGCTCCTCGGCCAAACCTTCGACTGGCATTGGTCTCAAGCCCGGTTCCTGCGGCGAGTCGCGGCGGGTTTGAGGTAACGACGGGGACCTCGGTAGTGAGGGTGTCTTTGAGAGAAGACTCGCTGGGGAAGATGCCCGTGAGCCTGGGGTTGAAAGACGGACATAGCCAATCGATACATCGTCCTCCAGGAACGAACCTTTCGCGGTAAGAAGCGGGGTTCTCGGCGTGGATAGCCATTCGGATGGTTTCAGTGTCGATTGGGCCGGCCAAGACGGCTGGCTCAACATCTGGGACGCATGGGCTGGGTTGCTCGTACGGGATGTGGCCGCATGGTCTGGCGAGGAGCTGGGAACGCTGCAGATGTCTCCATCTCTGTCGAGTCCAGTGTGGACCTCCTCCGCTTGCGTCTCGTGCTCCTCTACTCCGGGAAACTGATCGAGTTGGTCATGATCGTGGAATTCCGCGTCATCAAAGCTCTCGTCGTCCGAGTCCGGAACCTCTCCCAATTCCCTCCAGTTCTTCATGGTCCCCAGTTACCATGTCACAGATTTAATCAGTCATCGTACTCAGTGGATTGGCAGGATTAAGAAGGATGTCGCTGTGTTGGTATTCAAAGTCAAGTCTTATATGCTGCGGCATTCAACGCGTAGTCAATTGTGAGACGCGACTTGAAGAGCTCTGGTGGGGCATGGTTTTGGTCTTGGCGATCCAGGCACCAATTGGAGCTCGAAATGCGACAATGAGAATTTGGAGGTTCGTTTTGCCGAGACAGGCCGGTACGATACCGTACGGTAACAGCGAACCGGATGGGTCAAACTCCTTGATGTCGTCGGTCCCATAAACTCGCAAGACCGTCTTTTAGACGAAGTTTCCAGCTTATTTGCGTCTGAATCACTTAGCTTACAGTCTAGACGAGATCCCTCAACAATGAGCAGTCAATCCAAAGTCATCACAATCGGCCTGATCCTGGCCCTGGGGATCGGAAATGGTAAGGAAATCAATCCTGCGTTCTCTTCACGACTTCGAAAGTTAACCACCCATTTACAGCTTATTACACGTTCAATCCGAGTTTGAAGGAGTTGAAGGAACGGCGGGAGGGCTCAACCATTGGGTAGGCCCAACCATGTCTTAATCGCCATGAGGTTCAGAGCTCACATCCACGCAGGAAAACGCTCGAACCACAGACGCCTGCAGCGCCCCAACCGGAAGCCCAGCAAGATAAACCCAGCTAAGGTACCTTAAGGAGAGTAACGAACATGGAGCCGAGTGGGATATTGAGTGATTGCAGCTCAGCAAGGAGGGCTAAAGGCTAACGCCGACATGCGAGACAGAGAGGAGAAACCGCGACGAGGAAGTGTCAATGTTTCGCCATGCGACAGCTGCCATATCTGGATAGGTAACAATCAATGTATTTCAATCTGAGTCTCTTGAACATGGCGATCCTGGTGTCCACGATAAGGACCAACCATCACGGTGTTGACAGATCTGAGCGAGACCAAATTGCTGATATGGCATGTTGGTGGCAGACGCCATCGGCGCTAATAGTACTGCAGTTTCAGACGAAGCTGTCAGAAACAGACAGAAGTTCACCGTAACTGGAATTCTGAATGTCTTCAAAGGTCAAATCAGGTGCCCCATTAACCCGCGGCCGAGCGGCCATCAAGTGTGCGGGGCTCCGCCGTTGCAATTAAGCGGGAGGAACAGGACCAGATGTCGCCAATCAGGCCACCTCGAATTCCGAGCTGAGGCCATCCGCCCAAAAAAAAGCTCGTCCGTGCATGACTTCACACCTCGCACAAAACAACGTCGTCGAAGGAGCTTCAGGCCGCCAGCCGCGCCTAAAGTCAATTGGACCCATCTTCCCTCTCCAAGCCTGCGCCCAGTCCGATACCTGAACGACGACCTGCTACAATTGTCAAAAGATGTCGCCCATCCTCCGCAACGCCCTCGTGCGCGCCTCCCGGCAGTCGGCGACCACGGCTCTCGGCTATCGCGCCGCCTCGACACACGCCATCTCGAACCCGACGCTGGCCAACATTGAGAAGAGATGGGAGGGCATGCCGATGCAGGAGCAGGCCGAGCTCTGGATGGCGCTGCGCGACCGGATGAAGGAGAGCTGGACTGAGCTTACCATTCAGGAGAAGAAAGCCGGTAAGCTGCCGATGCCAAGACAATACCCCAGGCCGAGTCCCCAACTACGCGTCAATTCCATGCCATCGCAGAGCTTAGCAGAAGCTCTATGATAGCGTTCTGGATGAAGCGCGACGAGTTTGAGATGACCAATTGATGGATCGGAAGCTCTGCGAGCTGCTGAAACCCCCTACGTCACTCATATCCCCCGCTTGGCATGGGGTGAGATTGATCACCAAACATAACACTAACCCACCATGTCTCTGCGCAGCCTACTGGATCGCCTTCGGTCCTCACGGCCCCCGCTCCCTTCCTCCTCCGGGCGAGAACAAGAAGGTTGCACTCTACACTCTCATTGGCGTCGGTGTCAGCTTCGTCATCTTTGCTACCGTCCGGGCGTTCGCCAGGCCGCCGCCGAGCACCATGACCAAGGAGTGGCAGGAGGCGACAAACGAGTTCCTGAGGGTATGTGTCCTCTGGCTCCCTTCTCCCCATACCGATTGATATTGCTCGCAGTCGCTAATATGGCTTCGCAATACAGAACCAGAACTCGGACCCGTTGACGGGTATTTCGTCAGAAGGCTACCAGGGCAAGGGTCATGTGCAATCCCCCTCTGGGAAGGCATAAACGAGACGGGCTTTCTTTTGTCATTAGATTGAGTCTTCGCGCCGGCACTGCTCATACGACACGAGCCAAGCGAGGAAACCTCAGGGGGTCCGGAGCATTGGGGCTTACCGGAGTTGATATTGGATGATGTAAATACTGTACAACGCTGACAATGCGAATTTCTCCTTGATAGTCGCCAGCCCAGACTAAACCAGAAGTCCCTAGCTTTGCCTTTACCGCCTTCGACCCAGCGCCCGGCTGACGCCAACACGGAGGATATGTGGAAAGCGGACAGCCTGAATCCCGGGACGGCTGAGCTTCGCCATACTGGGAACGCCAGTGCGTGCCTCTCAAGATCATGACCGCGGATACACAAAAGCCTGATGTATGAGGCTGCATGCCATTGTGGGGTCTTCTGGCTCAGATACCGTGAGGCAAACAGGCTCGACAGGCAGATTCAAACACTGTCCTATAACAGCGTATTTGATGCAAGTAACCTTATCTGAGTCGTTAGGTTCAGCAATACTCTGTACATCAAGAGTTTTGAACAAGCGGCGTGATTAATTCGGAATACGAACATGAGCACAGGATGTTGTTGCATAACACACACACAGCATGACTCATGAGCTCGGGAGGCAGTATCATGTGCCAGGATTACCAGAGTTGCTTTCCGATGACGGTGAAGCGTACTTGGCTCGACGTCTGTCGCACCTGGCTGTACCTTGCTTTCGCATCACCACGAGGATGTATGAGTTAGGCCATGCAAGTTGCATGCTCTTCTAAGGTTTCCGCCCGGTATTAGTGCTGCTAGTACCATTGTCAACGGCACACATGAGGTGAGGTTGGCGGTTTCACCGAGGGTAATAAGCTTGGTAGGTACCTAGGACAGGTGCTCCGTTGCGTCGATGAACATGTCGTAGGTCGACGGAGTCTCTTTTTCACATCTACTAGTGTTCGAACCATGTCGAGACTCCGGCATACGCAGTTAAGGTATAAATACCTGGTAGCTTTGCAATCGATGGAATCCAGGTCAATCAACACGTGCAAGGCAAACAATTCGACGCACATTCAGTATGACACATGAGGCAGGGCGGGCGTTATAGGGGCGACGAAGGGAGGCAGCCCGTGAGCACACCGGCCCGGGCCAACTCGACCCGGCTCAATTCACCCGACAGCCTCAAAATGAGCAACTTTGAAAGTGGATACCGAGGTACGGATAGATTTGGCGAAACTCTGCAGTCGATACCACGAGCTGCAGCTTCTCAACACGGCCTATTTTCAAGCAGAACTCTGGTCCTCATTGGCGGAAAATCATCTGCGCCAATCCGGCTTTCGAACGTGCCCAAATTTTGCCGGCGATTGGCTGCGTTAGCGGCATCCCGGGGCAACGCGGGGACTGGAAGCTAGCGTGGGGGATTCTGTTCGCGGCACCGCGCTGAGAGCCCCATTCATATGCTCGGCTTCAAGACCTTCCAGCCCCGGCTTCGGACAAAACAACTCATCATGACTAGAACTGCTGGCTGTTCTCCCCCCTCTGCCAAACCACGAGGGAAGGGTGCGGGTTATCACGCGCCTGACTCCGTTTCAGAATTTGACCGCCCTGTGACCTGACTTGATTTTCGTTCTTTTTCTTTCTGGGCCTCACCTGCGGGAGAGCTGTCTTTGCACGACCGAGTGTCCACTGATCTGCCATCGAGGTCATTATCAGCACATTGCGAGCCCGTCTTCCCCTGCGACGGTTCAGGCCGAGGTGCAAACCATCAGGCGCTTCTCAGGTTCGTGACTCCGAGTTTGACTTTATGAGCACAAAACAACAACCCGAATTGCCCGTTGACTGCTGTGTGTCAGTTTCAGTGTCTCTCGAGTCGACGGTTGCGTCATTGGTGGAGCAGCAGTTTCCACCGACACATCCTCCTATAGAACAACCGCCCGCAGACGCCGCAGCCCTGTAAACATATCTTACAGTTCAAACACCTGTCGCCAATGTCGAGGTTTTTCAGAGCAAGGCGGTTGCTACCGCCACTCGTCGTCGCTAGCGCGGCTGGCAGCGCCTTGTACTATGTGTACCGGCCCCGGAACATCCCGGGCTATGAAGGCCCGGCGGTGCCACCCCCTATCTGGGGCGCCGACGGCACTTTCAAGCTGCCTCGCTTCCCGCGCGTGAAGTCGCGCGCTGAGCAAATTTCCGAACTCAAGAAGAGCAGTGCTGGAGACAAGGAGGAGGAATACGACATCCTGGTCATTGGCGCGGGCGCAACAGGGTCAGGAGTCGCCCTTGATGCTGCAACCCGCGGACTCAAGGTTGCTGTGGTGGAGCGCGGTGACTTCGCCTGCGGCACCAGCAGCAAGAGCACGAAGCTTGTCCACGGCGGTGTGCGCTACCTCGAGAAGGCCGTCTGGAACCTGGATTATGCCCAGTATCAGCTCGTGAGGGAGGCGTTGAAAGAGCGCACCTACTTCCTGCAGACGGCGCCGCATCTGAGCAGTTGGCTTCCCATTATGTTGCCGCTGGACCGCTGGTGGAAGATTCCGTACTACTGGGCGGGTACCAAGTTCTACGACTTCCTTGCCGGGAGCGAGGGCATCGAGAGCTCCTACTTTCTGACAAAGAGCAAGGCCATCGACGCGTTTCCCATGGTGAAGCAGAGCGACCTCGTCGGTGCGCTGGTCTACTACGACGGGGCCCACAACGACTCGAGGATGAATGTCTCGCTTGCCATGACGGCAGCGCTGTATGGCGCCACGGTGGTGAATTACATGGAGGTTACCGATCTTTTGAAGGATGATAATGGCAAACTGTGCGGTGCAACTGTTAGGGACAAGATTCCTGAGAGGGACGGCAACGCAGCGGACAGCTTCAACATCAAGGCCAAGTGCATCATCAACTGCACCGGTCCGTTCACCGACGGCATCAGGAAGATGGACGACCCCAACTGCAAGGAGATCGTGGCGCCCGCCTCGGGCGTGCACGTCGTCCTCCCCGGTTACTACAGCCCCGGCAAGATGGGCCTGATCGACCCTGCGACGTCGGACGGGAGAGTTATCTTCTTCTTGCCTTGGCAGGGCAACACAATCGCAGGCACCACGGACGACCCCGCAACGGTCACCAACAATCCTCTCCCGGACGAGAAGTCCATCCAGTGGATCCTCAACGAGATCAGCCACTACCTGTCCCCTGACATCAACGTCCGCCGCGGGGATGTGCTGGCAGCCTGGTGTGGTCTGCGTCCGCTTGTGCGGGATCCCAAAGCCAAAAACACCGAATCCCTTGTCCGCAACCACCTCGTTGACATCTCCGAATCCGGCCTCCTGACCTGCGCAGGCGGCAAGTGGACTACGTACCGGCAAATGGCCGAAGAATGCGTCGACGCCGCCGTGGAGCACTTCAAGCTGCAGACCAAGCCCGTAGTTAACGCTCCCCGTGTGAGCGGTACCGAGAGCATTGACGACGGCGCCAATCTCAACGGCACATGCCAGACGCACCGGGTGCGCCTCATCGGCGCCCACGGCTTCAGCCGCACCCTCTTCATCCACATCATCCAGCACTTTGGCGTCGAGACCGAGGTCGCCAAGCATCTTACCGAGAGCTACGGCGACCGGGCCTGGACCGTCGCGGCTTTGTGCCGCCCAACGGACAAGCGGTTCCCCGCGCGCGGCGAGCGCATCTCGCAGCTGTACCCGTTCGTCGACGGCGAGGTCCGGTACGCGTGCCGTCACGAGTATGCACAGACGGCCGTGGACGTGCTGGCCAGGCGGACGAGGCTTGCGTTCCTGAACGCGCAGGCGGCGCTCGAGGCGCTGCCCAAGATCATCGACATCATGTCGCAGGAGCTTGGGTGGGATCGCAAGAGGCAGGATGCTGAGTGGAAGGACAGTAAGTCATTCCGAAAATTTTGGCTGTCGTGTGTTTCGTAATCTTCAGAGCGTGCTCGCTGACATTGAGTGTGTTTATAGCCGTGGCCTTCCTCGAATCAATGGGCCTTCCCAAGCCTATGCTCTCGGTCACACGTAAGCAAGTTGAACAGGGCAAGATCGATTTCAAGTCGTCGCTCGAGTACCGCATGTATTCAAGGCATGATAAGCCGATCGAGGAGGAGCCATAAGAGGTCGGGGGTAAATGAACCGGGGAGTTTGGATTCAAAACTCGTTGGCATAACTTGCGGCGTTTAGAGCTAGATGGGCGGCTGGCTTGCATGCGTTTAGCATCGGAAGGGTGTACCATGTATGTTGATTAGGGTGGTATTCATTCCAGTAGTATCTTAATGGATATATACTTTCACATTGAAGAAATTACCTGTGTGATATCGGCATCAGTGAGTCCCAGCCAAAGTAACCCATCCACATGACAAGTGAGCTGTTCCAAAAGAACGACACACAGTGGACAAACACACAATAGGTGTCACTCCTGGGGCCCTCCTACATAGAGAGCAGATGCACTCAGGTATCCTAATGGGACCAGTGTCGTCACAACATGGGACTAGTAATGCGTCACTACGGGATTAGGGCATCATTTCCAGTGCAGTCTCTGCCGCTATGTGCTCATATTTTTCTCAGACAATCATCTGTAGGGAGTCCTTAACTTGTTGACGTCTCGGACGAGATATGCCTGGCATCGAATCGATCGCTGTAATAGCTCCGCGGTCTGCTGTCTTGCCTGGGATTACATGTGACTACGGACGGAGTATCGCAGTATGTATCATGGATACAACGCTAACCCGTATCGGCTCAGCGCCAAGGCTTGGCTGATGCCGGCCGAATTTCTTTTGACGCCACCAATCATGGGCTCGATATCTTGAAGTCGCGATCCTTGGTGCAGCTTCTCAAAACCGTCACCCTCGACAGCAACTAGTCGCACGGCTGCACCATCGAGACGGGCTAGGCCATAATAAATGGCCAATTCCAATCGCATGTAAGCGCCATACCAAAATCCACGCCCACTCTCATGCCTACGGCTGCCGGGGCCCGGGCCCTGCTGTCGGCGAAGGCTCGTCAACGACTTCCCCGCGTCGCCGCCGACGCGAATTCGACGGTTGTCGTCGCCTTTGCCACTCTACACAGCATCCTTCCGCATCGACTGCATGCTCTCTGCAGCCCGCATGACACTGTCGCAGCAATCCGCGGATTTCACACGTCGTCGTCCCTCCTCAACAGGCCCGACGACCCAAACTCCGAGAACGCCGCCCCATCCGCCGACTCGAACAAGGACAAGGAAACTGGCACTGCGGCAGGGAAGAGTCAGTCAATTGAGACACCCAAACCTGCTGTTTCCGAGAACAGCAAACCGGTCGAGGGTCCTGCCCGAGTGGGAGCCGAACCCGCTGTCGCTGCTGCTATCGATGTGGATGCTAGACGGGAGAAGCTGAAGAGCGCGGGCTACGGGTCGGCGCGCGCTCGCGCCAACCGCAACAGCCGTGTTGAGGAGCATCCCGCCCCGAAAGTGCCTCTCTGGTTCCTGTCCGACTGGCATGTCTCTCTGTACGAATTTCGCGCCCTCGGCGTCCCGGCTACGCGGCTGCCTCCTCTGGGGGAAGAAGACCACCAGCAGCTGATGATGGTGATGGAGAACGTGTTGGACCAGGCGGCCCTGTCCGAAGCGGAGGTGCAGCGGCAAAAGGACATGCTGCTCCGCTTCGCTACGAGGTATTCATCCGATGACTCCTTCGTCCGCAGGCTACCGCGAAGTTTTCAGGCATTCCATGCCGCCGCTTTCTTTCAAGCACTTTTGGCTGTGTATCATTCCGGAGCAGATTCAAATGAAGCCCACGTTGAGTTGTTGCGCCAACACCACGCAGATCACCTCAAGACTAGGCCGTTGTGGTGGCCCCTACCTGAAAAGCTTGTGTCTGGTGAGGCTCAGCGCTGGCTCGCAAATGCTCGCTTCGACGCGCCCCCAGGGTCGGGGATACACATCAGCCCGCTGGCGAAAAGGCCCGAACCCGAATACTCTGTCTGCATGGAGCTTCTGGCTGCGGTACAGTCCCAGCTGGCTACGCACCCTCTCTCCGGCAACCGCCCAGACTTACGCCCTCCTCCAGTTGTCCTGGCAATGCTCAACTGCCAGGGGCCGACAATCGCCAACAAAGTGATCGAAGACATTGCCACTGATCTGAAGGCGGATGTGGTGCATTTTAGCGCACATAGCATCGCACGCCTAGTGGGAGGCTATCTTGGCCAGAACCAATACTCGGCCCGCGGCTCCGTATCCATGCTCGGCTACGCCGCTGCTGAGATGAACGGCAGGCTCGCCCTCCGGCCCGATGCCGAGTCGGACCAAGTCGGCATGGTCGCTGTTGAGCTGCCTTCACGCTTGCGGTCCTTCCTGTCTCCAAGAGAGGGCTCGGCAGCCGGCTTATCCAGTGGTCGCTGGGAGGACATGCAGATGGGGACAGCTCTGGAGGGATTCATTGCCGCCGTTAATACAACCCGCCAATTGCACAAGCACCCACCTTACCGACCCCTCACTGGCGAAATCAAAGTGGAAGAGGACCACCGGGATCTTATTATCCATATTCACGACTATGTGGAACTTAGCTCTTTGTATCCCGCCCTGCTCCACAAGTTTCGGGCTGTTGCCGACCGCGTGTCCATGGCAGGGAGGAAAGTGATCGTCGTGGGTTCCTCCGGGAGCGATATGAGCAAGTCCCAGTGGCGGGATCAGCTCGACGACTTGGGCCGAGACGGAAACGCCCATGTTATTCCGTTCCATGCTTCCGAAAAGGATATGAACGGGGTCTTAAACAGTGTCTTGGCAAATCTAGACAACAGACGTCAAAATATCGACAACATCGAGGACATGCTCGGGGTCATGGTTGGAGACCAGGTTCCCATTACCTTTAACGAGTTCTCGACTGCGGCAGAAGAGAAAATACCAGAGCAGATCCACAAAGTCCTAGGTTCGATCCTGGACAAGCACGTCTATGATGCGCAATGGGTACACCGTCTCGTATCCTTGATGGTAGGCGGTCAGACGGGGCCGCGGGACGAGTATGGCCCAAGTGAGCTGGCTTATGCTGTGCAATTCATGCTCGACAGGAACAAACGCTGGGCCGACGTGTACCCATCCGTCCGGCCCCCGTACTGCTCCCCTCTCTCGATCCCACGAAGCCCCGCCTCCTATTCCTCAGACGACCCTCCCGACAGCAGCATCTCGGGCGAGACTGGCACCAAGGAATACAGCAGCGCGGAAAAGAAGCTCCTCTCAGGCCTGATCAACGCCAAGGATATCCACACCACCTTCAACGACATCGTCGTCCCGCAAGAGACCAAAGAATCCCTAATCGGCCTGACCACCCTCTCCCTCATCCGGCCCGAGGCGTTCTCGTACGGCGTTCTCAAAACCGAGCACATCCCCGGCTGCCTGCTGTACGGGCCCCCCGGTACGGGCAAGACGCTCCTCGCCAAGGCCGTGGCCAAAGAATCCGGCGCGAGCGTGCTCGAGGTCTCGGCCGCCGACATCAACGACAAGTGGGTTGGCCAGAGCGAGAAGAACGTGCAGGCGCTCTTCTCGCTGGCGCGCAGGCTGGCGCCCTGCGTCATCTTCCTCGACGAGGCCGACGCGCTGCTCGCGGCCCGCAGGTCGGGCGCCGGCCGCGCCGCCCACCGCGAGGTCATTACCCAGTTCCTGCGCGAGTGGGACGGCCTGACGGGGTCCCCCGCGGGCAAGTACTTCATCATGGTCGCCACCAACCGGCCGTTCGACCTCGACGAAGCCGTCCTGCGCCGCCTGCCCCGCAAGATCCTTGTCGATTTGCCGCTCACCCCGGAGCGCGAGGCCATCTTGCGGGTGATGCTCAAGGAGGAGACGCTCGCACCGGATGTGGACTTGGCGGCGCTGGCGAGGGAGACGGAGCTGTACTCCGGGTCGGACCTCAAGAATCTTTGCGTTTCGGCCGCCATGGAGGCCGTGAGGGAGGAGGTGCGTGCTAAGGAGGCTTGGACGGGGGAAGCGGAGTATCAGTTTCCTGAGAGGCGGGTGTTGGAAAAGAGGCATTTTGACAAGGGGCTCAGGGACATCAGTGCGAGTATTAGCGGGGATATGGAGAGCTTGAAGGCGATTCGAAAGTTTGATGAGCAGTATGGCGATGCCGGCAGAAAGAGGAAGATTAGGAGAGGGATAGGGTTCGAGGTGGTGCCTGATGACGGGAAGGGGTTGTCGGGCGAGGCGAGGGTTAGGCAAGTGGGAACAGCTGCTGCGTAAGGCGATGGGTGAACGAGGTGCGAAGGGAAAGTAGAAGGGGCGAATGGAGTTTTGTGGTGGGATTTGAAAGACTGTAATTGTAGTGAGAGTGTGCAATTCTGGGTCAGGGGCTCCTTTGGCCGTTGTTGTACGGGACCGCACCTATGTATGTGCAGTAATCATGTACATGCCCGCAACTATTGATCTAGAGACAAAGCTGAATTAGTCACTGGCTTCTCTTCGAAGACCTCTGTGGTTTTGGTATCATATCATCGATAACATATAACGTTCCTTCTCTACTCCTTTTTCCTGGACCCTATTCACCCATTCTTTCTCGCCTCCCCCAACGCCGAAACATACATATCCAGCGCCGAATTCAGCCCTGTAAGAGTCGCCTCAAACAACGCCAGCACCGAGTCCTTGCCCCCCTTGGGCGGCTGCCACCGGAGTTTCTTACGCGTCCGCTCGTAGTGCTCCTTGATCTCGCGCTTTCGCTTCTCAATCACCTGTTGGCGGACCTTCTCTGCCTCGCCCGCCAGCGCGTCGATGCGCTCGGCCGACCGGCGCAACGACTCGGCGTAGTAGGCTAGCTCCTGCGTCCGGGCCGGGTCGCCCGACAAGAAGGCGCTCCAGAACTGCTTGAGGAACTCGGTCGACGTGGCGTTGGTGAGGACGCAGCGCTGGGCGATGTCGGGCGGGATGCTCATGGGCGAGGTGTCCTCGTCGGCGGCGCCTAGGCTGAAGACGCCGTGAGTCTCGGAGCGCTTCTTGAGCATGCCGCCGAGGATCTGGTTCTGGGCTTGTTTCCGGGCCCCGCGCGAGCCAACGTGCGGGTTCTTTTCTGACTCGCCGTCGCTGTCGCTGTCGTCGTCAACGCCGATGCCCTTGCGCAGGTCTATTCCGCCCGACCCGTCATCGTCCAGCGTTTCGAGATCGGCCTGGACCTCGAAGAGGACTTCTGAGGGGACTTGCTTCTCGTAAATCTTGGCCTCCTCTGACTGGCCGTTTTGGTTGGAGAAGAATTGACTTTGCTCTTTCACATTGAGCATGATGCGGGATGCCTCGGCGTCGCCGCGGAGGTCGCGCAGGGTGAGCTCGTCAAAGATGCGCGTGTCATCGACTAGGCCGTCGGGGGCGGATGGGTCGAGATCTGTGGGGGCGACGTTGGCCATGATCTTCTCGCTGAGACTGTTCAACGTCTTGATGATGGGGATGTTGGCCCGTGGCCGCATCTCAACGTCCTTGCGGTTGCCGCTCTTGAAGCCTCCCTGGTTTTCCTCGTTTGCTTCCAGGTCTATGATGTGTGGGACCTTCTGCGTCGCGCCAATCTTGCTTGCAACCCCAAACGAGTTGTCGGCGTTCAAATACCTGTCAAATATGACATCGGCGTTGTCGTTCTCAGTAAAACGCTCGCCACGCAGTGCCTTTGACAACTTGCTCAGGAAGAAGCGAGACCAAAACTCGCTCTCAGAGAGCTTGGGGACATTTTCGTTGTATATCCGCCTCACAAGCGGGTGTTGCTGCAGGATCATGGAGATCTGCTCCGATGTGATGCTCAGCTTGAACTGGCCATCCTCGGTCCGTGGCTTAATGGTGGAGAGCACGTTGTAGGCGCCTTTCTTCTGGTTCAGCTCGATGGCATGAGCACGGAGGAGGCCAGCCCGGGTGGACCAGAACTGGGCGTTGAAGGCAGCTTGTGAGATGGAGGTAGGTTTGAGGGCGAGGGCATCTGAGTATGTCTGGGCCAAGTCTTTGTCCTTCTTCATGAGGGACTGCTGCAGCTCTGTATCTGCTTTGAGCGTGTTGTCGTCGAACCACTTTGGAGGCGCCTTGGCGTTCACGGTGCTGGCAAAAGACATGGTTGCCGAGGCTCCGGCACCGTTCGCCCCGTTCTGCCCAGCTCCGGCAGGCTTTGGCACGTTGGGGTCATTCTCACGGGCAGCGGCCAACAACTGGGACAGCAGGTCCCTGATGGCATTGGCCTCGGCCCGGGCATCACTCGGCGAGGTGAACTGGAAGAGGAACTGTGACGGCGCGGCTCCTTCTCCAGCAGTTGACTTCGGTTTCTCGATGACCCTCAGAATGACCTTGGGTGCGCCGTCTGGTGTCTGCTGGAGATTCATGATATTCTCCAGGGCCAGGGACACGGTGGGCGGCCCTGTGGCGGGCATGGGCGTCCATATCAGGGCAGTTCGATCATCTGTCAAGGTGAGGATGCCGTCCTTCTTCTTGTACGTCGTTCTGCCACGCGGGAGGGCCATGCTGTCGGTGATGCCCGTGGTGCAGGCTCAACAGGCGCTGCACCTTTGTGATGCCGCTCCTGAAGATGGTGTGGTTCTACCCTCTGACAGACAGCTTTTGGCCGGTCGGCAGTGGAGGTGCGGGTTGAAACACCGTCACAGCTTCCAATTTCCAGGCAGCCTTGATATTGCCAAGCACTAGGTAACTACAACGCCCACTCGGCGTATTCGGGCTCTGCTTGAATCTTGCTAGAAAGCCGGGGATGCAATAGCAGGTGGAGAGTGAGGTCACGAGCCGTTCCACCGTGAGATGTCCTGCAATTGCGAGTTTCAGCTGGAAGGCGTTTGAACTTGGAACCGCTTGGTTGCTGTTTTGACTGTGATGCAACTAATGTGAGCTGGCTAGAGTAATTGCCCAATGAGCTCGCTGTGCTTGAGCTGGTCTTTGTCGTCGTAATGGAGCTAAATGAACAATGAATTCAGAAACTCAATGTATTAAATGTGATCGTTGAAGCCACGCCCGGCATGGCCCCGGATCTGGGCTCTCTTTGCTGGTTCGTGGAAACCTGGGAAACTGGGTCAGTCTCGGCTTTGCGACAAGGCCGAGAAGGCGTTGTCCCACTCACAACACGATCGGTGAGTCGCAGTTGCTGTCAGTGGCTGCTTCCGTCCAGCCGTGGCTTGGCCACTCAGCGAGGCGCTGAAGTGCCGCAACGACGCCTCTGGTTGGTTGCACCACCTCGCCGGGCAGGGGTCCTCTGCAGCTCTCCCAAGTCATCCGCCCAGCGAAAATTGCCGTCATCAATGTCCGATTCACAGCGCCTTTTTTCTTGCAAGCCCTTGGTCCCCATTTGGCCTCTTCCCGGTCTTTCCAAGCAACACCAACAAGCACGTTCTGGACGGACACGCCAATGTCCTCAGCCCTGACCGTTCGTCCTTTGACGATATAGTTTGTACTTCTTGTACTACCTGCGCCAGACTTACTCCGCCACTCCTTTCTAGTATCTGCGTCTTGCTGTACGATATACGTTAGGGGCAACGAACACGCGGATCTCGATTTCCATCCCTTGCGACCCAGTTTTCTTTGCGAGTCGTCAAGGTCACACCAAGAAGATATCCCTCCTCGACCTCGAGTTCTCGACACCGCCTTGAATCCGCTGATCCCCCGGCCGAGATGCTGCGCACCTCCTTCCGGGCCCTCCAGGGCGCCGCCTCGTCGTCGTCACGATGCTTCTCGACAGCCACCGTCTCGGCGCGCGCCAGCTTGAGGCTCGCTGCCAACCGCCGTCCTCTCGCCGTCGCCGCCCAAAAACGCTTCGAAAGCGCTCTCCACAACCCGCCTGACCCGAATGACAGCTTCCTGTCCGGCAACACGGCCAACTACATCGATGAGATGTACCTGCAGTGGAAGCAGGACCCCAAGAGCGTCCATGTGTCATGGCAGGTCTACTTTAAGAACATGGAGAGCGGTGACATGCCCATCTCGCAGGCCTTTACGCCGCCGCCGTCCCTTGTGCCAAGCACCCAGGCCGTCGTTGGCCTCGCCGCTGGCGCTGGTGTGGGCATTGGTGAGGGCGCCGACATCACCAACCATCTCAAGGTTCAGTTGCTCGTCCGCGCATACCAGGCCCGCGGTCACCACAAGGCCAAGATCGACCCCCTGGGCATCCGCAATGCCTCCAAGGGCTTCGGCAACATCCGCCCGAAAGAGCTCGAGCTGGACTACTACCAATTCACCGAGAAAGACCTCGACACCGAGTACACCCTGGGCCCCGGAATCCTGCCGCGCTTCAAGCGTGACGGTCGCGAGAAGATGACGCTCCGCGAGATTGTTGCCGCCTGCGAGAAGATATACTGCGGCTCGTACGGCGTCGAGTTCATCCACATTCCCGACAGGGAGAAGTGCGACTGGCTGCGCGAGCGCGTCGAGGTGCCCCAGCCCTTCAAGTACTCTATCGACGAGAAGCGCCGCATCCTCGACCGCCTCATTTGGAGCTCGAGCTTCGAGGCCTTCCTGTCCACCAAGTACCCCAACGACAAGAGGTTCGGCCTCGAGGGCTGCGAGACCTTGGTGCCCGGCATGAAGGCCCTTATTGACCGCAGCGTCGACTATGGTGTCAAGGACATTGTTATTGGCATGCCCCACCGTGGCCGTCTCAATGTGCTGAGCAACGTCGTCCGGAAACCCAACGAGTCCATCTTCAGCGAGTTCGCCGGCACTGCCGGCGCCGAAGACGAGGGCTCCGGCGACGTCAAATACCACTTGGGCATGAACTTTGAGCGTCCCACTCCCTCTGGAAAGCGCGTGCAGCTGTCCCTGGTGGCCAACCCGTCGCATCTCGAGGCCGAGGACCCGGTTGTCCTCGGCAAGGTTCGTGCTATCCAGCACTACAACAACGATGAGGCGACCCACCGCAGCGCCATGGCCGTCCTGCTCCACGGTGATGCTGCCTTCGCTGCCCAGGGCGTCGTCTACGAGTGCCTCGGCTTCCACTCCCTCCCGGCCTTCTCTACGGGCGGCACCATCCACTTGGTCGTCAACAACCAGATCGGCTTTACCACAGATCCTCGCTACTCCCGCTCGACCGCCTACTGCACCGACATTGCCAAGGCGATTGACGCTCCGGTCTTCCACGTTAACGCCGACGACGCCGAGGCCGTCAACTTCGTCTGCCAGATGGCAGCAGACTGGCGCGCCGAGTTCAAGCAGGATGTCATCATCGACCTGGTTTGCTACCGCAAGCACGGCCACAACGAGACGGACCAGCCGTCCTTCACTCAGCCCCTGATGTACAAGCGCATCCAGGAGAAGCAGCCCCAGATCGACATCTACGTCGACCAGCTCCTGAAGGAGGGCACCTTCACCAAGGAGGACATCGAGGAGCACAAGCAGTGGGTGTGGGGCATGCTGGAGGAGAGCTTCTCCAAGTCCAAGGATTACCAGCCTACCTCCAAGGAGTGGACCACCAGCGCCTGGAACGGCTTCAAGTCTCCGAAGGAGTTGGCCACCGAGGTACTGCCGCACAACCCTACCGGCGTCGACCTGAAGACCCTGCAGCACATCGGCGAGGTCATCGGTACTCCTCCCGAGGGCTTCAATGTCCACCGCAACCTAAAGCGCATTCTCTCCACCCGGACCAAGTCGGTTGTTGAGGGCAAGAACATCGACTGGGCGACGGCCGAGGCGCTGGCGTTTGGCACCATGGTGACCGAGGGCCGTCACGTCCGCGTGTCCGGCCAGGATGTCGAACGCGGCACCTTCTCGCAGCGCCATGCCGTTTTCCACGATCAAGAAACCGAAGACACGTACACGCCCCTCCAGCACATCAGCAAGGACCAGGGCAGTTTCATCATCTCCAACTCGTCCCTCAGCGAATTCGGTGCTCTTGGGTTCGAGTACGGCTACTCTCTGACCGACCCCAACGGGTTCGTCATGTGGGAGGCTCAGTTTGGCGATTTTGCCAATAACGCCCAATGCATCATCGATCAGTTCATCGCTTCTGGCGAGCAGAAGTGGATGCAGCGCACTGGTTTGGTCATGTCTCTGCCCCACGGCTACGACGGCCAGGGCCCTGAACACTCGTCCGGCCGCCTGGAGCGCTTCCTGCAGCTCTGCAACGAGGATCCTCGCGTCTTCCCCTCCGCCGAGAAGCTGCAGCGCCAGCATCAGGACTCCAACATGCAGGTTGCCTACCCGAGTACCCCGGCTAACCTGTTCCACATCCTCCGCCGCCAGATGAACCGGCAATTCCGGAAGCGTAAGTTGCCATGTGGACTTTCCGCCTGTTGACACGACCTGTGCTGACATCTCGTTTAGCCCTGATCCTCTTCTTCTCCAAGTCCCTCCTGCGCCACCCGTTGGCCCGCTCCAACATTGAGGAGTTCACGGGCAACTCGCAGTTCCAGTGGATCATCGCCGACCCAGCGCACGAGTCGGGCGACATCAAGCCGCACGACCAGATCGACCGGGTCATCATCTGCACGGGTCAGGTGTACGCGGCGCTGCACAAGCACCGCGCCGACAACAAGATTGACAATGTCGCCTTCACGCGCATCGAGCAGCTCCACCCCTTCCCGTGGGAGCAGCTGCGCGAGAACCTCGACATGTATCCCAACGCCAAGACCATCGTTTGGGCCCAGGAGGAGCCGCTCAACGCGGGCGCGTGGAGCTACACGCAGCCGCGCATCGAGACGCTGCTCAACCAGACCAAGCACCACGACCGAAAGCACGTCATGTACGCCGGCCGCAACCCCAACGCCTCAGTCGCCACGGGCCTCAAGGCGTCACACAAGATGGAAGAGGAGAACCTGTTGAAGATGGCCTTTTCGGTGAAGCAGGACAAGCTCAAGGGCGAGTAGAGTCGATGCCGCATTGGTATGTTGGCAGCTCGTGGTAGGCAGCTCGTTGGGTCTGTCTTGTGTGTATAATCATTGAATCCTCGTATGGTTGAGTAATTAGACGGCGGGTAGGGAGAAGAATTCCGAGAGTTTTTCCTTTGTTGATCATGACGTCTTACTTGGATAGGGGAGCTGCTCTTGGTTAGCTGGGAGTGCTCCTGACTAGAAGTTGAATCTATGTATGTACAAAGCTGGAATAGTTTCGAATGAGACAAATGAAGACGAGACTCTGTTGGTTGTCCTTGATAGCAACTTGTGATTGGGGAGGGTTATGTGCCCTGTTGTGGTTCGGAAGTGTCTAGGCGTCCTGTTCCCCGGTCAAATGTTCGGCACAGCCCAGATCAGGTACCTTGCCTAACCGCTGTCCTTCACCGCGTGACAGCAATGCCATCACCAAGCATTTCATTCCGGCCAACTCCCATTTGAGGCAGTGCTGCCCATTACCATTTAGCAGGTCGCTCGCTATCAGCTTTGCATCATGATTTTTCTGCCTGGTGTTCTCGTCCAGATATCTATGTCGAGCTCGACACCGACCGTCGTTTCTAAATTCTCACACGACCTCAACAACCTCGACAGATGATGGACTCCGACATGGACCATGCGAGTTCCAGAGGAGCCACTGCTCACCAGGTCGCCGAACAAGTTGCGGCCATGGAAGTAGTTGTGGAAGCGGTTATTGGGGGCCGCCTCTAGGGATTATCCAGGCGGTTTCGAAGGTGTACATCGAAACTTGGACTGCGCGACCCGTCAAATACGACTCCTCAAACCAGAGCCAGTGCTGCGCTCTCCCACTCTCAAGGCAAGGATCAGACATGTCACGCTGACCTCGAGGCCGACTCACGAGGCGCTCTTATATACGTGGGGTAGCCCGGTGGACAGGCGGCCCATGTCCCTGGACGGATTCAACGTCGCGGTCACGGCCAACCTATCTAGCGCTCTGCAACATCTCCGCCACGAAGATCACCCGAGGGTGCTTTCGGTCGACGCTCTCTGTATCAACCAGGACGACAAGGATGAGCGGCGAGAGCTGGTGCTCATCATGAGAGACATCTATGAGGCAGCAACCAAGGTCCTGGCCTGGCTTGGAGAAGCTAGCAAAGACAGTGACCTGGCCATGGACCTGGTGGACAAGGGGATGGCCGACAAGGTCCTGCAAAGGCAGTCTCGCGAGTCCTCCGCTTTCAAGAAGCTCTGCCCCCGACCATACTGGACACGGATTTGGATCCTCCAGGAACTCGCGGTGAACCATCAGAGATGGGTCTTTGTCTGCGGAGATCGTTGGGTCGACCACGATCGTTTCCATGTGAGTTCTCCAGGGTGAGCGGCAAATACCAAGGCGTCGACTATGCCGAGAAAGCCATCAAACTGTCCCTGTACCCCTGATCAGACGGATGAACCTGTCCGACTTCTGGCAGACAACCGTGGCATTTAGCGCGACGAACGAGCGGAACAAGATATACGCGCTGCTGGGCTTAATGAAGGACACTGACGGCGCCGCTCTTGTTTTGGATTACTGCATCTCCGTCGCCAAGCTCCAGAGGCGTTCGCCAAACATCTGATTGAGCACACTGGACGGCTGAGAGCCATTGAGGGAGACCGCCTCCCGAAACAGCCGCGCGCACAGAGTTGGCTGCCTCTATGGCACACAACCGTCGTGTACGTTGGCGAATGTGAGCTGCGCGGCAAGTTCACCTTGGCCGGCGACGCGCGAGTCAGCGCAGATGGCGGCTACCGGCGGGCGGAAGTCACCTTTCGTAAAAACGGGACAGTGCTACGAGCCAGTGGCCTCGCCTTCGACAAGGTGGAGTACGCTGCTCCTCGGTTTCGTTGCGAAGATGAACTCCTGCACCTTGTGCCCGGAGGTGGAGGCGTCAACATGGCACAGCATTTGCTGGCCAAAATCGACTGCACACGAACGCTTGACACCCCCAGGTCTCTCCAAAGCATCATACTTCGATCACAAACTAGCTCCGAGGAAGTCCTTGTCTGCAGATTTTACGGATAGTCTAGTAACGCCCTTTGAACGTCAATTTCGCATGTTCGGGGACGGAATTGAGATCGGATCCAAAGATCACCAGTCTGAAGTCATGCTTGGGACGGAGCAGGTGCCACAGGATTTTGAACCTCACGAGCCGACGGAGAAGCGAAGATGCTTTACTGCAGACCTCTGCTCCAGGACTTATTCGCTGCGAATCGCGGCCGGTGTTTCTTCGTACAGAGAAGGGTTACTTGGGGGTGGGGCCGGCTGACACACCGAGAGGCGATTCGGCCTGTATACTGTTGGGCGGCGTGAAGCCATTCATACTGCGACCGGCCGGCAAAAGGCAATGGCGCTTGCTGGGCGACGCATACGTCTGTGAAATTATGAAAGGGCAGCTTTCCCACCATCAGGCGCCCTACACAGAGGAAGAGTTGTTCTTTGCTAGAGCCCGGTTTCGCAGTTTGGTCGGCGGCCGTAATTATATAAGGCGGCGTTCGAGTGCTCCTTCTTTCGGAGAACCAGTAATTTTGCATTCAGCTGGGTGTCGAGATTGACAGCATCAGAGATTGTGTTGGGAATGAAGTCTCTTGAAAGCATTGGGAACTGCAAGTCAAAACAGTCAGTCCACATCTTGCAATGAACGGTCCATCACTGAGAGACCGCTGTCTGACGCTCTAATATAACACGAGCCAGAACGACTTCGTCGCGGGAAGAAGCTTATAAGGTTCAGTATCTGATCGATAGTAGACACGTACCTGTGGTTACTGGGAACTGGTGACGAGAATTTGAGGCCAAACTTTGATGCTAAAGAGACGTCTCTTATCTCTTTTAACTCGTTGATTCTATCTCCTGGGTAGACTCATGATATCCTAACCTGCCACGGGCGGACAACACCATCGTCGCCCGTGGTGACCAGCATCTCTTCCTTGCCCTTGAGCTCTGCGCCTGGGTCAAACCGCTTGCACCATGTGATGTGGTTGATCTCGTACGGGCCATGGGCGTTCGAAACGGTGCCCAACACACGCCAGTTGCTTTTCGGTGCGACTATGCCGTCCTTTGCCGCGCCTTCTGCCCCCGGCGAGGGCATGGGAGCGTCCGCCGGCGCGCTCTCATCTTCAGCGTACACCGCGACAACCCCGTCGCTGCCCGTGCTAGCCACCAACCCAGTGTCGGCACTCCACGATACTGAGTAGACATCTCGCGAGTGCACTTTGGGCAGCACCGCCGTGCAATCCCAGTCCTCCCTAATGGACCGCCTCATGGTACTCGGAATGCCGCCAAACCCGGACCGAAACGGATTCCCCTCCTGCTGGGCCCCATCCCCATCCTGCTCCTCCTCCTCCTCCCGCAAACTCCACACCTTGATCGTCCCATCCGCCGAAAACGTCATCAGCCTTGGGAACTTCCCATTTTTCCTCTCCCTCCCCTCCCATTGCACGCCCCAAACGGTCCCCTCATGGCCCTCCAGCACCGCCACGCACACCCACTCCCCGTCGGCATCCTCCCGCCATATCCTGACGGTATTATCATAGCTGGCGCTAGCCAGCACATCGGAACTGTAATTCCCCCTCTTTCCCGCCGCATTGGGCAAATGCGACGGACACCACGCGACAGCCTTGACGTCCCCATCATGCTCGCTCAGCACGGCGACCGTCTCCCACTCGTCCTCGTCCTCCGGCCCGGCCGAGACATCCTCCCAGATCCAAACGGTTTTGTCGCGGCTCGACGTGGCAAGGTACGCGCCGCCCGGGGAAAAGGCGAGCGATTTCACCTCGTTCTCGTGACCTTCCAGCACCAGGTTGAACTCCCAATCCTTTTCCTCCTCCTCCCCATCACTGTCCTGCTCATCGTCCCTGTCCATCTTCACCTCCCTCTCCAGCACCACCTCGTTCCCATCCCCATCCCCCGACCCGGAAGAATCACCATCATAACTCCACATGCCCGCAGTGGCATCAAAACTCCCCGTGACCAGTCCCAACCTCTTGCTATTATTACTATTATTACTCCTCGGAGGTTGCCACGCAGCCGTGCGGACGGAGCGGGCGTGGCCTCCCGTCAGGGCGCTGTGCTTAGTAAACGTGGCGAGGGAGAAGACGGTGACCGACTTTGCGTGAGCGGTCGCAAGCAACGGCAGGGTCGGGTGCGGGACCGAGGACCAGGCGCGGGTATACAGGTCCGGCTGGAAGGGCGGCAGCCGGGTGATGGTTACCGTTTGGGGGTTTGGAGGCGGCGAGTTTGCTGGAACGATGGCGGCGGGTGGTGGCGCAGTATCCATGGCGATATTGGTCTGTTGAAGGTTGAGGTAGATTGAAGGTGAGGTAGAGGTGCGCCAAAAAGTAGGGGTGCGGTCGAGGAAGTTGATGTCAGTTGTCGAGGCGGTATAGCATTAGCCAGGTTAGATTGTTGAGGTCTAGCTACTGTAGGTTTCAGGAATTGAGGAATTCAACGTCTAGATGCCCAGGTATGGAACCCTGAAGCTGCAGTCCTCGAGTCGGTAAATAAGGTTGCAGAAGTCAACATGGCCCCTCATTTTGCAGCAGCAGGTACTCCATAGTGAGCATCTCCGATGCCGCTGCCCCACCAAAAAGTATGATGCGATGACAAGCAGAACTTTGCAGAGGCACCTCCGCATACTTGGGAGCCAACTTGCTATAAGTTTGGCAGAGCTTCAGCATGTAAAGATTAGAGTATTTTCAACAGATCAGGGATCAAAGGCTATCGTAAAATCCCCAAATATAGATGTTTGCTATGGATTGTAGAACCAACCCCCATGAATATTTCCCGCTCGGAAAGAACGAACCCATGTAATGGACAAAGCCCAGCCCGCATACTCCAGCGACACCTAAAGGCAATGCGCTGATTATCTTCCAACCTTCCAAAGTCAAGGCCCAAATACGTAATCTTGCTTTACCCAAACGCCACATCATGAAAACCCGCCCGCATAAATCTTGATAGCCGGAAGTCCTCAAAACGGAGCTACGCACCACTCTGCCCCGCCTCGCGGAACTGTTCAAACGACACCTCCGCCTCCGCATGGCTATCCCGCCTCTCATCCTCCTCCTGCATCCTCCTCTCAAGCTCCAGCTTCCCGTCCTTGCCCCAGTAACCCGCCTTCTCCGTCCCATGGACACACCCCTCGGTAATTAAGACGTACGGCGTGGGGGCCTCAAACATGGGCTCGGCGAGCACCCGCTCCATCTCCATCTTGAGCCCCCGCGCGCCCGTCTCATTCTTGGCTGCTTTCTCGGCGATAGCGTACAGCGCGCGCCGCGTGAAGAAGAGCTTGCTAGGGTATGTCTCGAACAGGGCCGTGTACTGCGCGACTAGGCTGTTACGAGGCTCCGTGAGGATACGATAGAGCTCGTCCAGGGACAACGGAGTGAGCGCGCAGATGTTGTGGAGGCGTCCGATCAACTCGGGGATGAAGCCGTAGGCTTGGAGGTCCGCGGGCGTGGTTAGGTCTAGCGGGGTGAACCCGCTGGAGGCAGGGCCGCTTGCCAAGGCGGGTTGGTGCGGCAAGTGGGTGTACATTTCTGGGGGGAGGATGTCTTTGCTTCCCGCCATGGACGCTGCCCGACCGCGGACTTCGGAGCCAAAGCCGATGGACGGCTTGGCGACTCTCCGGAGGACAGTTTTGTCCAGCCCGACGAAGGCGCCGCAAAAAACAAAGAGGATATTTGTCGTGTCGATGGTATATTGGTCTACCTTTCCTGGTGGCGGAGTAGATTGTTGGTTAGACGGCCCATAGCCGCCTGGAGGGTTGTTTGTCGTGCGCGACGATCTGTGATCCTTAATGTTTATCGTAACCTTGGTCCCTTCGACAAGCTTCAAGAGAGCTTGCTGAACGCCCTCGCCACCTACGTCTCTCCCGTTTATTGTCTCGCGCTTGGCAATCTTGTCGAACTCGTCCAACACGACAATTCCATGCTCGGCGGTTTTGATGTCGTAGTTGGCTTCGATAAGCAGCCGCTCAATGCAGGATTCGACGTCCTGTCCGATATATCCGGCTTGTGTAAACGAGTTGCAGTCGCTGATAGTGAAGGGTACATTGAGCTTCTTGCTCAGGGTCCTACGCCAAGGGGTCAGCCAAGGTTATACAGGCCTCACGGCCCAGGTGACTCACTCGAGAATGTATGTCTTCCCCACGCCAGTTGGTCCGATCAAGAGCAGATTGCTCTTGTCAATCTTGACATGATTTGGCATGGAAAAGTCTTCTGGGATGTAAAAATCGTCTGCCTGGGGCTCGTAGAGACTCTCGGGGATTTGGAACGCGCCCCGGAGGGACTCTTGATGCCCCGGGAATTCATCTTGGACGGGAACATCATCATCAGCCTGTCGCCGAGATGTCGCAGGAAACGCAGAACGACACGAGGGCCATCGCCCACCTTCGACTGGATGCGTTCGGGGGCCGTTGTAACCCGCCCGTTCAAAAACATCCTGATCCTGGGCGTACTTCTGCCTCTGCAGCTTCTCTCGGAAATGCTGGTCCTGCAGCTCGTGGTGCTGCCGCCGGCGCAGCGCCTGATAGTGATTGAATATGACGGAGCATATCGTCTTTTTTGCGCGGTCCTGTCCAACGACGTAGTCGTCCACCCGCCTCTTCAGGTCCCGCGGATAGAACTGCGGGACCCCGAAGGTGTGCTTGTTGAAGATGGGACCGCGCCCTGTCTCCTGCGACGGATCGTAGCTACTGCTGTACCCAGAATTGAAGTCACTCGTCCGACGGGGAGTCGACAGAAGTACGCTCGTTGTCGAGTAGGCAGAGTGCCGAAGATGGGCAACTCGAAGGGCAGCGGTGCACGTCAGCGCTCGACGTCGCGCAAGGCACGGCATCATTGCACTCGGCCAGCGGTCATGCTCGAAGCGTGGGCGGTAGATCTCGACAGTTCCTGTCCTGGAAGTGAGCTCAAGAGGAAAAAGTTGGTTAATCGTCGTGAAATCGCTGCGGTAGTAGGAGAGAGATGATGACCTGAGAAGGTTGGTGCCACATGGTGCAAGCCTGTAAATGGGAACTGAAGATAGAAAGCTACCTTGAGGGTCCGAGGTACGTACGGGCAGTGCGGGGGACCGAGCTAGCCCTCCGCTTGCCGCACCTTTCCCCCTTGTAAGCCGTAGACCCACTCCTTGGAGCTCCGAGCCAATCAACGTTAGCGGCACGACATGGTTGCTTCGCCCCACTGTTGCTTGTCTCCTCCCGAAACCAAACAAATGCCTTACCAACCATGCCACAAGCTGCGATAAGGTGGTGCAGCAGCGTCTGGAAACTGGAGCATGAGGCTGGACTGCTAGCTTGGCAGGCACAGGGTGGCAGCAGGCATCTACGGACAGCCAACGTTACCGTAGGTATTCCCTGGCGTGGAGTTGCCCGGGCTGGCAGCCGTTTTAATTGAGCAGATTGGATGGGCTGGGCGCGCGGAGGGGCCATGATGTAATCTCACATTTACACGTACATACCATCCAAAGCTCATCCACCTCGCAGACAGCAGATCATCCCTGAGCTCGCTTCAGGTACACGACGCCAGCAGTGTGACCGTCATTTCGTATTTCCATCGCCCAGCTCCAATTATCACATTCCTCCGTCTCAAGACCAACTCCAAATCTTTGTCCTCGTCCATTGTTGGCATCCATTATTGGAAAGAGCCAGCATTGTCCGTGACTATAAGCTACCGAGTTTTGACCCACGAGAATTGATCCCTATTGAAGATTCAACGCGCCATTGGACGCTTTTTGAAACCGCACTGGCAATGGATCCCGTCTCTGTAAACTCGTCCAACACGCTGGTGGATGGCGGCAAGGTGGCCGGAGATGATATCCCAAAGGACGGCACTGGTAAGAAGCTCCAGTCGAACTCGCTCTCCGATATACCGCACTGACTCGGGACATAGGCGTCTTAAAGCTAGACCCCTGGCTGTCACCTTTCGAGGACTCCTTGAAGCGGCGATTCTCCAAGGCTCAGGAATGGATCAAGCGCATCAATGAGACCGAGGGTGGCCTGGAGAAGTTCAGCAAGGTAGCTTCGGTTCATCTCGCGAATTCTGTGCAAGGCGTCTGGCTGATCCTTCCAGGGAACCGATATTTTCGGACTGCGCGTGTTAGACAACGGCACCATTGTGTATAGAGAATGGGCTCCGAATGCCGTCAATGCATCGCTCATTGGTGACTTCAGTGAGTAGATCCCAGTGGTTGGCCCCTGGCCCCCTGCGACTGACACTACTCCATAGACAAGTGGGACAGGACTGCGCATCCCATGAAGAAGAATGAGTTCGGCGTTTTCGAGATCGACATCCCGCCCACCGCCGACGGCAACCCAGCGATCCCCCACAACTCCAAGATCAAGGTGAGCACAGCCCTCGCAGCATCACGACAGCCCAGTTTAACAGTCTCCAGGTTACTCTCGAGCTGCCCACAGCAGAATGGGTCGACAGGCTTCCAGCCTGGATCAAGTACGTGACGCAAGATCTCTCGGTCTCCCCGGCCTATGACGCCCGCTTCTGGAACCCTCCGGCGTCGGCCAGGTACTCGTTCAAGCACGAGCGGCCCAAGAAGCCCGCCAGCCTGCGCATCTACGAGGCCCACGTGGGCATCTCGTCGCCGGAGCTCCGTGTCACCACCTACAAGGAGTTCACCAAAAACATGCTGCCGCGCATCAAGAGCCTGGGTTACAACGCCATCCAACTCATGGCCATCATGGAGCACGCATACTACGCCAGCTTCGGCTACCAGGTCAATAACTTCTTCGCCGCCAGCAGCCGCTACGGCGAGCCTGAGGATCTGAAGGAGCTGGTTGATGTCGCGCACAGTCTTGGCCTAGTGGTGCTGCTGGACGTCGTGCACAGCCATGCGTCCAAGAACGTGCTGGATGGCCTGAACCAGTTTGACGGCACCGACCATCAGTACTTCCACGAGGGCGGCAGGGGCAAGCACGAGCTCTGGGACAGCAGGCTGTTTAATTACGGCCATCACGAGGTTATGCGATTCTTGCTGAGCAACTTGCGCTTCTGGATGGACGAGTACAACTTTGACGGATTCAGATTCGATGGCGTCACGAGTATGCTCTATTTGCACCATGGTATTGGAACGTGAGTATCCCGGAAAGCCCTTGCAGGCAAGGCGTAGAAGGCTAACATGACATTCTCAGTGGCTTTTCTGGCGGTTATCACGAGTACTTTGGTGCCGCCGTTGACGAGGAGGCGGTGGTGTACCTCATGCTGGCCAACGAGATGCTGCATGAGCTGTATCCGGAAGTCATCACGGTGGCCGAAGACGTTTCCGGAATGCCAGCCTTGTGCCTCCCGCTCTCGCTGGGTGGAGTTGGGTTCGACTACAGACTTGCCATGGCCATTCCCGACATGTGGATCAAGATTCTCAAGGAGAAGAAGGACGAGGAGTGGGATATTGGCGGCATCTGCTGGACCCTGACCAATCGCCGGCACGGAGAAAAGACGATTGCTTATGCTGAAAGCCATGACCAAGCGTAAGCTCTGCTCGCACGGAGCCCGGGGATTTGCTAACGCTTCTGCAGTTTGGTCGGCGACAAGACGCTCATGATGCACCTCTGTGACGCGGAGCTCTATACAAACATGTCGGTGCTCACGCCCCTGACGCCCGTCATCGACCGCGGAATGGCGCTGCACAAGATGATTCGGCTCCTGACGCACGGCCTGGGCGGCGAGGGCTGGCTCAACTTTGAGGGCAACGAATTTGGGCACCCGGAGTGGCTCGACTTCCCGCGCGAAGGCAACCAGAACTCGTTCTGGTATGCGCGGCGGCAGCTGAACCTCACCGAGGACCACCTGCTGCGGTACCAGTTCCTCAACAACTTTGACCGGTCCATGAACCTCTGCGAGGCCAAGTACGGCTGGCTGCACGCGCCGCAGGCCTACATCTCGCTCAAGCACGAGGGCGACAAGGTCATTGTCTTTGAGCGCGCCGGCGTGGTGTTTGTCTTCAACTTCCACCCGACCCAGAGCTTTACCGACTACCGCATCGGCATTGATGTGCCCGGCACCTACCGGATCGTGCTCGACACGGATACCAAGGAGCACGGTGGGTTTTGTCGCCTGGATGAGAACACGCGTTTCTTCACGGAGCCGCTCGAGTGGAACGGCAGGAAGAACTGCACCCATGTGTACATTCCGGCCAGAACCGCTTTTGTAAGTTCTCTGAAGTCCTTGACTCTCTAATGGTTCTGTTGATATACTAACTATGTTCTAGATTCTGGCACCCGAGTCGACGATCTTGAAACAGTAAGGCTGGGGCGGAGCTGGACACTAGGGCTCGAGCACCGAAGTTGGACTTGTATGTGATCCTTGGAAGCGGGTGAGCTGAGAGAAGGAGCGGGGTAGTAGAGAAAAGGGATGCCAGTGTGCTGTCTTTCGCAAGTTGCAGGATCGAGACTCGGAGCAAAAATGCCAACTTTGTCCATCCAATAAGCATCCATGACGAATCTTCATATACAAATGGCCCGACCCGGGACCTTCCGGCGACCGTCTCATCAGCAAGTTGCGATGCAAAGCGCAAAATAAATGGTAAGAGAAAAGAAGACGAAAAACTGGAAAGTATTTGACGGAGAGAGGGAGATTCCCATCAAGGGGCTTGAATCGGACGGCGAATGTTCTGGCAAGACGGAACGCTCCCTTGCTTGTCGTTCCGTCTTTAGCTCGAAACTCGCAACCCGATTCTGGCGGAAGGCAGTCCAAGACCCACATTTTGCCCAAAACAAGACATCACGTGAAATGCTGGAGCTCCGCAGCTCCTAGCCGAAAGCTCGTCGAGAGATTTTCGAACCCGTTTTCTTCCTCCCCCGAGCCCATCCTTCCACACTACACATACACCGTCTCAAGTCCGCCCTGCATCATCGTCAAGATGTTCAAGAGGTGAGTTGCCGCCGCAAGTGTGATGCGTGGAAGGTGCGATGCACCAATTGAGGCCAATTGATGCTGATGCAAAGCTTTTTCCCCCTCGCGCAGCGGCATTTCCGCCTTTGCCCGGACAGCCCGTCCTGCCTTCGCGGCGGCATCTCGTCGCGCCGTTCGCCCGGCCTCCTTGAGGGTCCCAGCCTTTAGCAGGTTCGCCAGCACTGCCGGTGTCGGTGATGGCAAGATCTACCAGGTCATCGGTAAGCTTCCACAAGACACGCCGTTGCCCGGGTCCGGGGGTTGTCGGATCCCGGGAAAATTGTTTCACCTGGCTAACCGCGCAACCACAACAGGTGCCGTCGTCGATGGTTAGTAGCGTCTCCTTGGCCGCAACGCGACTTTACAGCTATTCCTGGTCGCATACAGCTGACGCGGTCGACAGTCAAGTTCGATACTGAGAAGCTCCCTCCCATTCTCAACGCCCTCGAGACCGACAACAATGGTCAGAAGCTCGTCCTCGAGGTCGCGGTATGCCAAGCCCTCGAACAACAATCACCGCTGCGCAATTCAGTGTACTAATGAAAATACAGCAACATCTCGGCGAGAGCGTCGTGAGGTGCATTGCCATGGACGGTTCGTTTCCACGTTGTTCAGTTTCGAGAGGTGTTCTAAAAGCAGTATCTAGGTACTGAGGGTCTCGTTCGTGGTGCCAAGGCTGTCGACAGTGAGTGTCCCCTCCCGTCCCGCAGTGCTAGTAGCGTTGCTAACAGATCCCGACAGCCGGTGCTCCCATCACCATCCCGTAAGTTGAGACGCTTCTGGGAGCCTCCCTCGACATGGTTGGTCTGACCTAGGTTCGTACAGTGTCGGCCCTGCCACTCTCGGCCGTATCATGAACGTCACCGGTGACCCGATCGACGAGCGGGGACCCATCAAGTCTGACAAGAGGCTCCCCATCCACGCCGAGGCTCCTGAGTTCGTGGACCAGTCGACGACGGCCGAGATTCTGGTTACCGGTATCAAGGTTGTGGATCTGCTTGCCCCCTACGCTCGTGGTGGAAAGATTGGTCTCTTCGGTGGTGCCGGTGTCGGCAAGACCGTCTTCATCCAGGAGCTCATCAACAACATCGCCAAGGCTCACGGTGGTTACTCTGTCTTCACCGGTGTCGGCGAGCGTACCCGTGAGGGTAACGATCTGTACCACGAAATGCAGGAGACCTCCGTCATTCAGCTTGAGGGCGAGTCCAAGGTTGCCCTGGTTTTCGGCCAGATGAACGAGCCCCCCGGAGCCCGTGCCCGTGTCGCCCTTACCGGTCTGACCATCGCCGAGTACTTCCGTGACCAGGAGGGCCAGGATGGTGAGTTTTCTGCTTCTCTGCTGCTTTAATGAAGAGAACTAGAAGGTTGCTGACGACCACAGTGCTTCTCTTCATCGACAACATCTTCCGTTTCACCCAGGCCGGTTCCGAGGTGTCCGCCCTTTTGGGTCGTATCCCTTCTGCCGTCGGTTACCAACCCACTCTCGCCGTCGACATGGGTGGTATGCAGGAGCGTATCACCACCACCAAGAAGGGTTCCATTACGTCGGTCCAGGCCGTCTACGTGCCTGCTGACGATCTGACGGATCCTGCCCCGGCCACCACCTTCGCTCACTTGGACGCCACCACTGTCTTGTCCCGTGGTATTTCGGAACTGGGTATCTACCCCGCCGTCGACCCTCTTGATTCCAAGTCCCGTATGCTCGACCCCCGCATTGTCGGCCTGGAGCACTACGAGGTTGCCACCCGTGTCCAGCAAATCCTCCAGGAGTACAAGTCGCTGCAGGATATCATTGCCATTCTCGGTATGGACGAACTGTCGGAAGCCGACAAGCTTACCGTCGAGCGCGCCCGTAAGATTCAGCGTTTCCTGAGCCAGCCCTTCACTGTCGCCCAGGTCTTTACCGGTATCGAGGGCAAGCTCGTCGACCTCAAGGACACGATTGCCTCGTTCAAGGCCATTCTCAACGGCGAGGGCGACAACCTGCCCGAAGGTGCCTTCTACATGGTTGGCGACTTTGCGTCGGCGAAGGAGAAGGGCGAGAAGATTCTGGCTGAGCTCGAGCAGAGCGCTTAATGGGGGGAGTGGCGTGTAAAACTGGGAAGGATTCGGCGACCTGTGTATAGAAGCGAAACGGTTTCCGGGGAGTTCCCTTAGCTCAGTCAAGTTTTCATTTGTGAGCTGTGTATCAAATCAATTTCTCTGTCTCTGGCCTGTCTGGAGTTGTTTGTGAGTTGTGTGACTGCCCCTCTCCACTGCTTCTCCCCCCAACCTCTCGAATGGCGCTTGAACGACGGGTGGTTTATCTCCGAAACTCTTGAATTACCGTTGGGTAAGTCAGGGAAAGGCTGCAAGGCGGCTAAAGGGATGAGTATATTCTCTTGAAATCCACTCTAGTCTGTATGTAGTAAAATACCCCATTGGATACGGCAAGCCCTTCAGGCTCATCACCTTTGAGAATTTAGTCCATCGTGACCAGAAGTGATGCCGAACGGAGTCAGGCATGGATGACGCCGCCATGTATATATAGCATTGTAGATTAGAAACCCGTGGGTATGGCAATGGCGCCATGAGTAGTAAATACTCTGACACCGAGAACCGGAGAGACACTGGCGAGATACAAAACTTAGGGCTTGCCCTTGTTGGAGATGGTCTGTCTTGTTCCTGAAGAGAAGAGAACCTCTTGTGTTTATCCCCTTGTTTCAGATTTCTTTCGACCTCGGTGGTTGACCGTATCCCGAGCTGATTGAGACCTATTCCGAAAGTCAAGATGGTTGGCTTCAGCAGCATTGTCACTGCCACGGTGGTGTTGCTTGGGGAGCTGGGACTTGCCGCGCAGCTTACCAAGGTTAACTATCCTAACAATGCTACGTCCAAGGCGGAGATGTAAGTTGTACTTTATGTGGTGAAGAGGGGCTGGGTGTCGTTATTGGGGTCTGATCAGACAGCTGACGACGGTGATGGGGATGTTTAGGTGGATATATGTCCCGGACAAGGTTGTTGCTTCGCCCCCGTTGGTAGTGGTGGTCCGTATGTACTTCCCCAGATCATCATTACACTTACTACCTACACCAAACATGTCAGTTGTGGAAGAAACGGCTCCAGGAGGATGTGATTCGGAATCTCCTCCCCGCATGTCCTTTTGCACCAGCTGTCCTTTCACTTCTGGATCTCTCGGCCCCCATCATGCACACAAAACAAGGAGATAAACAAAAGGAAACGGAGAGCTGATAGAACATCTACTGATTATGCAGACTCGTGCCAATCCTCGGCCCAAGCCTACTTCTCCAACTCTAAAATCCCCTGGCGCCAAGGGTCCGATCGGAAGGGATACATCACGCTGTGGCCGTCCTCGCCGAACTCGGGCACCTGTTGGGACGTCTCGTCGCGGCGCTCGCTCTCGCGCAACGGCGGCGGCGACTCGCAGGCCATTGCCAACATGATCCTGCACGCCATCGGCCGGTACGGCGCCGACCGGGAGCGCGTCTACCTCACGGGCGGCAGCTCCGGCGCCATGATGGGAAACGTCCTGGCCGCCACGTACCCGGACCTGCTGAAGGCGGTGAGCGTGTACAGCGGCGTGCCGGCGGGTTGTTTTGTGAGTGCGAGTGGTGGTGTGGCGGCGTGGAATAATACGTGCAGTGGTGGCCAGAGTCGGGCGTCGGCGGAGCAGTGGTGAGGTCTTCTTTCCCCCCTTTCTGGTGGGCTCGTAGATGATGATGATGTGGAGTAGAATGTTGCTGATTCGCATGGGGATAAGGGGCAACGTGGTGCGGAACATGTACCCCGGGTACAACGGCTCGCGGCCCAAGATGCAGATCTGGCACGGCAGCGCCGACGGCACGCTCGCGCCGGCCAACTTCCAGGAGACCATCAAGCAGTGGACGAATGTGTTTGGCGTCAGCCAGACGCCGACGAGTACGCTCAGGAATTACCCGCAGGCCAACTATCAGACGGACAATTATGGGGAGAACGTGCAGGGTATCTATGCGAACGGTGTTGGACACAGTGTGCCGGCGAACTTGACGGCGAGCGAGCTGTGGTTTGGGCTCTAGAAGGCGAGGGAGTGGTGACAGTTAATGCCCATGATGGTCTGGTCGTATACGCGGCTGACGTGCTGGGTTGAGTGTCGGCCAAGACTCCTCAACACCGCATGTAGTCTCTCATCTATTCCATTAATGACGGGAGCACGGGTACGAGGGCCGTATACGGTCGTACGGCGAAGGCTTGCCGGGAACGCTCGTCACACAGGACTGCCGGCGATGTGGGGGTCAAACAGCCCATACTCCATCGTCTTCTTCTTCAACGCCTCCGGGTCATTGGCGATGTCCTCCATGGCCGCTCTGATGGCGAGCTCTCTTTCGCTTTCCGAAGTGAGTGGTTCGTACACTGTGCTGGTCGGCTTATCCCACGAGGAGTCGTCTAGCAGCAGCCTGGCGACGTCCCTGTCGTTGTCAAGCTGCAGAGCAGCCATGGGGACGTGCAGCAGGCGCTCCCACTCGGGCCCCAAGAAGTTGTAGATGCTGGGAATCTCATGGGCACTGATGTTGTCCAGCCACCAGCAAGAACCCACCCTGAACTTCACAAAAACGAGATAGTGAGCGAGGATGACAAGGGCGCCGGGCCGTTTAGCGCGCGCAGCATCGATAAATGTGTTGGGAAGGCGGGTGGGGAAGGTGACAATGCGCAGCAGCAACAGCTGGCTGATGCCATTCTTCAGCTCAAGGTAGAGCGAGCCGAGATACAGCAGGGCGCAGTAGTATGCCTGGACGAGAGGGTATTCGGGGTCGCCTTCTCTAATGGAGGCGAGCATGAAGAGAAGGTAGGCCGGGAGACATTGAGCCGACGCATTCAGGTCCGCGTCCGGACGGAAGACGAGGGCTGCGATACCTGACCTGAAGAGCGCTGGGAGCTTGATCACCTCAATAATTTGGCCGATTCCTTTCCAGAGAATCATCCAGTCCAGGATGGCGAGCGGCTTGGCTTCGTCGCCGCGAAAGAGGTGCGTGGACAGGCCGCAGAGCAGCAGGGAGCAAACCAGCAGGGCTTGGTAGGTGGCCGGGTCTGCGGCGGCGACGGCTTTGCGGTACGTCTCGAAGGCTTTTGCTCGGTAGTAAATCTCTTGCGAGCGCGAAATGCCCATGCTCCTGACGCCCAGCCAGTTGATGTGCATTGCAGAGAGGGCGAGTATGCAGTCCATCAGGAAGGGGTTGGCGAAGGCATGCTGGACGACGTTCACCTTGAGGACCACGTCGACGTCACGTTCTTTCACCCCGCTTGTCGAGAAGGAGGTGTAGGTAGCGGTGGTGTAAAACCATAACAAGCGCATATCGATCTCATCGCGACCGCTTGGTTTGAAAAGCGGCTGCTGCGGGACAGTGGCAACGTGCGTGGCCACCAGGGCGAGGTCTGGACCCGGTTCATTCCCGGGTGAGGGTGACGATGAGGCGGTAGTGGTAGGACTGCTGGCCGGCTTGGGTGTGGCTGCGACCGTGTAGACGCACTTCTCTTTCCGGACGGTACATGTGCGACAGGCCGGGCGGCCTTCGTCACACTTGACCTTGCGGGCCTTGCAGTTGCGACAACCGGTCCTCGACTTGCGGTGGGGACGTTTGGCGTAATAGGGCTTCTCGGCAGCCGTCGTAATGACTGAAACACCGGGCATTTTCACCATCTGCTACCCGACAGATGCCGGACAGCCCTGGATGAGGCTGCGAGTGGTGGAGGTCAGAGCCTTGCACGTTGTTAGTTCCGGCAGAGCGCAAGCCTAGATTGCTTGGGTTGGCGTCCGGTGGTTATCGAAAATGCTGCCGACGACAGAGGGTTGGGTCGATGTGTAGCCGTTCACAGAGGGAAGACTTGAGAAGTTGAGGCAAGCAGATGAATGGATACTTCAGCCATCATTAAGCCTTACACTATTTAATGCTGGAATGAGAGGCCGGGTTCGTCGTCATCCCTGGGACCCACCTGGAGCGCCGTGCCGAGACGCAGCATTTCTTTTGAAGAATGTCTTGATCGGGCCAACGTCGTTGACGGTGGGCGAATAGCGGCCCGAGAGGTGACACGCACTGCACCGCCCAGCCGGGAGCTGTCATCTGCATGCTATCCGCAGACACCTCATGCGGCAAGAGCCTCGAACTTAGTTACATCAGCAAACACAAAAGACGAAACGAATGGGGACAAAGTGAAAAGAGAGAAGGAATTGGAAAACGAAATTCTGAAAAGTATTCTCTTCCTTCCCTACTTGCCTTTCTTGACAGAACCACTATGCCCGTATCCGTGGAATTGTGCCGAACGAGCAAATCGAAAAGGGTTGTATACGGATACTGGGCTTAGGTGGAGACACAGCGCTGGGCAACGAGACGCGTCCGACATGCCAGTAGCGCGTCTCCCAGGCGAAAGAGCTCTCTGGCTTGCGAATACCGAAGGCAGCTCACCTGCTGTACCTTAGGCACCTATCCCGAACATTTTCCAGAGTCATCATATCAACTACAACGCAGAACCTTTTTGTCCGGAAGCTCCAGTGTCCTGAAAGCTTCAGACACAAGCCATGCGCAATTCCCTTTTTCATCTCCCCGACGAGCTCATCTTGGCTACTCTCAGCCAGACATTCCCCTGCCGAGAAGCGCAGATTCGGGCCCTCGCAACGCTCCTTTATGTAAGCCACTGACTGCAATCTCTCTCTCTCTTTCTCTCTCTCTCTCTCTCTCTCTCTCTTTCTCTCTCTCTCTCTCTCTCTCTTTTTCTCTCTCTTTCTCTCTCTTTCTCTCTCTTTCTCTCTCTTTCTCTCTCTTTCTCTCTCTTTCTCTCTCTTTCTCTCTCTTTCTCTCTCTTTCT